CTGTGCCTGGTTGATGATCCAATCAGGGCGAAACCTGAACCACCCAACTATCCATCTTACCACCAAGGGAGGACTCTCACAGAGTCTCGACTGCTTCGGGGACTAGGCTTTCTCAGGCGTGACATGGACATGGGTGATTCCTTGTGCCATCGTCACCACCCTACAATCAAATGACAAGATTGTCTGACTGCCGTTAGATGGGCCATCTGGCGGCCTCCAGACCACCAACAAAAGATTTTGTAGGCTGCCATTGATTGGGGAGATGATCAAGCAAACATCTTTGTTCCCTCCCATAGCCCCGCTATCCACCCCTTGTGGTTTGAGGCATTAGCGGTACACAAACATCTCAACCCAACCTAATAAAACCCATGGCAACCCAATTGATTTTTGGATTTTCAGTGCTAAAAACTCAAAATCAGTTGGGTTGCATGGGTTTTTTGGATGGGTTTTTGAGGTCGGGTTGAGATGTTTGTGTACTGCTATTGATGTTGAGGAAGATGGGGAGGAGCTCCCAGACCAAAGAATGGATTCTAGGAGCTCCCTGTTGTCAAAAAAAAGAAGGCATGGCTAGAACCACGTCTATGGAGACAAATGTGAAAACTGAAGTTTAATCTTGCAGCCTCCGGTTTTATGTTCCTTGGAGGCATTTCCTCTTACTGTCTTCTCCTTGCCAAAAGACTGGTAGAGCTCTTGCCGGTTTGAGATCTGGCTGAACGCCAAAATTCTGGCCAGTGTTTGGCCAGATATTTACACAACCATATTCACCCACATATTGCAACCAAAACTTACCCTGTGGTGTAATGATTTACCTAACTCCGCTACAAGGATATCTCTCTACCTGCACAAGATTTTAGTGTATGCAGGACTGTACCACACATGTAAAACTCCACAATCCCCCTAGTACTAGACAGTAATCTTCCCATGAAAGGAACAAAAACACACTCAACAGATTCAAGCATTAGAAAAATAAAATGACCAAAATGAAATAGACCTAAAATGACTCAGGACTAAAACCATTTTAGTTTCTTGGGGGGATTTCATCAAGTTTTTTTTGTAGGATGAAGAGAGTTTTTTAACTGAATTGTGTTATGCTCAGTCACCTGATGATAGAAAATATAGATATGTATCCCTACTAGACCCCATGGTAGGTATATCTTCCAATTCTTCCCATCCCAAACAAATTCTTGTTTACTTTGCATTTCCTGCATTTGAGTTTTGGGTTCACAGCTACAGGGGGTTCTTCAAGTAAAGCATTTGAAATTTCAATGCAACATAGTGTAACAGAAGAAAGAATATTTTTTAAGAATTTGGTGGCTTCTCCTGAAGGTTTAGTTAATGTATTTGCTGAACATCCTTGGGTCAAGCTATGTATCAGTGCTGTGGATGATGAAGGATTGAACAGGGAAAAGTAAGCTGTTTTTCCAACATATCATAGTATGAATGATTTGAAAATAATTGAAATAAAATCTCTTTTTTTGCAGACATATTGTTCCAGGTTGATTTTGTGAGCTATTTTCTTATTCAACTTCACTCTGTTTGACAAATTGCAAGATTTCCTATGACCATAATTGCAATTCAATAGACTTTGGGGTGATTGATATTTTACTGGCTCATAATTTGTCTCTTGGTTTCAATTAGCCGTGTTCAAACCTGACCCGGTTTCAAAAAACCCAGTTGACCTGGTGGACTTTTTGGCTGGAAGCTGTTAAGAACTGTCAATGGATACACAAAGTTACCACCAGGAAAGCAACTGGGTAACTGGGTTTTTGTGTCAATCGGGTTAGGTTTGAACACGGCTATTGAATATTACTAATCTGTTGTTTTTCTTCTTCTTGACATTTCTAAAGTGCAATGATTATGATGATGTTATCTAGAATGTCCTCTATGATTGTTCTTTTTCACAATTAAAACCGGGTTTTGACAATTTGGTTTTGAATAGATGATTTGGAAGTTGAAAACAATGTTTGTTGAAATGTGGAAGATGATTACAGATACAATCATGGTTTGAAAACACTTGTTCATTATAACACATAATCAATTTGATCAATGAAAGATATTCCAATTTTCTTTGAGTGAATATCTCATATACAGTGTGTTGGGTTCACTAGGAGTAATTATGATTTTCAAAATATCAAAGTGAATTATTTCCTTAAAACAATATGCAACTGATATCTTCAAAGTTGGATGGAAAATACTCAGAAGTTGATGGAAAAATTTGTATCAATCTATCCCTTGTATCTTTTATAAATTGACTTTTCCAAGACATGAACTTTGTGAAGGAAATTGCAAGGCAAATTCTCAAGAGCTGAATGCAATTGTCTATTTTGTGAATCACATGGTAACTTTGTGACAGAAATCTGATAACAATGAAGACATTTCCATAGCTCATAAAAATCAAAAATTCAACATTGAGGTGACTTGCAGCTAGTTGCTCAGTGCACACTTGTTGTTCACATCCTCACCTACATCACAAGGTGGATAAAGCCATGAAGCAGAACTCTCACATAGTTTTAAGATTTGTGTTACATTTCCTCCTATGTTGAAGCATTTGGTTGTGGTAACATAACCTTGCATAAATTCATGGTTTTTTATGACCTGATGAAAGGACATATGTGAGGTGGAATAAGTTGAATTTACCCATACACTACAGATAATAAATTTTGGGCCCCAATCACTAGACAAAAACATGAATACTTTCAATAGAATTTGGATCAATGATGTCACAGTGACAAAGAGGGTGTTTTACATGTGCTTGAACATCACATACATATGTTGATTGGAAGATACAATAGAAGTTATTGAGCCCCATGACCTATAGGGCATTCTACATCAGTCCAGAGTCTGTTACATACTGGACAATACATTTCAAGATCTTGTTTAGCTTCAGTTACAGCACCAGGGGTAGCCAAAGCATCTTCAGCTGGTATGATCCCCTTTTTGCTTGGAATATTGTGAATCAAGGCACCTAATGCTTGATTAAATGAGACCAATACCATGAAGACGGCCGTGAAGATGGTGAGATTCATGACAGTGTATCTGATTGGTTGACCAAGCTTCAATGAAAGACATATGTGATGAACAGATAGATAGAATATTTAGAGACTCACCAGGAAGCTAAAGCAACAATATTCAAAATCTATGTGTGGGTCGGGCTTGGCAGATAATCAAGAGTCTCTAAACGGATCAAAAGGATAAAGAGTGTGAACATATGGTATCAGGCCAGTCTGTTTAGAAAAGCATATTTCCACAGCTTGTGTAGAGGTGGCCAATGAAACCGTGAGGCAACGTACCAAGCCAGTGGAGAAGGTCACAAGAACAACTGAATATAATGATTGGATAGCAGTCCAGTGTCCAGAAAACCAGGTCGCCTTTTATATTTGTTGGAGAGCAATTCAGTCGCTCTTTGCCCCACTATTGTCTCGAAACATCATGGAACATGATGCTGTGTTTGCTTGAATTTTTTTCTTAGAGTCATATCCAATTAGATTTCAACACATGGAGATTACTGAGTCTCAAATGGTGGGGAATTAAATTCTGACTTTGAATGGTACATGTCCTTTGATCCAAGTAGTGTTTGGTATTTCCTTTGCTACATGTTGTAGAACTAATCACCCAATAGGGGTGATATAGAGCTTGAAGAGTACAACTACTGATAAGATAAGATAGTAGAATTGTCAAAGATCTTATTGTAAGAGTACTGATACACAACTAAAGACAATCACAATTGATTTTTAATAACTCAAGAACATGTGTCAAAGTATTAATAACCAATAATCAACACTCAAGCAACTGATAAAGAGAACAAAATTGATTACCAGCCTCCACACTTTTTAGTGTTATTCCCATAGATATAAAGAACAAGAGAACTATAGCAATCCTTTATAACCAGTATTCCAACAAGACTACATTACTAAATCAATTTCTCCTAATCAAAGGGGCAGATTTAAGAGAAACCACTATCAAGAGGGTGTTTTATTGTAAGTTCTGCAGTCTTGATTGCCAAATTTGATCATGTGTGTTAGTATATCTAAGTTGTTAACCGCATGAAATCCACTATGGGATGATGTAATGTACAATTCAACTACAATACTGCATTCTCAAGACACTACAAATTATGGAAAAATCACAAATTGACTTGAAGTATCTTACTGCACCTCACCCAGCACACTTCCATTCTGATGATCACCGTGGTGACCAGAAAGAACCAAAATGGATACTTCAGGTTTTGACAATGAGCAACAAGATTTCCACCTCTTGTTTGATCTTGGTGAAATTGATTGCGCAAAACACCTTTTTCAAAAAAATGCTGGTTTAGCAAGTTCAGAGTAAACAGGTACTATCAACAAGCTGAGATCTTGAGGGGAGAGGGAGAATTTAGTTGAAGGTGTTGAGTGCAAAGCTGGATGGATGCAGATGGATGGCTGTTGACTTATTTGATGTTCCAAAAGTCATAAATCAAGTCTTAGGCTTGCATAGATTTGAACAAGCAGAGTGCAAGACTTGATGTGGTCATGTGGACTGCAGGACAACAGGTTCATAGTGGACCTGTCTGTATTTTAGCAGTAAAGTTATGCTACATCACCTAGTCACTGCACCCATGGTGGGTGCTCTAAGAGCATCCACAATTGTTGGGTTAAGTTGTGGGAATAGTTAATTATTTAACACTGGTGGTATTTAACCTAAAGATTTCAAAATTTCCACAATGGTAAAATTTTAAGAAATCTGTAGTTAGCTTTGTGACAAAAAATCACTAGGCTGGGACAAATTCATCTCAGCCTACCAACACGTTTATAGAAGCAAAGATAAAAAAACACAAACAGAAATAGTAAATATGAATAATATCAGCAAGGACAAAAGAATATCATCATGGGAAGAAAGCCATAAATATATTTAGTGTGAGAGAAAAAAGAAGGGAATGAAACAAGAATGAGGTTATTCAAAAAGAAGGAACTACCAAGCAAGAAACTGAAGGAAAATAGAAATCCAAATTATGTATTGAACAATCATGAATCATATCAAAGGATAATTGCAACCAAGAATGATACTCCATATCTGTTCTGCTGGCTTGTGATCACCTTTGAGCAACTGGAATCCTTAGCCTAACACTCAGTGCCCGTAATTTTCAGACATCACAGTTAGCGCTTTAATCCACGTCCAAACTGTCTCATCCATCATGCTACCTTTTCTACTTTTGGTGATATTTTGCAAGCAAAATAAATATGAAAAAATCGTTTTCTATTTCACAATTTAAGTCAAAAAGGATCAAATGAATGAACGATAGGAAGAAGATTTTCATTTTACCGATTGGCCAATTGACAAGTTGACCATTTTGGACAGTCACATGAAGACAGATAGATCACATCTCTTCTGAGGCTAATCAGAGCTACTGGGTAATTTATTTTATTTTATTCACATCAGTCTTGTGCCTCTCAGCTTGGATAAGATTTGTTGATGAGTAGGTCATGTTTATCAGAAACCACAAAGACAAGGCTTTAAATGGAGATGTGTCCTGACTTCTAGCTGAATCTGTTACAATTGGATCTTTGCTGATCTTTGTGGCATCAGGTCAGGCAGCCTACAGAGGCCTATGTACAGAGCATGTGCGCGCATCAGTGCTCGGTAGGCCTTGTTTTGAAAAAGTCACGCTCGTCAGCTGGGACCGGGTGGACACCGCAGGGACATAGATAAATGTAGGGGTATGACCCGGCCCCGCAATTTCAGGGCCGGCCCTGGGGCCGGGTCAAAACCGGCCTCGGCCACGAGGTGCCTCAGATGGCTAGCGGGCAGGCACGGGCAGGCCATGGGTCGGGCCTGCCTTTAGGCCCGGGTCGGGCCAGCTGTTTGTGAGGGGATTCGAGGACACAAATTGAGTTAATTGAGCAAAAAGAGCAAGACACAAATAAAAAAATCTTTGTAAATGAGGACACAAATGAGCGTGCAGAAAGAATAAATAAACAAAAGACCATTAAAGAGTGTAGAGAAAACAATAAAGAAGTTTAGAATAGAAAAAAAAGACAAGCCAAACTACACGGAAAGAATAATCCCCCATGACTTGAGACAAATCTGAGCTTCAAAGTTCTGATTGGTCATCTGTGATCGATAATCAGACATCACCCTTGAACCAGCTGAAAATATCCTTTCTGAAGGACCACCCGAAGCAGGAATAGCAAGCATTACCATAGCCATCCGAGCAAGGATTGGCCAGTTTGAGCGATTAGTTTTCCAGAATACTAAGATATCGGTACGTTCATCCACAAGAGGGGCAAGAAGGTACTCCCTCACTTCATCTTCAAGTTGAACACATTTGCGTCGTTTGATAAAGTGGTGTGGTCTATCATCGTCATCTTCGAACACAGGGTCTGATTCGACGATTTCGATCTCAGGATCGAGAGGGGGTTTGTATTTGCGAGCTTGCTCGGTAAAGTAATTTATGAGTTGATCTTTGTCAAATCCGAGTTCTTCTAAAGTAAAAGCAGTCACAGCATTGAGCTTTCGGCGAGGGTCGAGAATTGGGGAACATATGTAAACAGGCTTCTTCAAAGCTAATGTGGAATATCGGACTAGTTTCTTGACCATAGGACGAATTGCTGCCTTCAAGTTGGTACAATCAGAAGCCCCCCATGCCTATGTTTGAAAAAGATTGGTTAGAAATTGTGTAAATATCCATAAGTGGTTAAGGAAAGAAAAACTTACTTTTTCGAGTTTTTCAATGAGCCATTGATAGTCGGGCATTGCTCGTGAGAAGGTGGGATAGTCATCGGCTTCAATTTCCTTGATCACAATCGCAAGAGGTCGGAGAAACTTGACTAAGTTGCCAACCAAGGTCCATTCGTCTTCGGTTAGGGCGAAAGGTTCTAAACTATCATTGACATTGCAATACGATTGAAGGACCTTCTTGAGTTCAAAGAATCGTTCGAGAGAATAAAAGGTTGAAGACCATCGAGTTGAAACCTCATGAATCAGTCCGACCTTTCGAGGCTGTGAGGAAGTGGCGATGAATTGGTCCAGAGCCTGTTTGAGCTGAGTGCTCAATCGGACTTTTTTATGGAAGCTGCGAATTCGAGTTAAGATTGAGTGGACTTCGAGATGCGGAGTAGGTTCAATCAAAGAATTAGTACCATCAGGAATATCGTCATCTTGAGGTAGTTGAGGATCTAAAGCACTGAGAGGATCAGGAGGAGTCTTGCTGTCAAAAATCGAGATTCCGGCTTTGGCGACTAGATTGATAACATGGGCGACACAGCCATGGAGGTTCTTCTCAGGATCGAATTGAGGTATGAGCTGTTGGAGTTCTCGACCCATGGTTTGATTGTTTGAAGCATTATCAGCAGTAATGGAGTAGAGTTTATCGGTGATACTGAATTGATCTAATGTGTGCTTGATGAGAGCAGCCATGTTTTTACCAGTATGGGCTCCATCGATTTCCTTCAAAGCTAAAACCACCGATTGCATTTGAAAATCCTCGGTCATCCAGTGAGCCGTAATTCCAAGCATCGGTACGCTACTAGGTGAAGTCCAAGCATCACAAGTGATGCTGATGTAGTCCAATGAAGCGAAGAGGGAAGTGAGACGGTTGCGAGCAAGACGGAATTGAGAGAAGATACCGTCGGTGATGGCGGTTTGTTTCGACATAATCGGGGCGACAGCTGGGTTAATCCAGGATAAAAGCTCGCGGAAGGAAGGAGCGTCGACAAGAGAAACTGGGAGTTCTTGATTAACGATAAGCCGGATAACTGCATTTGTGAGGTTTCTCCTGTTAAGAGATCCCATCTTGAAAAAAAAAGAAAAGTATGAGAAAAAAAAAGGAAAGTATGACAAAACTTGAATAAAAATTTGAAAACAAATATACTTACACTACTAGTCTTTCCACTTGCAGAAAAGGCTGTAAGGGTTTGTTGAGAGGTGTCGATCGGAGCAACAATGCCATGAGCACGCAAGAGATGGCGGCTCATAGATTTGGTACTTCCAGTCTTATCGATGGCGATCGGATCTTGACACACAACAACAGGGGCCTCCAAGTCTGGAACTGTGTCAACACGACCTTTGTTGGCACGGCAGACATTTGAGGTGGTGCCGTCCCTGAACGTAACGGTTGAAAAATACTGCCACACCCAAGAGGTACGGTTGGTGGCAGTATGTTCGGATTCGACGGCACTAGCCACCGCGGAGACTGAGTCGGATGGTGCGATTGAGTTAGAAGTCGTACTGGAGGTGGTGGACATGTTGGTGTTGGTGGTGGTGGGTTGTGGATCGGTGACCTCACGACGAAGGCTTCGTCGTGACATTGGGGTGGATGATGGGGTGTGAAAGGGTGCGAGGGTATGCGGAAAAGGGGTGGAAGGTGTCTCAACAACCCTTTCACCCCTTTGTTGGGCCAGGATTTTACGGCGGCCCTGGCCCCGAGTGGCCCTGGAACAGGGCCTTTGGCTCTATCATCAGGTTAGGGCTAGGGCCCCGGACCGAGCCCCGTGATGACTTCAAAACCCCTCGGGCAGACTCGGCCGGGCAGGGCCAGGGCCGGGTCATACCCCTAGATAAATGTCACGTCATTTTAGCTCGGCATGAATATATATCACGTGATCGTTGCTTATCAACACGCGACGCAACAAGAACCTCTGAAAACTAACCAACAACCACCACCCTCAACTCACTCTGACCTTCAACATACCGAATTGATGTTCCCTTCTAGAACAGTTCAAGAACCTCAAGTGTCAACAATCTCATTAAAATCGAAAGAAGATGCAGAAGCTGAAATCGAAAGATTAAAACAATATGTAGAAGATTTGAAACAAAAAGAAGAAAGCAAGAAACGTGCATCAAATGTACTTGTACCTTGTAGTCCATCTCCACGTAAGTTTTCATTCGAGAAAGTATCGTATGTTTGGGTTTCTAAAATGTCTGATTTGAATTAATTGTTTATAGGTAAGAAAAAACGTGAACGGTTCGAGAGTGTCCAGAGTGAAGAGAGAAGTTCAAGAGATCAGCCATCGTCAAAGTCAACTCATCGACCTACTGCTGGATCTTCTCGAACAGCTCTTCAGGATTCAAAGAATGTCCTAGTGGCTAGAGAACTTCTCATGACAGGTATGGCGAGATTCTTGTTTCCTGTCATATCGAGTTCCTACAATCAATATCGATGCGTCATTACTCATAAATCTCTCATAACCTATCCATCTACATAATAGCCCGACCCAAATCGTCATTATTGGATGGTATGAAGGCAGTACGGGAGAATTTGAAAATCAGTGCTACTGTGCGCGCCGTGCCACGAAACACATCATTTCTAGACCCTAGACCGAATCCCACAAGATCTGCTCCTATAACCCAACAATCACCTTTCTGTTCAAACCGAATCAAAGCCTCAGTTCCAGAACATGTAGTTCAACCTAGTAGTTCAAGATCGACTCTAAATGATGCGGAACCTTACAACAAATCTTCAACTGGTTTACGAGAGGCAGATTTGACAGTACGAGCGGAAATTCCGATTGGTCCGGTTGAATTTAAACCTCCAATTGGTGATCCTATCTTTTCGACTTTAGAACCGAATTCGAATGTAAGATTAAGACAAAGGAATTTAAGTCATGAGGATCTTCAAGATCATTTATATGGACGTCATATTGTTAGAATCAATGAATTATACAACATTATTAGGAAACTTGATGATTCCAAATCAAAGGGTGGTACGGAGTGGGATATACCCTTGATTGGAGATTGGGTCCTTTTTGCGGTCATTGGTGAAAAGGGAGACTTGAAGCTTACCAATCCCCAAAACTCTCAGCTGCCTCCTTCCGAAAGCAAATCTCTTGGTTCTAAACAAAAGGGAAAAGCTGCTCGGGTTCCTGAAGGAGAAGATGATGAATTATCCGAATGTCTTCGTCGGGATGAAGATGTACAACAAGCGACTAATGATGCTGAATTCAGTAGTGGTCGAATCCGACAACGTAGACATTACATCAACTTCAAATTAATTGATATGTCAAGCAAGAGTATCAGTCAAAGTGGTAGCGGGATGATCAACATGATCTTATTTGAAGCCGAAGACGTCAGCTCAACAGACACAATAGACATCAATGGAAATCCAACAATTCACAAAGTATATAGAGGTGGTAGTGGAGGAGCATATGAGAAATTTTGGAAAGAACAACCTGGGACCTTGATTGCAATCTTGAATCCAAAAGTGATAAATCAAGACCATATGAAAAAAATCCACTCCATAGTAATTCCAATGTGTTAACGATTACACCTGAAAAATTAGATAGTTTTATGGTGATTGGTAAATCTAAAGATTTAGGTAATTGTACGGCTAAAAGATTAGATACAGGTAAAGGTTGTGGAAATTGGTGTGATTTGAGAATTTCGGCTGATCCGGAAAATCAAGAAGATGTGACCAAAAGTGTACCAGTTTGTGAATTTCATTTACAGCGACAAATTAACAAAACCAGAGCTGGTCGTGCTGAATTCTTTTCTTCGTAAGTTTTTACTTTCACTCTTGAGCTTTCCTTTTGACTTCTGACTTTACTCGATTGATCTAACCGTTCTCTGACTTCTCTTGACTCGTACTTAGAAACTCTGGAATGAATAAACATGTTGGGGCTCAATTCAACCCTGCTGGAATGCGCAAACACGGACAGAATGGAAAAGCAAAGTTTGATCCTGTTAAGAAGACAGGTCTACTACCAGCCAACAAGAATGGTATGCGAGTGATTGATGGTGAAAGGACGTATGTTTGTCCAGGGAATCGATCAAATCCGAAAAACATCAATCCAGCCGTAAGTAAAAAACCTAGGTGGGATGAACCAATCGATACGGAAAAGTTGGATGCAATAAGACGACGTAGGAAGAGAGAAGCATCGGAGAAAGAACTTGAGGAATCGATCTTAGAGAAAGATGTTGATGGTGAAGTTAAGAAAAATGGGAATGGTGAAGTGAAGAAAAATCAGAGTTTGGGAGATCAATATTTACTAGATGCTAAACGTCTATTGAAGGCTAAATCAGAGAAACTCAAGGGAGTTGATCAAGGCTCGTCGCATGCTTCTGGTAGTCAGTCTTCTAGTAAAGCTCGTAAGTATTGGTTTTTTTGGTTCCGCATTGGATCAATTACTTCATTGAGTTTGGTTTTCTATAAATATAGCTACTCGAGCAAGAAAAACTTTTGATGATACACTGGTCGAAGGGATTGGACATAATCCTACTAAAGAGGCTTCAACAAGTAATTCCAAACCCAAAACCGAAGAAGAATCATGTAATTTCTTAGACCTTTTGGGAGAAGAAGGACCAATAAGAAAACTTGGACCTGATACCTTAAGTGTTGGTGCTAAACATGGTGCTAGACAGAATGGTATGTTAAAGAAAAAGACACAAGTGTCTCTTACTCTTGAGGAAGTTTCACGTTTGGATAAGTCTACTGTTGATGATGTTGGTAAAGATGATAAAGATGAAAGTGATTCGGATGATTCGTTGATTGTTTTACCACCTACTTGATTCTTTATGCTTGATAAGAATTATTGTTTAATAAGGATATAAAGGACTTTTTTGTAACTTCTTCTTGCAGTGGTAAATTTTGTTATATATATATATATATATTGAGTTTTTACAATGTTAGGTTATGAGTATGTGAAATGTAGAATGTAAAAATACGACTCTCTTTTTATTGATGGATCCTTAAGCCATTTAATCATGTACTGTTAGAGCTTCTTTATACTATGGAGGTTGTTCAACTTATTAATCAATGACTATTTTCAGATGCTTACAAAGGTTTATATTGCGAACTAATCTGATACCAATAGACAACAATCACTGAAAAACACGATAAGCCTGGCAATAGCTTACCTCAAGTCAAGGCTTATAGAGGGAAGTGAGGGCATAGGCAGACTTCAGGCTAAGATTGAAAGGCTATGATGGTTTGATTGTAATACTGTTGAAGACAATAAACAAAAAATGTTGTACATATACCCTGAGAAGAACATAAAGCGGCCACAGATGATAATCATCCCTCTTCCAGCCAAACCTTAAGGTATCTTTTTGCAAACTCTTTGAATAGTAAAAAAGGCTCATCAGAATGAAAAACAAATCAGGAGACTTGAGTCGCATCCAATTTTGAAGCTTCTTGTTCTCTCAGAAAGATTTTTAGTTTCAATTGACATATCAAGCTCATGATGAGATTTTAACGGTGATTTTTGACCGGAAATACAAGCTGTGACTTGAAAACAAGGAGATAAAACTCTGTCAGGATGTCTGCCTCGCGCCTTTTGCATGTCAAATGATCATTGTTCTCACTCGCATAGTATTTCAAGTCTGGGTATATTACAAGGGAAAGTGTTTTGGTTTTAAGATTTGGAAAAAGATTACATTGTCATTAAATGATTGAAAAAAGCATCTCTGGTGAGGTTTTGCTTGTGAAAGAATGTTCACGTTTTGGTTCCTTTGTTGAATTTTTTTACAAGATACGTTAATGCAATGTAGAAGAACTGTGATATAAGAGGAATGCGACGATAAATGAAACAAGTCAACCAACAAGTTTGAAAGTATAAGTAAAAGTAAAAGATTGACGTACGAAAAAAATTGGGTGTCAAAGATATATATAATTTTTCTTATCAGCTGCCAAGCCAGGAGCCATTTCCAAGATCTCTTTCCTATTCTTGATCATATCAAGACTCCATTGATTCATCTCATGTATAGTAACAGTAGGATACCATCTAACGTCTACACTTCTGATTGAAGCTTGAGGTCCAATAGCATCTTCAGATCCACGTAGAAGAAACATCATATTACAGATGTTACTAGAAGAACTACAAACGATAGCTTCTGAATTATCAACGGCGAATGTGATATCTCTAATCAAGGAGATTGTAAGTCTTTTTCTTAATTCAGGTGATGATGAATCAAACTTGGCTTGATCAAAACCATCATCAGTCAGCTTCACAGTGTCAGGCGAACTTAGTAAATGAAAACGTTGAGAAGGAGGATAAAATGATTGATCTTCTTCAAACATCTTTATGGCAGTCTTAGTATCGTCTGAGAAGATAAAGACCAAAGGTAAACTTTCCGATTTTTTCCAATTAGGTACGAATGATCTGATAACCTCGAAGAAAGCCTTTGGGTTTTGAGATGAAGTGGTGATACCTATGACGCCAGCAGGATTCATACGTTCTACTTCTGCCTTCTTGTCTCCCAATCTGAAATGAACTGATATCAATTTCTTTGCCATACGGTCATCTGGATCAAAGTTCTTGATTGACGATTTAGCAATCCTTCTTTGAGTTTCTGAAGAGATTGATTCTATCATTCTATCATGAAGGTTTTTCTTCATAACTTTTATTTCGTCTAAAATCATCTGATTAGGTCTCCAAATATGTTGAAACGCTTCTGATTTTGCATCAAATAATGATTTTAGTGAGTAATGTAAGTTTTGCGTGGCTGGTAAGACGGTTCTTTCTTCTCGATGATTCATCAAGTTCCAAACGGAATGTGCATCAACTGCACGTTTATTGAGAAGCCCTAGTACATATTCAGTATATCCTTGACGGCTAAACGGACAATTAAGGAACAAATGAGCTAGGCATCTAGGAAATCTGGCAAAGACTCTAGACATACCGATCCCAATTCCCGTAGACATGATCTGATTGATTTGAACCTAGGTTCTTATACTCGGTACGTGGGGTCTCTTTCGAGGGTGGTCGACACGGTAGTGGTGGTATATCGAAATAGTCCTATCCTTCGATTCCTGATGAGTGGTTCTTCTTCTGATAAGCTTGGGTATGGAGAAGACTCACACTTAGTCTTCCATATACCCATTTAGAATCATCTAGGACCATTGTGTAATTGGAAGCTGAAGCAGCGACCGCCGCCATGCTCTGTTTGGAAAGAAAAGTAATTTGAATGAACATCTGATTTTGTGTGCTTCGAAGTTCAAGGCAAGTTTGATTCTTGAATGTAATTTTAAATCTAAACCCACATAGAGACCCAATTCTGATCCTAATCCAAATGGGCTAATGAATTGATAAACAAAAGTTCTACTACAGTTGGGAAGTTTTGAAGGTTCAGTGAGAGATTTATCCAATTTGTGAATCACGCCGATTTTTCTTCTTGATGTGGTATACTTCTGATCTGTTTCCCTATAAAGATCAGTCGTTGGCTTGAGATACCGGAAAGAAAGGTTAAAACTTTTCAAAGTGAGCTCACGATTTTATGATGAATCCGCCCGTGGCGATCATTATTACGACGATCACTGTCAAACCCATGTAGAAGTTTGTAGATGAAATCGGTTTTTTTTGCAGATTCTTCAAATTCACAAAAACAAAGAGTGAGAAATTTTCTTATCAAGTAGATCGGTCGTATGAATCCGGCTTACAGTTTTTTGACCTCGATTTCTCTTACTTCTTGATGGAAGTCGTGTATTATCTGGTTGTTCATCGATTGTCATAGGTAAAAGAGGTCGATCCTCTACCATCATTTCTGTCATCATTGATTTGAAAGTGTTGAAATTTTTGATGTCGAGACGAAGGAATGTATTGACAGAAAAATTATTGCGGACAATAGTGGTTCTCTCTTATTGGTTTGCTAAGGCATTTTCGTGGTAGAGGCCTTCAATAGCCTTAGGAGGATTCGAGAAGTTCGAGAACTTGTATCTAAATACGTAGCAAGGCTACCTTAGTAGGACCCCGGCAACCTGTAGCAAGATATCCAAAACTTTTCATAAGCGCATAAGAGCATCCACTATCGTCTCTGTAAACGGCCTCGGTACGGTAAATTTTACTGAAATTTACAGTACCGAGCCTCAAAATCCCCAATCGTGTACAAAGTACACATCGGTACCTACAGAATTGGTCAAAAATCTGTAGAGCTCCAGTAAATCTACTGGACCTCTGCAGAATCTCTACCGAATCGGTATCCACCAAATCTACAGAATCTACCGAGCAAATCCATCACCACCTCACTCAACACCACCACCTCTGTCACATACCTATCGACTTCAATCACCCTCTTGACGATCAACTTTTCCGTGCTCTCATCAAACATCTAGTTTTCCCTCTCATCGATCGAGCGAATCCATCGAGATCCATCACCACCTTGCCCAAAATCACCCTCTACCATCACATATTCTTCGATTTCAATCACCGTCTCATCGATCAACTTTTTCAAGCTCTCATCAAACAACTTTTTTATCCTCTCATCGATCAACATGTTCATTTTCTTATCAATCAAGTCTTTCAACTCAACTCTTTCACCTTCTCATCAATCCAATTCCATAAATCAGGATGAATTCATCGAATGAAAACATCGTGTGATTTTGCAATGTCATCATACAATGTTTTCGCAAATCAATCACTCAAGATATATTTCTCTTATCAGATATTTGTTATGATTTCATTGCTTGTTATCTCTTTTTCTTCCTAGTAGTTTGTAAAGAAAAGTGGAATCAAAGGCATCGAGTCAATGAAATGGAGTCAGTGTCCAAATATTGTTCCCTTGTGCCACCCAGTTGTGAACATTGAGATCATTCATCAGATAACAATGGATCTCAGCATCTTGTAAATCTGGATAATTGGACAATGCTGTTGGTGTTTGAGCCAAGGTCTGAACAGACTTGCAGATTCTTTACTGGAGGCACGATTGTGGGACAAGGCCTTTTCTGTACAGTATCCACTGTACCAAATGCTGCAGAATGGTGTTTACAGAAACGATAGTGGAATTCCGTGCTTCTGTAAGTACAGACGGTGTACTTTACAGACACGACCAGTAAATTTACTGAAAATTTACTGTAACGATAGTGGATGCTCTAAGGTGGCATGTCGGATGAAGTCAAGAAATAATCGCAAAACACCTCTTGCCCAAGACGTTATACTGTCGTTCCCAAAAAGACTATCGAGATAAATTAGGTACTCTGGCAATTGATCACACGAGCCACGGAGTCTTCTACTATTCAGATTTGAATCTGTAATAATGAGGTTTTTGACATCTCTTTGTCAGAAACATGCTTATTTAAGAAGGTCTCGGAATACTCCAAGTCGGGGATAAAGATGACGAAAAATATCCGAGTGAGCAGTCTAGGCCGGAACAAAAAAAAAAGAGTATCCCAGAGCCTGTGGTAGATATCGCCCTAAAGTGCCTCCCAGTTTTAGAAGTGTGTTCGTCAGGACCATCTATGAAGAGAGGAGTTTGTAAAAAATTACGGCGGATCTGGACTCCTGGAGTGATGAGCTATGCTGATTTCGAGTAGAACCCCTTCTCGGGCTTGCCGGGGGCCTCCATCCTTTGTTTTTATTCTACCTATCGAATCTGTTTCTTCTGATACCAGTCTTTTTCTCCTGGCGACCTTTCATCCGAGATGTATGTTGTGAATAGGCTTTTAGACTACAGGAACTACAACTTTGCAATATAATTTTTTTATCAAGTTACCGGATTGACACAACTACGCCTGTGTCCTTTTACCTTTAACAATCAACTCCGCACTTGTGATCATAAATCGGACGATTGAAAATTCCTTCCTGCCAAACAAAAAAATAGCACTCCCTTTGTATCGACAGTTTTGGATCACTAATATTTTCTTATGCGATGAATATTCTTCTATTCGATACACAAGATCTAGTTGTGAGCTAATTAGAAAGGCTAAAAACATATCATATTTCCCTCGACGAATGCCCATCATCTAAAGGTTTTACTATCATAGACCAGAAGAAGCAGGTACAGACAAAACTTCAGCTCAGCCGAGACATATCACCAAGGTTGATGACCCGTTGCATGGTGTTGATCAGGTCCTTCTTACCTATTCTTCTTTTCAAAGATTTCTCTTTGCTTATTTTTTTTTTGCCTTTGTTCTACAATGCATCTTTGGTTGGTTCGTTTTCTTTGTTATAGATTTAAAATCACGTTAGTAATAAACTAATGACGAGTTCAAAACCGATTGTCATTCTGCCATTGTTTTCGTTTGAATTTGTATTTTCCACTCTTCCCTAAAAACCAACCTAATCTCAATTCTACTCTTCGTTAGATTGATTTTATTTTTTTATAGTGATTCTGATGATTTTCTTTTCGCACTTCTACTAAATTATAACAAAGACGAGTATATCTATACAATTTTTTTTAATTCCGACCTTTTCGATCTTTCACCTATTGGATTCACGAATCATGAGTGCTGGATCTTATAACGCTCACTTTGAGTCTAAATGTGAATCAACAACCAAACCACAAACCAAATTCTTTAACCTTTGGCGACTTAAACCTCATTTTGATGATTTAGAAAGAAATACTAAATCGATTAATGGTAACAGTAGTAGTTTTCGTAAAGTTAGAAGTCTGATCAGTACACCTATGAATCAAGTGAGTAGTAATAACCTATCTTGTCCACCACCTTTGGTTTGCGATCAGATAAAGAAGATCACTGATGGTTTTGGTTTTTTCTTTTCTTTAGATTCAGTTAAAAGATATTTTAAAAGGTGAACATTTACCACCCTTGACTTTAAAAGAATTTGAAGATTACCTTATTCATGTTGAGAAGAGTCCAGAGAATTTGTGAGTTTGGTTTTGGCTTTTCTATAACTCTATGAAAATGATGTGATCACTGATGTTGTTGAACCTATCCATTCTTTGCTTGATCATGATACTATTACCTGACATGGCTCCTTCTTATAAGATTCTTCTATCTGTATGTTCAACGTCAATTCAAGACTAATGAGGTTTTCATAAAACGCGCTTTTGAAGCTTGACGCTGACTGTCTTCTTCAAAATATGTAGATGGCTTCAAGATTATACGCGTTACTATCGTCAATGGGAAAAAAGCTTAGCACAACACTCATCCGAAAAAGCCAGTAGATCAAAAGAAATCTCACAAGATACACCATGTTATAAAAATTCCTCAAGAAGTCCTCGATTTGATCATCAACCATTTTCACCCATCAATTTCGAAATCTCAAATCAACATACCAACATTTCACTTCATACACCTTTACCACAAGATTTACTTATTTCAAAATCGATTGCAGTGCAAACGTTTTTCAATTCGAACTCGATTCTAGAACTTAACCTTTCATACGAAGTTAAAAGGAAGATTCTGTTAGATATCTTGGTGACCTCTGATCCTTCAATCTTTCGACATGTTAGAGAAGAAACTTTTTTGATGTTAGAAGAAAGTATGAGACGTTGGTTGATCCGTACTGAGGGAAATGCTGATGATAGTAGGTAAGTAAACTAACTATCAACTCATCTTCCTGCTCTTAATCACAGTCCCTAACTCAACGAGCGCAATCTTATCAATCACTTCACAGGATTGCATTTGCAATATGCTTAGGCTTAACAGGCATCACCCTCTCAATCCTCATCGTCTCCCTAATCCTCATCAACCCATCACAAAGATATCTAAGACTACTGATCACTCCTTTATTTTGGCTATCATTGAGTACATTGGTTTCAGGTTTATATCGTACTTGTCCTATCATCTATCTCTTTGGATCGTATCGACAAATCCATTCTTGGGAATTATTAAAAGGAGTTCCTGATCCTAATGAAGTGAATTTCATCACGCTCAAGAACACTTCAATCTTTTTCAAATTCGGATCACCTACTAGATCTGATCATTCTGAAGAAACAGATCTCACTCATCCAAGACTTTCACCCGTCCTAATCAGTTATGGAAACCTATCAGCAAACCATCCAAACCAATTAGACCCCTTAAACTTCTTTCAAGAATCAAATAAATTAACGTCTCATCATCAAACTTGGTTTAAACTAAGACCTGAACTACCCAAGACTTCTGTCTTTTCTCCTTTAACTAAAATCATCAGTCCTATTGTCAAAGATGCATTGAAGTTAAATATTATTAAAAGTTTGGTTTGGGCTTCTCTCTTGACTCTTTTTTGGTGTTTTGGTTTAGTGTTTGAAGCTAAACTTCAACTTACAAATCGTTCTGATTAAATCAATTATACTTCATTCTCTTACTGGTTTATATGATTTATCAATTTTCTTTTTTTTGGGATTCGGATTAAAGATTCTAGATTATCTTCTTTTCTTTTCACTTTTTTTCTTTGTGTTCTGAAGCTGACCATGAGTCATTCCAAGTCCACAATCGTATCTCTGATTCCAAAAACATTTATGATTTATTTTTTCAACACTCATGTACATACTTATCGAATCCTTCAATGATTTTATTATATGCTCTTGATTTTTTTTCATTTCAATTTAGGTGATTTTTTACTTGATTCCTATCAATCCTTGTTCATGAAATGTATATAGTTGTCAAATATAGCTTCTTATCATTCTTTGATTCTTAGGCGATTGGACATTCTTTTTGATGTAAGAGTTTGTGTTTAAGAGTCAGAGAAATCTTTTCAAGTCAACCTCTATTACTCGAGGGGGAAACGCGCCCAATGCATTGAACCAACTGGTGTTCACTGTTCAGTCATAGCGATGCCATGAGGGGTATACTTCTATCACGATTCACGATTCATCACTGCCAGCATTAAATAGGTTCCCTGGTCGGAACATGACCTAGGCTGGGAATATCATTGAGAGAAGAATGGAGCATCACATCATCTCGCACTGCACATCTGAGCCATAAAGCATACACTACATATGTGCAAACATCTGAGTAAATCCTTAGCTATCAGCTACATACAGGTCCGCTCAGTTATCTGATCATCTAGATAAGAAAATCATGTGTAATACATGCTGTAACTTTGTTCAGATTGAGACACACATTTCAAAATATTGACTACATATATCACAATGGCTACTCAGGCAATATTCATGGAACTGTGTAACAGTAGCAGAATGGGAATCTGATCACTAGGACCCATATTCCCATCTGGGAACCTCTTTAATGCTGGAAGTGCATGAGCCTTCTTCAAGCTTTGTGGTATTTTAGCCCCCAAGCGTGTGAGTGAGAGTGAGTGAGTCCTGAATTGAGAAATTCATCGTTACCAACACACCATGCTTAAGTTAAGTTAAGTAAAGTCTTAAGATAAGCTTACCACCAAGCTTTATTTAAAACCGATTGGACCACAACACTTCTTCAAGAACCACTCAACTATCATTCATTCATCAAGCAACAAGCAACAAAATGTCATCAAATACCAAACCATCATCATCATCAAACAATAATATCCCATTCCCTCAACCATCATCATCATCATCATCAAACCAAATCAACATCACAACCACAACTACAAGCTCAAACCAAGATGATTTCTCAACCACACGAATCACAGATTCAAGAATGTCAACTAGATCTCGTAGAGCATATTATACGCCTCAAACTCCAAGACAATTCTCTCGTTCGGCTGCTAAAAGGGATTCGGTGATGGCTTTAGGTTCAATTGCTCATTTACAACATTATTTTGTAAAACACGGTTTAGCAAGTAAAGATAGGTATTTATTATCCTAAACACCCACACCCTGAAAAACACAATCTAAATCCGTTTTGATGAACTTTAAGACGTTGAAAGACTGATTTGTTTGTATTTGTTTTGTTTTTGTTGGGTAGACCTGGACAAAATAAAAATTTAGTATTAGCCATTCCAGGTACGACGACAACTTTAACAGAAGAAGAAGAAGAAGAGTTTGATGAATTACCCACACCTTTACCACCCCCACCTATGCCAAGTCAACCATACTTTCCACCCGGAAGAGCGTTACCGAACCTAACCGATTTAGAAAGTGCCCGAAGAGAAGTCATGAATCAATTAGATCAAGTTTGTGAGAGTTGGGGATTGATTGAATTGACTTCGATGAGAAGAGTTTCATCAGCTCAATCGAATCGATCAATTTCAGATCAAGAAAGAACTTCGAATAGTACGAGTCCAGCTCTAAGACCTACTGAAGATGATTTTGTGGTCAATCTTTTGGCTCTTACTACCGGAGCGGTTCGATCGGTTCAAAAGTTTATCCTTACTTTACCGGATCTTGATTTGATTGAATCTACTTCAAAACCAGGTTCAACTCAAGGTGGTTTGGAAAGTAGGATCTCTCATTTAGAATTATCTACTTCTGCTAGACCTAGGATTTCGAAATCGGTTTTGAATCCGTTTAGGTCTACTAGTGCTTCGGCTCATCATTCGTCTCATAAACCTTTCTCTAGAGCTTCTTTGATTGATCCATTTGCACTTTTTAAAAAACGACTTCCATCTAAATTCCATCAAACTAACAATAATAATAACAATCATCAAGTTGAAGAAAGTAAAGAAGATCCATTAAGTGTGTTAAGAAGAACTTCATTGGACGTTTTAGGATGTTTAAAAGAAATCGAATTCAGGTACCGGATTCCCGGATCAGCCACCCCAACCGAACCGTTCCAATCAACCATCACAAGTTCATCATCATCCTCTTCACCTGATTTTTCATCAGACACACCACCTTTGATAATCGACACAAGTACAGAAGATTCGACTTCATCTATCTCCACTTCGACAAATTTGTTACCTGCTTTAAGTTGGGATTATCGATCGGATCTTGGATTACAGGATGTGAGACAAGAAGCTATGGTGGTGAAAAGATGGCTTGAAGCTGTTGATGGAGTTCTAGAAGGTGTTACGATTATCAATCGACGTCCATCTTCATTTCAATCTGTTAATCCTAATCCTAATCTGAAACATAAATCGAGTGGAAATTCTATCGGATTAGGATTACCTTTGATTAAAACTCAACAGAATAAGTTTAAGAAGATGTTTAATTCTTCTAAACCTAATGAAACGGGTGTACCAGGGATCTCGATCCAAGAAGAAAAAGAAGAAGAGAGTGAAGAAGAGATAGCGGAAGAAGAAGATGAAGAGAATCCATTAGAGAAATGGGCGAGAGAAGAAGTAGAAGAAGAACTAGAAGAGAATGCAAATGAAGAAGATCGGGGCCTAAAGAAGTTAATAAGAGCATACGAATGTCTTCGATTCTTTTTACCATTTGATCATCTTTCTCATTTAAAATCACCTATCGAATCACGAACCGATTTCCTAAAATGTTTATCGTAAGCCTTTCAATCATCCCTTCACATCTGTACATACACTGAAGAGGTTACTTTTTTTTTTGTTGGGCGGGGACGGTATTTAGGGATGGAATGTTAGTTTGTATAGCTTATAATATCGCTCTGAGACAGTCTCATCGACCTTGGGGATTTATTCCTAGTCAAAGTATACATAATGTTATTGAACTTGAACAAAGAAATCTTTCTATCATCACATCTCATTCCAATCAGAATCAAAATCATTCTAGTTCTAGTTCTGATCCGAACGAACGAATCGGATTGACTTACAGAAGGATGGATAATTTAAGAGTTTGGGCTGCGTAAGTTCTTTGTTTTCTCTTGAATTCACACGAAACTGATTGTTTTTTTTCTTTGGTTGGGTTTCATCATCATCTTCGTAGAGCTTTGAAATTGAGATATTTAATTAAATCTCAAGGGTTCGAACCGAAAGTGGTTTCAAGAGGTGAAGATGGATGGGAAAAGATGTTGGAAAGTTTATTGTTTGGTTGGATTGAAGCTTTGGTTTTGGAAAAGAGAGAAGAGATTTTTGGATTATGAAAAAAAACCAAAGAAAAAGACCGCCTGAGAAAATATTCTTTTTTATTTATTTATATCTTTATTACTTTGGGTTGGTTATTTTTTTTTTTGATGATGATAGGTTTTGGAGTTTTAGATAAACACTTGAACAAGAAACTATCAAGAGAGATTTTGTTGATTATAATTAATTTTTGGTAGAATTTGTTTGTATTAAAAAATTCTTTATGGGTTTCATATTATCTCTTTTTTATGTTTTTTTTCGATTTTTTTTTTTGATTTTTTTAAAGCAGGGTGAAGTTTGTTTATGGTGCAATTACTTTGTTTTTTACATGAATTATTTTACGTGAAGGAATATTTATAGGCGTTTTGAGTTGTGACAGTGTGGTTTGCATTGTATGAGAATCAGATAAAGAGGAGACTATGTTTTGCGAGGTTTGAAAGGTATTTGGGATCGGAGGGAAGGATTGTTGGTTAATGGAATTGGAGTTTGATCAAGATCAAGCTTGGTTTAAGTTTGGTTGATTTTGAATGTTTGTGATAATGTGAAAGATGTTTGATCATACATACTTCATCACTGCAAAGTTCAAACAGATTTGGGCAATGTTGATTGAAACTTAAAGCGTAACAGGAAGTTTTCTATACCTGATCACACACCTCACTCTCAGTTGATGAGAGAAAATCACTTCTTGCTCACAAGGAGAGTAGCCAACCCAAGTCTAAAATAAATAAAAAAGCATCCCTGCAACTAACTTCAACAAATGTAATATAATCCCACTCAATAAATTTTGATAAAAAACCCCGCGTTCAGGATTCGGGTCCTTGAAAGAATAAATCAAAGTGAAAACAAAAACAAAAAGGATAAAGATAGTCATTTGACTAATAAGTAGAAAGAAAGTGGGATAAAGGAGTGGTATTACACTGAATCACAGTTCAGCTAAAGGTCTTAAATGATTTTTTGAAAAACTTGAAACATGAGATATGTAGGAGATAGACACTCAAATCATGTACCTGACACACATAAAGAATTGAACTGATATCTTAGAAGAGAGTCAGAGTACTTATGATATGATGAATCTCATCTATGAGAAACGTGAAGAAAGTTTTGATAGCAAGTCGCAAGAATGGTTTATTCGTGTTCCATCATCATTTGGTCAAGTAAACGACTGGTATCGAGACAATTATGACAGACTGATTTGAGAAGAAAAAAGTCATCAGTGATCTATGTAATTTCACTCATGCTTCTGTTTTGGTTAAGAAGATAAAGGATTGGACTTCAGCTTACTTGCGTGACTTCCGCCCATAGGTTCACCCTTACACGAGTAAGTCTTAGTATCCGTATTACAAGCTATTGTTTTAAGAAAAGAGTGAGAAGTTCAGAAAGGCTTCAGTGTTGGTTTAGGAACTCAAGAAGCTCAATCAATCAATCAAGCTCATCTCGATGATGACTTACCTTTTGTTCCCCTAGCATAATGATCATAAGCAACAGTACACACAACGCTCTCCACATGAATGATTTCAACTCCTGATACCACTGGGGTGCCCAAAGCGTCGGTATTTTCATTGATCTCTAAACAATCCTTTGCGGCTATGAATGGTAATCGATATGTCAAAGCTAATGACGGAAATCTTGAATGAGTTACTTACTGATATAAGGACCTTCGCAACCACCAACACACATATGAGAACGGTTACACCCTGATGAAAGGAATGATCAGCTTAGGCTTTTGTTTTACGATCCAAGATGATTCGGAAAAAACTCACATGCTCCTTCAGTATGAGCGTCATCATATAATGAACAACTCATGGTTTGTCCTCCTTGACGTTTGATATTTCGATGTTTGTAGGTAGGAGACTTGGTAAGGGTCATCTCAACGAGATTCATAGAAACCAAGAAGAAAACTGAAAGTATGAAGAATAACATTGGGATTTGGAAAAATGAATTTAGAAAGGAGAAAAGAGTGTGAATAGATTGGATGAAGAAATGTGTTATTATATTGGGTTGGGCTTGATGAATGAACTTGAAAGATCAGATTCAAAGAATCAGCTTTTGGAAAAAGGGAACAAGACTTGAATGATCACGTAGACCTACTGGATCACTCAAATTTCTGGTGATTCGTGGATAGATGGAAGATCTTAGAAAGTTCAAATTCTCCACCGATTTGATCAAGTTTCTACATTCAAGCCTTCCAGCCCACCTATAAATACAATATAATATATGTATGTACAATTTTACATACAGTCGATTCAGATTGCATCATGCTTGCCAAAGTTGAGAAGCGCCGAATTTTTTTGAGGGAAAACTTGTTCAGAATTGGACAAGTGTTTTTGAAATTGAATTCATTTAAATTACAAAAATATTTAACAACACTCTCCTCTGGTTAAAAATGCAATTTACTAAGCTTGATATATATAAATGACCTCACATCTAAGACTCAAGAGTCATGAAACTCACAAGTTGCATTATTCACCATATTTTTGTTACATTTGGAAGGAGGTATACTTACGGGAAAGCTATATGAAGATTTCCTTTTTTAAATCAGAAAATCAAACTGATTCCATCATCGACATATCCATCCCCAAATGATTAGGGTGTTCAAACCTGTGCAAGAACTGTGCAAGACCGACATGCAAGATCTGTGCAAGATCCGTGCAAGATTTTTTGCACTAATCTTGCACATTAATTTTTTTGACAACCCGAGTTATTGTGTTCAAACCGTGCAAAAACCGTGCGAGACCGACTCTTGCAAGTTTTGTGCAAGTTCCGTGCAAGTTCTATTCATATCTGGCACAGAACTTGCACAAAACCTGCATGAATTAATTTTGAGGTTTGAACACCATAGATATATCAATAGTACTAGGGTCAGAAGGACAGGCAAAATGATTACTTCATTTGTAACCAATTGGAACTTTGTTCATTGTAGGGATCTCAACTTGTCTTTTCTTGTGTGACCCACCTTTCATTTTTCACAAGGATCCCACTATTTATCGCCCCCTCGGCTGATATCCGGAGCCCCCCGGGGTTTCACCAAAACCCGCGTGACCCGATCACACCCGACTGTTTTTAGCCTATATTTCGCACAGTCGGACCTTGAGGGCTCCTTGAGGGCTCCCTTAAGCGGGCAAAACTTCTCATATGCGCCCTTAATTTACTTTTTTGATGCCCCCTCACCCATGATGGGGCAACAAAGATCACTGAAACAAATGAAAGGGCTTCAAAGTTCTTTTGTGCCCAGACCGGCCCCATGACTGCACGGACATTGGGCCCCTTGACTCTCATGAAAGTAGTGCATACGCATATACACATGTAGGAGGTGACAGGTCCCCTCTCCCCTATCTCGAACTCTTTTCCCATGTCGGAGTTTACTTTTTCCCTGTTCCCTCTTTGCACTGATCACATCTCCAAACTTCAAACCGACACCAACAACCTTGAACCACTTCATACACATGCCAACAACCTCTGACTCTCTTGAATCACGCTCATCAACTTACCATGATAAGTTACACTATCACAACAACAATTGCACGCCTTCATTCCAATAGCCTTGTAGCAACAACCTTAAAATTTGAGAATCAAAACATGGAAAAAGAAGGATTGCAGCAATGAAGATTCAAGATTGATCAACACCTATGTGACATCAAGTCTTTTCACAGAGAATGGAGTGTATCTGTTGGATTTGGGATGAGTAGCATGAAAATCTAACTCACATTTATAGACACAAGAAACCAGTTTGATAAGATTCGAAAATATCTGTGCAATCCCGCTAGATCAAATCTCAAGAAGGCCTTTTGAACGAGACGGCTTGAAAGCAAAACCCACAACTTGATGATCCTGAAGTTGAAGTTCTTGATCATTAATCAATCAAAGCTCTTGAACCGTATGGTGTTCAATCTTGTCTCGCTCACCAATCAACTTGCGATGAAAAAATCTGGTTTGTTCAAACAGTTTCATTTGTATATATCACCAAATCATTGCTTATACTGATTTCTGCACTTGTTTTTCAGGAATTTGATATCAATCTCAAGGGCCCAGCTGAATGAGTCATCAAATTTACTCATACAAGACAGATGTCAGCTTGAAAACGTTTCTCGATATATTCTTTTTTGATTCGGACAGTCTCAATTTGAACTCAAAGGAGTAGAGTTGAGCTAACATATTCAAGGCGACAACGATCTCCTTTTTTTGCTTCATATCTCTTTACTCCAGTCAATAGGATCTGTCATCTACCTATGCATCATTTTATGTTGTATGACCAATATCCTTGTATGAAACCCCTATGTCTATCTATGCTGTTAATTTAAGATATCTTCATGCCAATGCATACGGTCTTGTGTGCTTATCGAGCTCAGCTCATCGCACTATCATCAAAGTGACAATGGCTCAGTCTTGTACTTTGCTCACTTCAGATAGTTCCTTTAAGGTTAAGGGTATGCCGGGTACATGCAAAAGAGTAAATTCTTCGAGCAACAATGGAGGATAACGGAGATGAAATAAATAATGTGGGAGCCCCAATAGGGAGCCCCTCTTTCTAAAAAGGGGCGCCTGATTTGTTTGTAGCCTGGTGTCCGACCCGAGAGGGGGCGCCGGATACCGCTCCGAGGGCTCTAAATAGTCCTTTTCACAATAGATCTCAAAAGGCAATTATATCATTGACAGGGGATATCTTTCAAATGAATCAGTGAAAAATGATGAGACTATGTACATACATTTACTCTAAGTTTTGTATCAAGAATTCATTGATTGATTTCTTTCAATTTCTCAAAGAATTCTACACGATCTTTAATTATTGGACTCAAAAGATATGATAGTCTCCAAGATTTTGTATTACCTTCATTCTGATTTTCAATTTCCTCTGCATCTGAAATGATATCACCTGTAGTCTCTTTCACTTCTTGTTCCTCTTTCTCTACCTTTTCCTTTTCATCTGAAGATTGTATGGAATTCAAAACTCTGTTGACTCTTATCTTTTTCTGTGTCTCATGATAATAATTAACTTTACTTATTTTTCTTTTCTTAGGTTGTTTAACTTGAGGTGATGGTAATGTAAGCAAGAGCTTTGGCTCTTTGTTTAACTTTTGAGGGTGTAAGACTTTTTTCAAAACTTTCAACTTCCATACATCCATCTCAGAAGATAACCAACTGGTTTTATCCTTAAGGATTGTGAAGAGAGGTAAAATCAATTTGTTTGAAACTTCCCTAGCTCTTTTATCCCTTTGTGATTTCAGCGCATTAGCCCAATCAAAGATTTCATTTTTTGCAGTGATCATTCTCATCTCATTGGATTTTTCCTGCTGAATTATATGTGGAACAATTTCATTATGACTTTTAAAATCTTTTTCACCATCAAGATCTTTCTGATAACCTAAAACCCTGTTAATTGTTCTTCTTGCTTGATCAAGTCTTTCTCTTGTATAACCATTTCTTTTTCCTTTAGGAACCACATCTTTTCCTCTAAACCAATCTTTCTTTGACTTGAAAATATTGGTTAGACGGCTTTTCAAGTTTCCTTTCAATTTACTTAATCCTAAATCTACCCTCATGTCTTTGGTTTTCATCACTCTGGATTTAAAAATCTCTCCAAACTTTCCAAGTAAATTTTGTATTGGATCTATTGTAGGAGAAAATGATTCAACAGATTCACTTTGAGGAATTTGTGTTGAACTTGTTTTGGGCCATTTCTCAAATCCTTCAAGTCCACTCATACCAGAAGACTTTGCCAATTCATGCTCGACACTCATCTTCAAATCTGTTATCTCAGAAATCTGATTACCTGCTAAATTTTTTACTTTATATATTGGGCTTCCTGATTGGTTCTCTTTATTAAATTTGTTGACGAACCAATGGTACTTTGACATCAATAAATCTTTCTTTAACGTCACAAAAGCGTATAATGGATCTAATGCTCTCATCTTTTGATGTCTTTTCCACATTGACATCAAAGAATTTGGATAAAATGATTTGATCAAAGAATCAGATGAGCTTTTAGGAATTTTATTTTCGGTATGAAATTGAAGGTTGGTAGATAAATCATGTGAATCTAATTTTTTTCTGATGATTTCATTTGGAAATGGGTCATCAATTTCAATTCCCAATGGATGTTCAAGTACCCCTTCAGCTCTTGACCTTTGTTTAGTGTGTACATCAATTAATACTTGTTTGGAAGTTGAACCATATTCCGGCCCTGTAACTTGGTGTTCCTTCTCCTCTTCTTCAATCAATCTGAACTGGTAATTTTTAGCAAGTATAGACAAAAAGTCATCATACTGATTCATTTTTAATTCTTTGAACATAGGTAACTTGATCTTCAAGGAAAATTGATTCAATTCATCATGAATATCAATCAAAGGTTCTTCAATAGTCAAATGTAATTGATCAAAGTGTTGGATTTGATTTAAACCTTTTTTAAAACCTTTTTCTTCTTCTTGATACTTTCTGAACATTTCTTCATCATCTCCTGCAAGTCTTTCAAGAAGGTTTGAACATTTCTTGGCATACTTTCTTATATATCCATCATCACCAAAAGTGGATTTCATTAAACCTTTTCCTTGATTGAATAAATTGGATAGTTTAATTTGATCTGTTGAAGTTGAAAGTTGATTGGATTTGTTTTCAATTTTTTCATCTAAAAATGATTTTGATTGTTTTTGAATCAATTCATCATTTTCTTCTATCTGTTTTCTTTTCCTATTAAACTCCAAAAACCTTCCATCCATATCTAAAAGATTTTCTTTTTTTTCATTTTCTTTATGAATGATAGTTTTCATTTCATCATCAGGTCTAGAAAGTTTAGACAACATTGAATTTTGGGCAGTTGCATACTTTTTCCTGTGCCTCATAGCCGCAATGATTCCTTCACCTTTAGATCCAATCAATTCAGAACGTTCAATCTCATCTACTTCATTCAAATGAGTTTTCTCTGAATTTGATTCTTCCTTAAACTCATCAAACTCACATCTATTAATCTTCTTGATCATCTTTTTTTCTTCACTTGGATCTTTTACTAGTTTTTTAATCGGTTCATTTGAATGATTTCTTAATGAATGAATTCGATTACCTACCCACTTTAAAATACCTTTGATTGATTTGTATGGAAGTAGTATCAATTCAAGCGTTTTTCGTAACCATGTCTTTTTGAGCTCTTTGTTATTACTTTTTTCCATTGCAGTTTGTTCATCTTTCTTCAACTGATCTTTCAAAGTCATCAAGTCATCATCCTTTGGTGCAACTATGTCCTCCATCCTTCCTGGTGCTTCATCAATTTTGTTGGGTTTCGAAATATGAACTCCTGAGGGTGAAGGTCTGACAACTTCGTTTTCCCTTTTCAAGTCAGCTGAATGAAATTGATCACCTTTACTTAAGTTGTTGATTTGATCATGAGATTCACTGCAAGAAAGTTGATGATCCATCTTCTTGATGTCAAGCAATCCATTCTCTTTAATCAAGCTTAATGGATGTGAAGTAGATAAGTTGATTAATGTATAGATCATAAAAAGGTAATAAGATATCCATATTTGATATGACTTCATTTTTGAATTTGATCTATTGAAGGAGAAAATCAATTGATCAAGAATTTATTTGCTGGTTTGTGTTCAAACTTGAGAATGATCAACCGAGTTTTATCTCACCAAAAGCGATTGTAAAAGATATCCCTATAGATTTTTTCCAAGAACCAAAGAGCCCAACAGGTTTCTCAAATCTAAATCAAAGCTCTAGACTTCTTTTGATTTAAGTATTAAGATGAATAAACACAACAAGCTTTGTCTACAAATCCAGAAGCTTAAAAGCCAATCAAGAGTTTCTACTCACAAGCACCAGAATGAAGATGTGTCTCCGAGATTCTCCGAAATTACTCCGACTCGTGAGGAGACAAAACGAGCCGGAAATTGAATCGATTGACTGCGTTATTAAAACCAACCAGTTTATCTTACACCAAATTCAAAAAGTAAAGTCAATATATATTTAAGCTTCGTGAATGACGTTGGAACAGATTATCAATGTATAGATGCTTGAAATGTTTGAGATCATCAACGCAGTAGGTTTTTCAATTTTTTCTTATCATGTTTCATAATCAAGTCAATGATATTTTCTTTTTACGATAAAGAAATGGTAAATGGATCAGTTGATCCTTAATAACGTAATAGAATTGAGTTTCAACGAACCTTGACATGATGATGATCACGTACTTATCTAACCCAGTCTTGATGTTATCAGGGGACGATGTCCTTATCAACTTTGACCTGTTGGTTCTTATCTTTATCATGATTGGTAGGACGTCCGACAGACAATCTTTAAAAGTTTTTTTTCTTTAAGTTTATCTTGACCAACTCCGAACTTACAATACATGAACAGGTTCACTTTTCCTTTCGTCATCGTAGTGATTTTTTTCCCTTAGCACAAGTAGTCAATGTCATGATATCATCCCTCTCTCTCTCAGTTGATAACCACTGAAGCCTTACCTTCCTTTAAGTCAAGTACCAGCTTTTGGACGACCAAGATTCATATCTCCTTTATTGTACATATAAAAAAGGTAAATGACTTGATCGATCCTAAGCACGTACAAAGGATCGAGTTTCAACGGATCTTGACGTGTGAAATATGCTTGGACGTTGCCTCACCTGTCGACGATGACCTTATAGATCAACCTTGACCTACTAATTCTTATCTTTACAATACAAGCAAAACGGAAAATCTTTCAAAGTGATGACGTTCCTTGTCTTTGTTCTCATCAATTTTGAACCCTCACTATGAACAAGTCAATCCTCATCAAATCCTTACCTTGATTTAATTCAAGTAATACGTACAATGTATGCAGATGTTTTGGTACTATATGATCATCGTTACAAAACAATGTACTTCAACTGGTTGTGTATAATACTGCCTCTGATATATAGAAACACGATCATTCTGCATACTTAAACTCGCCTGAAATTCGATTTTAGGCATCTTGTCTCAAGGTTAAAAGACAGATGAACCTCAACCATCTCTTACGAAGTGGGAAATGGTCTACAATGCGGACTCTGGAGGTGAATTCTAGTGAATTGCGGAGTTGTATGTACGGAGATGTGACTTCTTGAGTTGTTTGGGTGTATGTCATGGTCTGGCGGTGGCCTGGGGGTCGTGTGACAGTTGAGGATGGTGAGGTAATTTTGCGAGGTATGAACAAAGATGTGATGTCAACGATTTTGGAATTTTGCAACCCAATCACTTCATCAGCTCTTAGCGAACTCGATATATGCTTGGTCGTCGATCTGAATAGGTTTGGAAGGAGGGGAAATGAGAATGCAGCAATCGAAAGGTGATTCATGATTTGAAGAGTGAGTAAAGTCTTCAAGTATATCAAAACCTTCATGAAGCCCTTCTGATTAGTTTCAAGTTTTATTCTTGCCGACTCAATCGATGTTGTATTCTAATCGAATTTACTTGGTATGGATTGATGAGATAACCGGTTTATGCACTGAGAACCCAAGGTGGTCCTCAAAAACTCAATTTTCCGGAACTCGTCTCGCCATGCATGAAGAAGTTGAAAGTGGTTAGCAAGTGTTGTACCCTGAAAACAAACCATCAAACGAACCAAATGTGAAGCGTTTTATCAATCGAACTCGATGAACAAGCGAAGTCCTCAATGAGTTAACCAAATCACCTTCTCTGTCTCTGTCGATTTGCAAAGTATCATCGTTTACACCCTTCAAGTCTTACATCGCTCGCTTAACCAATCAGGCCTCTTTACCAAGAGATTTAGTGAGAGATTAGGATGGAAAAGAAAGAGAAGCCCCGCATTGAAGCTGCTGCAAACTTGCCAACCCCTCTCTCCGCAATCTAAAAGAGCTCTGCGGTGTTTATCTTTGTACACTGCAATCTACCAATGTACATGCTGATGTGGAGTAGACATGTTCCAAGCAAACCCCAACGCTATATAAGTGAGCTCTTATCAGAAAACAGATTATACTTGGAATGGTGCTTCAAAACCAAAGGATACTTTCATTCGATCATCATAGTTTTGTTTTCTCTTATTGTGAGAGTTTAAAGATCGGATTCTAGATTACTTTCATCTTCATCAACATTTCCCTTTTTTGAAGTTCTTTTTGAAGTCAAGATGAAAAAGACTGGCTGTGAGATTGAAGCTGATAGAGATGATATATTTCATCCATTAGATCCATTAACGGTCGAGGAGATTGAATTAGCTACTGCCTTTGCTATTCGTAAGTCTTTCTTTCATTCTTTGTTCACTTTTGCTTTCTTTTCCTATTGCTTCTGTGATCTGTTTTACTGACTTCTTTTCTTCTGATCATTATCTTCAAAACTTTATAGGCGTCTTGAAGCAAGATTTCAATCAACCTTCAGTGATTGTGAGTGAACCCTTGTACATCTTCTGCTCAAGAACTCTCAGCCATGTAAAGAAAAAAGGTCATAAAGGCTAAAGTCGCAACTCTTTTTCGCAATTCTCCTCACAGATCAACACAGCCACTCTCCTCGAACCACCCAAAGCAGATGTCTTGAGCTATCTAAACGCATCAAGCGATCATCCTCGAATTAGACCAGATCGATTATGTGAACTAGCAGCAATCTCAACACCATCAGGAAAAAGTTATATTCTAAACATAAAATTTCCAATTCAAGATCCAAAGAATCCAATCTTACACTCACCAATACAAATCTTACCACCAAATACTCATCTTTTGATCTCACCAGAAGAAATTGATGAAGCAGAAGATTTGATTCGATCCAATAAACATATACAAAAACTATGTCAAGAAGTGGGAGTTTCACCTGATCAAATCGCTTGTGATGGTTGGGCCATAGGTTTTGATCCTGAACTTTCTTTCGCTTCTCCTGGTAGATTTCAACAATGTCTTATGTAAGTTTTCTCTGTATCTTTCCTCATGCCTCCCCCAAAAAAATTTAACGCGTGCTTCTAATCTTACTAAACGCTTTTTTCCTTCTTCCCATAGGTATGCAAGACCTGAACCTGATGCAGTGAGTAAATATTCAACATCATATATCTACAAGATTTTTCTTACGCTTCTTACTTGATTGACCCGAACCTATGATTTACAGAACATATATGCCCACCCATTGGATTTCGTACCAGTAATCGATACATTAACGAAAAAACTACTTCGTATAGACTTTGCACCAAGTCGAAAATTACCAAATCCCGATTCCAAGAAACTCATCAACGGAGCAAAAAATATCTCTGAATTAAGCTCTGGTACAACTTTAGCTATGAAATTTAATTTAAAAGAAACGATAGAAAAAGAAGGATTAGATCAAGAAAGTATTGACAACTCTTTAAAGTTTTCGGGTAGAGATAGGATTAAACCTCCTTGGACTAGATATGAATATTTACCTGAGTTCAGGTTTGAGAATCCAACTAATTCTGATTTAGGATTAGATTGTAATGTAAAAACAAATGGGAATGGTCATGTCAACGGGAATGGAAATGGAGAATTGGTTGAAGATCGTCAAGTTGATTCTAGTCGTCCTCCTCTACGTCCACTTCATGTTATTCAACCTGAAGGTCCAAGTTTTGAGTGAGTCATAGATCTTCAACTCTCTTTCTTATCAACTTTCTTTCTCAAACCTGCTACAAATGAATTCTAATTCTTTTTGGAGTGATTTTTATTTAACAGATTAAAAGGTAACCAACTGTATTGGCAAAATTGGAAGATTCATGTTGGTTTTAATCATAGAGAAGGATTAGTTCTCAACACAATAAGTTATAAAGACAATGGAGGTAACATCACTCCACCAAAATTTCATCATTTCTTGATAATCATTGAGTTTTTGTGTATTCTTCGCACTTTTTAGTATACCGTCCCATGTTTTATCGAATGTCATTGGTTGAAATGGTTGTACCTTATGGTGCACCGGAAGCTCCTCATCATAGTAAATGTAAGAAATTACTTCTCACAAATGAAAGCATGTTACAGTAAAACTGATACCTTCTATTGAAATTCTCTCCTTCTTCATCCTGCACAGTCGCTTTTGATGTTGGAGAATGTAAGAAAAACAAAACTTCTTCCATTACACATCTATAGTAACGTGATCAAATCCTAACATCCGCTTTTTCTTTTTTTCTTCATCATAGACGGTTTAGGAAACTTAACTAATTCCTTAAGTCTAGGATGTGATTGTTTAGGAGAAATTCGTTACCTAAACGCCACCAATGTATCTCATTCAGGTAAAGCACTTGTAATCAAAAATGCAATTTGTATACACGAAGAAGATGCAGGTAAGTTCCTTTCCTTCCCTGTCTCTTTCTTTCTTTCCCTTTCCCTTTTTCTAATATCTTTGTTTTTTGGTGGGTTGTGTAGGTTTGTTATGGAAGCATACTGAGGTTAGACCTGGTGGTAGATCTCATTCGGTTAGGTCTAGAAAATTAGTGATTTCTTTTATTTGTAAGTTTTCTTTTCTCAACCCGACTTTACATTTTCTTTGATGTATACTTTAAACCTACTGGTATTTGTATCTTACGAGCTACTTTTGAACTGAGTATAGGCACGATTGCAAACTATGAATACATGTATGTGAACCTTCACGAGAAACAAAAAAACGCCCCTTGTACCTCAAATAGCTTACCCTCCTCCTCGCTTTCTCTTTCGATTTTTTCAATCAAAAATAGGTTCTATTGGAATTTCTTCCAGGATGGTTCGATTAACTTAGATACAAAACTTTCGGGTATATTGAACTTACATCTTTTAGGGCCTGATGATCCTACTGGTCCTCATGGAGTTAAAGTAGCTCCTCAAATCATTGCTCAATATCATACTCATACCTTTTCATTAAGTTTGTGGTCTTTTCTTGTTCTACTTTGTTATGAATGAGTTAGAAGAGATCTTGACTGAGAACTGATTTATTTGATTTTTTTCAAATCTTCGGGAATTCTTTTTGTTTGATAGGAATTGATCCAATGATTGATGGTCAGAAGGTTAGAGATTCTTTCGTTTGATTTTCTCTTAACTCGTTCACAGAGTACGTCTCTAATCTGTTGATATGTTTATTTGATCCGGTATTGTCGAAAAACAATAGAACTCGATTTTGAAAACAGATATAGTAGCTTTACCAAATCCAACTGGATCTAATGAAAATTATTTAGGAAATGGATTTACAGTAAGAAAAATTTTCAATTACTTTTAATTTTGGCTTTTATTTATGTGCAAGCTGATATGCCCATTACTTCTTCACTTCCGTGGCTTTAATGCTAGTCTGAGAAAACAGTTTTGAAAACGACAGATGAAGGAGCACAAGATTATGATCATCATCGTGATCGGAATTGGACAATTATCAATCCAGTAAGATTTTTTCATTATATCTCTCATTGATTTCATGATCAACTAATCCAAACTCAACTCCTTGAAAATTTGAAAAAAAAAACTCACCTATCTTTACGACTCAAACCAAATCAAACTGATCAAAAAAGAATAAATTACATTATTCAACTAAGGAGCCAATAGGTTATAAAATCGTTAAGCATCTTTCAAAACCTCAAATCTCATCCAATCTTCGGATCACTAATAAAGCTTTCGTCCTTCTCTGCGCATGTGTATTTTGGATTCTTAAAATCATAGGTTTGTAAAGATCAACCAAAGATGTTAGTGAAGATGGATTCAATGGTATCAAAAAGAGCTCCATTTGCAAAACATGATTTATTTGTGACTCCTTATGTTGAGAACCAATTTTATCCGTAAGCTTTTATTTTGCTCGTTTTTGAACAAAAAACAAAACAAAACTTAAATCTTTACATGATGGTGATTTGAATAAAACAAAATGGTAACTTTAAACAAAGTGCTGGGAAATTGGTTACTGGTACTACCAGTACACCTGAGGATAGTATAGACGATTGGTTAAAAGGTAGTAAGAAGATCGATAATGAAGATATTGTAAGATCTAATCAATTTCTTCTCATCTAATCTCCCACTGGTTTGTAAAAGAAGTTAAAAGAATGATTAACTTTTTTGAATATGATAGGTCGTTTATTTAACATATGGAGTAAACCATTTACCTACACCTGAACAATTTCCAATTATGCCAGTTGAAGTTTTAACCGTTTCTTTAAAACCAAGTGGTTTTTTTAATTTCAATCCATCACTTGGTAAGTTTTTATCTTCAACTTAGAATATGATGATTTCATTCACCTAATAATACTTTTTTCATTGGATGAATAGATATTTTACCTGTAAAAGATAGTATGTCAAGAAGTTGTTGTAATGAAACACAATTGAAAACAAATTCAGAAATGAAGAGGAATGGAGAAAAGACTACAAATGGAAAACTAGTTTAGAATAGTATACAAATCTAATACTAAACACGTCTTGTTGAAGAACTTATTGGGAATACATGTTCTATTAGGATTAAAGATCACTCTTGAATAAAGTTAGATAATGATACACGTTTTTTTGGAATAATCTTGACTTGTTTGAAAAGTGATGATAAGTTTTTTCTTGTAGATTAGATCTTGATAAGGATTTGATGATTTATCTTTTTGATCATCAAGAATATGAAATTCAATGATATATATATTCTTTAAGTTTTGCTCAACAGAAGTCATTCTATTTTGATCTAGATTGAGAAGAATCCTGTTGTCTGTCTGAAGAAAAACTCATGAAAATCATACAAAGATTTGTATGTGATTTGTTCGGCATTTGTAGTAAAGTTGAGGTCAAATAATCCTTTGGGAGAAAGGCGGACTTATAAGATTAGCCGCCTTGCCAAAAAGGCTCAAAGACGCTTGCGAGCTCCTCCAATGATACAGGGAGAAGGAACAAACATCAAAAGGCTCACATTAAATTTGATGATTTGATGAGTTCATAGTTTGGGTTCTCTTTGATTTGGGATGCCATAGAATTTGGAAATCATTTACTATTGCAGTTTATCCAATATCTTGCGCTGATTCCTTTCCTTGAACTGTTTGGCTTTGGCAGCTTGGCCTGATCTCATTGTTTTTGTGTTTCGTGTGTTTGAATGAGGGCAATGAATTATTGAGCAAAATTGTAGAAATGAAATGACAAATCCAAAATTTTGAAAACCTGTTGTATGAACTTCTCTGATCACACTCAAAACTCCTGTTTGCCAGTCTCAAAGATTTCATATGCCTAAAGGTGAAGAGCATTCTTTCGGATCACAATGTTCAAACCTTTGGAAAGGAAGATATATGGCTCCTAAATGTGTTGAATCTTTTGTCTAACCATTCCACTTCAAGATCATCATTTCAAACCACTGAGTGATAATTTAATTGATCCACCAGATGCACAATTCCTTTTTGAATACACACCATCAAACAGGAGATCATTAAATCCTCACTACTTTCTATATTTTTGACGTGTGCATGCTCCATTTTTGCTACATGGAGGTTTTTTACCTACCATTTGCAAAATTAATATCAACAACACAGCCACACTATGCACAGGGGCCAAAATAGATACTCACATACATGTGAGCGTTGTAGACTTTTTGGAATTCTCCAAAAAAGATTCATTTTCTTTCAGATTGATTCAATTCACAATCTTGTTTGTGTTCAGGTGATCATCCTGTGGTTCTCATATTTTACTTGACATTTATTGAGAAGGCTCATTTCCATATTGGATGAGCAATAACTGATTCCCGATGAGTACTCAGGATCAGCTCATGAGGCACTGAATACTCAGCAATTTGTTCAAAATGAAGATGAGCACATGAACTATACCTTCCTGAGGCTTCATTTTTCAGTGAAGAAGCCTGCCCAGGGGCGTCCCATTTGAGCTGCTCAGCAAATACTCAGTAGCATCCCCTGACTGGATCACTGATGGGCCGGACTTTTCTCAGACTTCCATGCTAAGGAATGAAGCCTGATAAAAGCGTCATCCCATCTGCTCATTGCTCAGCTAATCCTCAGTGATATCCCCGGATAAAGTTTTTCACACTGAGGGGCTGAGATCAACTGAGCAGCCCCTCAGCCAATACTCAGTGACATCCTTTGGATCCTTCTGATCCGGCCAGGAATGCCCCTGAGGAATAGCTGAGCAGCCCCTCATCCAATGAGCAGTGAAATCCTCCGGATCCTCCTGATCTCAGGGATGCCCCTGAGGAATAACTGAGCAGCTCAGTTGAACGAGCAGACGGGCCTCAGGCTTCATTCCGGAGCCATCAAGCTTGAGGCAAGCTTGGCGCTCTGTGATCCATCTGGGGGATACTTCAGAGACTTAGCTAAGGGAATACTCAGTTCAGCTCAGCCCCTAAGCTATACATTGGTGGCATCCCTTGGAGCTTACTGAACCGGGGAATGCCGCTCAGGATCAGCTGAGCAGATGGATCAGCCCTTCCTCAGACTTCTTTGCTCAGGAATAAATGCTGAGGAAGGCTTAGTTTGTCTGCTCAGTTCCTGATGATCACGTAATCAGCTGACAAACAGAAAGAAAAGGGAAACAAATGGGAAACAAATGGGAAACAAATTGGAAACAAATGGGAAACAAATGGGAACAAAACAGGAAAATTTCAACGCTCACATAGTTGTGAGCATCAATTTTTGCCCCTGTGATGTACCTTCTCTTACCGACATCATTGTTCCTCCTATGATGATTATAGGTCTCTTCCTCAGCAATAGTTTGACCTCATGAAGTGGAATCATCATAGTCTAACATCATCAAACACTTGAATTTGAAATATATCTGATGATCAGAGTGGTTTCCACCTCTGCTTATGCAATTCCTCAAATGAATTGATTGAACATCACACACTGATGCTTACACATTGTAGTCCAAGTGATATGTATATGTACCATCAATTCTCAAAGAATTGCACGGCTCATAAGAATCCAATGGATCCAGAGAGTGTACTGCATATTTCAAAAGAAACCTTGAATATAATTGAAAATCAAGTCTTTCTACGTGTCAAGTTGACCAATCTATGGCATGAAAGGTTCTTCTTGTATATACTTATGAGACATGGTAAATGATTGTAATTCTAGTTATATCAAATTGAATGAATCTTGGCTCACTTCTGGAGAGTCAGACCAATAACTCTATAGAACAATGCTTATGTGTCAAATCAGATAAATTCAACCCATAAGAGACATGGTAAACATATCGTTCAGGCAGCAAGTATCAAATAAAAATAATGTGGAATAATTGTTAGAAAGATAGTAGATCATGATGTTGGTGGAACATATTACAGAACCCCATGGAATAATCTTCACAATTGGAGCAAGAGGAATTTTGAATGTGTCTAGCCTTCCAGCACAGGGACTATAGTTTTTTAGTCTTTCATTCTAAAGATCTCATATATTTAAATCTCAGACCTTGCTGACCAAACTTTGAGAAGAATTTCATCATGTTCATACAATCATGAGTTATGAAATGAGAAAAGAAAAAGATCACATAAAGAAATTTAATTTGACAATGTTCAAGGCTGAGCCTGAATGAATTTATTTTTGAGATGGATTTGAAAAAGTTGTACAAGGTATGTTGACTTGGTTTGGCCAACTTGAGGTTCATTCTCCTGGGTTCTTATTTCATTTGTTATCATTGGTGAGAAAGGGATATCAAGTGTCAATGAAAATTAGGAAGGCATCATGTTCTATACCAGATGAAATGGATAGTAAGACAATGGTGATAAAGCATTGATATTTGAAAGCTTTGTCTAACTTTTGAGGTTTTGGTTTCTTGGAAGGCTCTACAATTCCAAATAAAAGAACAAGTATAGTGCAAAAATTGAAATGAGTAAATTTGCAAAGACACCAATATGGTAGGTATTCCTTGACTGAGATTCGATGGTATACAAAAACAAGAGCTTGTATATCAGGAAAAGGAGTACAGGATCAGAGTGTAGGTCAAGATGGTAAATTCTGGATCACAACATATCAAAACCAACTGTTTGAGCTAGATAGAAACCAAATCACTCGCAAGCCTGATCTACATAGCTTTTATCTTGTTTATTAAACAGTTTGGAAGCCTTCACTTAAGGAATGATAGCTGAGGGACACAACAGGCAAATGAGATTTCTGACCAGCCGGAAAAAACTTTATAACTAGCTCAATAAGAAACTGGTTCAGCAAGCACAAGGGAATGGAGATCATTCCCAAGATCTCCAAATACAAGTAAGATGTTAAAGCAAGGAAGGAACTACAGGTGAATTACATTGATTGGTTGCATAAAGACCCAGGGTTGTTCTTCTTGTCTTCAAGGAACCAGTGGTCCAGGAAGAAACATTAGATATAATAGAACAATCGGTACTTGAGATTCAAGGCACCCAGCCTTAATTTGAGTCATCTTCATCTGAGTCATCTTCATCTGATGGGTATTGTAATTCCAATGTATTGACAAAGTATTTTGCGTGTACATTGGCTGTGATATGGGCTTGTTCACAGTAATTTACTACTGTTGATAATTGATCTTCATACGCTTGTGATACGGATGTACGAGGTGGGTCTAAAGGATGACGCGATGCTATGTTGAGTTTCTTGAGCTGTGGCCACGGAGCTTGAGACATGATATCAGTCAATGATTGAAGATGTTGTAATGTCTTGTAGGTCCATGTAAGACTGTGGAGGGATTTGCAATCTCGGAAGTTGAACAGTAGGTTGGGGTTCCGGGAGCAGAGCTTCAAGTCAGTTAAGGACTGGAGTTTCAAAGAATTGTGAGGATTCCAGCTGTGATCAATTTCCCTGTAATCATCGGGGTCCCTGTAGTTGAAGTTAAAGTCAAGCTCAAGCTTTTGTAGGTGAGGCGCAATGTGACCAATGATCCGTAATGCTGTACTTGGTAATAAGTGACTGCATTGTTGTAAGGTGAGTTCAGTTATTGTCCCCGGCCAATTGTAGAGACACCAACTTTCATCAATGTCCTCAAATAGGTATAGATGCAGTCGTGATAAATATTTGAGTTTGGATAAACTGGACCCGAAAGAACCATCACCGAGCTTTTTTCGATTTTGAGATACAGTGACTCCACCACATTTAAGAGATTCGAGAAAAGGTAGACCAGTGACCGCTTTTAACGGGAATCTATTCATGATTTTGATGTCTCTACCTATGACCTCCAAATGCCGGAATTGTCTGAGACTTGACAATACTGAGACTAGATCTAAGAAAAAAGCTTCTGTGCGACCATCGTCGTAACGGGAATAATCATATAAGATGTTGAGTTCAGAAAGGTTGGGGCAGCGCTCTATCAAAAGTTTTATATTCTTTGAAGAGATGTTTTCTACGTGCGTAGATTCAAAATCAACAGTAAGATTATCATAGAACGGATCATTCTCTCCGCTTTCCCAAGAAGGATCACCGCACATTGGAGAGAAGTCGATCCGTAAAGATTGGACATGACAGCCTTGTCTGAGAAGAATATCTTCTGTCCATAGAGCCATTGGTGCTGGGAGCGAAGTAGGGAAGCTGAGTTTCTAAAATTTAGAATGGATGATGGAATTATAAGCCTTCCTTCAATTGAGGAGCTAATCTGAAAACGACTAACTCGCCATAGCCATGGTTGACAAAGTTGGTATATCTTACGCGAAGTAATCGAAAAGTTTTGGATACTATTCAAAATTGGTGAGTCTAGCGGCACATAAATCTTGTATGCCTTCCGGTCACCTTGTCCCATGATCGGCACCCTACGTCTGACCTTTTTCTGTTCAATCTCCTTCGCTTCGAGTTTAGCTATGTGATCAAGTGTTTCGATTATCTTCTCAAAGATTTCGATGGGCAGATTCATAAGGCCTACGGGAGCATGTGGCATTTTCTTATTTTGAATAATTTCTGTGACTTCATGGGATGGAAGTTCAGATCGTTGACCGATTCGAGATTTGGGTGTTTTGTTGACAGATGAAAGAGGATCACGCGGGCTTTCTGATAACTCGATCTGAAGAAATATATCAAGAATTGACTCCTTGGACCAAATAAATCGCTCCGAGTCAAGTTCCTCGAAACGTTTTCGAATGAAGTCGAGATGTTGATTTACTGGCTGGGTCGCCTCGTGCCGTTTTGAGACAATTTCGCGCCAAATTGCAAGCTGAACTGTGCGACTATCGGATGGCATCTTGAGAGAATCGTCAAGAACTAGTCGGTCAAGATGCAGAGACTCGACGTAGACAACCGAGCTAAGAAGCTTTGATCATGGGCTATGAAAGGACAAAGATATCGAATCTCAGAACCTCCGCTTGTACAAAACCTTCAAATTCAAATTCAATCAGCTTAAGATATGGGGTGGAAGAATTTTGCACCGTCCACTTTACACCATGAAATGCGGTGTAAAGTGGACTCGGTGTAAAATTCCACAATTCCCCAACTAATGTGTAATTTTACACCGGATTTGTTATTTTCAAGTCCGTGCAAAAACGGACGGTGTAAAAAAATTGGTGTAAAAGTGATGCATCTGGCCGTGAAATTGAATTTTACACCGTATGTTTTACACCGGACGATCCGGTGTTAAAAAACCGGGTGGAAATTTCTCGGTTCGGGTTGGTTTATCGAATTTGACACCGAAATGTGTTACACCGGATGATACGGTGTGAAAGGTAAGAGTGTAAACTTCCGAATATCCTACAAAGTTACAATTTTACACCATGCCTTTACACCGACTATCCCCCCAGCAATCTTCTCCTCATCAGATGTCACCACTACCTGATGGATGATGTAATATGCTGTTTGGCTTCAATATCAGAAGCAGATACCTGATCATTGAAGCCAAACAGCTAACCTTTCCGTGTCATATATATTGACCGATAATATCAATTACAACTATATTTCCCACATATCGGAAGAGTTGAACTACGGCAATAGGGTCCAACCTTGTTGCGCAAACGAGCACAAAGGCACCCTTGACCAAAAGATTCGTACGGTCTTGATTTGGGAATGCACTCGCAACTTTGTTGCCACTGAACCCTTCCCCTTTCGCAACTTTGCCACTGAGGCTGAACCCTTCTCTCAGTTTTTCACTTGAGAGGCCCTGATCATGGGTCAAGACACGTCACGCACTACTGGACTGAATCCAGAGAGAGAATCTCTCATCTCGGACTCAACCGATCCTCAACGAATATTACCTTTTGACCAGAAAGAAGACACAATCCAGTCGACTCCAGACTATTGTACATTGAACTTACCGGCTACAAATCACACACCACTGAGCTCAGATCACGCTACTATGACCGACTCAGGCTCAGATCCACCACCCTCTGATTTTGACGCCACAGAACTTAAACCTAGGAAGAAGGCAAATCAGCGGAAATTATCTTACCAAGAAGACCTTTCAGATCGGTTTGACTACGACTTACCACCTTCAGACCACAAAAAGTCGCACTCCAAAAAGAAAAAGCACAAAAAGCGCAAACATCACAGAGACCCCGATGATGCGAGCGACACAGCGCGACAAAAAAAAAAGAGATCCAAGACCAAAAGGCCTACAAAACAACAGTCAGATGAAGAAACAGCTCCGAGTCAAAAGGAGAAACAATTTCAGCTTCCCAATGACAAAACCCTCTTTACGACATTTATCGACTACGGGTGCGAACTTGATGACGAAAACTACCCAGTCTATCCCAATGGCAACACGGTTTTTGTGTTGGAACCCGGCGAGGACGTGAAGAACTTCGGCTTCATTGGATGGACTCACAAGATGAAAACCTACAACACTCACTCGCGCTGGAAAATCCAAACGTACAACTGTCTGGGCTCGATGTGCTGTTCAATTGACATTTGCAAATTCGCTGGTTCGCCACCAACTGGCCACAAGAAGCTTGAAAATCTTTTAAATGAGTGAGTAATTGATTTAAAAGATCATATTTGCTCAAATAGTTCCCGTCCTTTCAGTAGTTGTCTTCAAAACCTTGCTAACCTGCTTTCGATCACCTCTTCATTTTTTTTAACCCGTTTGAACAAAGAACAAGGGTAAAGCAAGGAAAGCACACAGATAGGCAACAAGCGAGCATCTCAAGTGAAACAGGAAAAACCAAATTACACCCTAGGAGTCTTAAACATTATGCGACGTAAGAGAGATTTCGTCTTCTTGAGATCTTTACGAGAAAATTTTCTCAGATAAATCCGATATGCGTCTGACGCCCAGCGGCCGCTACTCTTTACAACATCCCTAGAAGCTCCAAGATTCCATCTAAGGGAGGCACCTCCTATACGAAAGGAGTGTCCATGTAATAGTTGTTTCGATTTAGGTCTCCTCGCATTCCGAATTCCTCTAAACCTCTTAATCACGGCTGTCTTGTTTAGTTTAGCTTTCTTCCCGTTCGACTCAATGCTGAAAACAAAGTCCGTGGGCTTGCAAGGACAAAAGTTATAGAGGGACTTCAGCGCTCCAACAGGATCTAGACAAGAGTTTTGTCTCTCCAAATGAATTTGCTGGATCTCCCCCGGTTGAGCGGTCTTGGCGCCATGCAAATTGATGACGACGTCCGAACCGTCAGCCGCCCATTCTAGATCTTGCCAGCGAGGTACAGATTTCTGAGAGTCGTCGGAGATCAATTCCCCGAGTCGGGCCGTCCCCCAAAAGGCACAAAGTGCTACTGCAAGGAGTGCAAGACCTTCTTCTCCTTTGTTCGAGAGGTCATCGTGTAGGATTAGAAGGTCGGAGACAAGGACCGGTGGACGCTTTTTGTCGAGATTTTTGTACTCTGCCTCCAATTTTCTAGTCGCGCGTAGGAGTGCTTTGATATGAGACTCCATCTCGACCGGGAAATAGGATCCATGAAAAATATGCCAAGCTTTGATGCCGGCCAGATAAGACTTGAGAGTAGGGGATTTAACGGATTCGTCGTCAGCTATCCATTGATCGTCTTTGATGGAAGCCCAGACTATGAAATTTTTCAAGATTTTTGGGGGGATTGGGAGGAGTATGGAAGGGTGAAAGCCTGCTAATTTCGCAAATCTAAGAAGTTTTAATATGCCCGAGTTGTAAGACTTCAACGTTCCCGGTTCCCAAGCTCCTCTAAGTAAATGGAGCTGGACTGGGTTTTCTTCGACAAAATCATTTCCACATGCATCTGAGCAAAAAGCCTTAAACCGAAGCCTTCGCGAGGACGGATCTGACGAAGGAGGAGATATCATATTCATGAGGCTGGAGTAACCGGCTACTCGGTATTCGCTTCCCATCGCTCTATAGACATTGTCGCTCATAGTACTGATGGGATTGGAGGTGCTGAGATTTGGGTGAGGAAAGGAATTAAATCTTGTGGAATTGTGATTATAACTTCGTGAGTCTCAAAAAGAGATCCAAATATACCCCTTGACAAATCATCCGCTAGGTTACCCTTTGAAGTCACCCTCTCCGCTGTGATGTCACAGGAAAGAAGGGTCAGAAGCTTCTGGATGTGCTTCCACTCGGTGTTGACCGAGTCATCCTTCGATTTCCTTTTCTTCACTGCTGCCTGAGAAGTTGTATTGTCCGTTAGAACTATGAAACGTTTTCCTAGAAAAATCATTAGAAGAAATCAGGAACTGTCGAAGGACTCTCTTCTTTTTTTTTTTTTTTTTCTATGTGAGAAAAAGGAGGACCTGCCTGCTACACGTTTGACTTTCGATAGGACAAGAAGACCTAGGCGGATGGTTACCGTTTCCGCCCAAGCAATTGGTCTCTTGCTTTCAGTTAGGCCTAGAGACCTCCAGTTATCTACGAGCTTGAAAGCTGCCCAATGCTCCCCTATCAGGACTCCGATCCCCAAATTGGAAGCATCTCCAACCCAAGCCACATCGGTTGCCTTTTTGGAAGGTACCAGGGGTCTCGAGTCAAAAGAGCTAAGGCACGTTGTCCATTCTAACAGATCCGCTCGAACGTAATGAGGAACGAGTCTAAGTGCAGATTTATTGACCCAACTTTTCATCCATTTGTAGAAGGACCTAGTGTAGCACTTCATGTGTGGCACTATGTATGTTGTGTGGATTAGTCGTCCAACGAAACTTTCCACCGTTTTGAACGACCACTTCTCGCCTATCTTCAGAAAGTCAATGATCTGTTGACACCTTTCTTTCAACTTATCCTCAGGTAACCGTACCGTGTGGTCTGATCCATTCCAGATAAAGCCAACATATTTCTGTTCTGTTGCGAAATCGAAATTTTTCACCGGATTTGTAGATACCCCTAGGCTGTTGCTCAAAGTCGTGACATCATCCAGGGATATCTTGTCGCCTGGGCGCCGGAAGAGTAGATTGTCATCTACCCAGCGAAATATCTTCCAGATCTTCAAAAGTCTTTCTATGATGATTTTCCAAACGTGTGCGGGAGCGCCAAACACTCCGCAGCTTGCAACTCCCCCGAAACCAACTGCCAGATCCATCCAAATGCGGCCCCTGAAGTCTTTGATGCACAAGAACCTGCGTTGGCAGGGATGTACCGGAAGTTTCCTATATGCTTTCCTCCAATCAAAGATAGCCAATTCCCAATCCCCAGGATTCTCACACAAGAACTCCGCCACGGCATCGAAATCGTCCCAGAAGGTATCAAAGTTTCTTTTGTCGACGAAAGAATTGACTGATGGAATGAGCTGATTGTTTTTGGGGTACGAGAGGTCATTGATGAGACGCAGACTGCCGTCTCCGTTGACCGCGCTGCCCATGGGATTCGATCGAAAGAATCCATAGTGACTGTGGACCTCTTTGTGGGTGAATGGTCCTGCCAATCTACCAGACGAGGCTTCGCTGTTGATGGTGCGCTCTATCTCTGATCTGGCGTCCAGTGCTGATAGATGATTATCTGGAGTATACCAGCGGTGACCATCGAGTTCGTGTTGAGTTATTCCGAGGCAGAAACCTTCCGAAAAACCTTTTGTGATGTACGGAATGTCCCGAGTCAGACCAACCTCGGTCATGAGTTCTGCCCAACGATAAATGTTCATTCTACACGACACCGGTTGAGGCCAAGGATTGGGAACATCGAATGTATGGATGGTCCTATCCCTCATTCAAACTTAAACAAAACATTGCACCGTTCATCGCATACAAATTGTAACTCACTCAATGGAATAGCTTTATTCGAAAGGATCCACTTGACTCGGGACTAACCTCGTAGCCTTTGATTTGTTTGACTTGGAAGTGGAACCCATGAGATTCTTGAGTCTAGAAGCTTCATTGCTCTGATATTCAAGTCAGATCTTTGTCAGTGAAAGCTACGCCCAAGCCCCAACGAGTCGGTCAGTTCTACTGTCGGCAGTACGCGCTCGAGCAGAACAGCCAAGTGGTGTACCTCAATTACGAGCAGGCTGTTGAGTTCCGTCAAACGGCTTCTGAAGTACATGTGCAAGGGCAAAATGATGAGATTACTGCTAAAGGTGAACCTCCGATAACGTTCGAGAAGTGCATGGCGATGAAGAAAGGTGATCGACCTCAGGCTGGCAGAGAAAGTATGGCAGATTTCTTTTTTTTGGCGTTTTGGAAAAACTGTTGGTATCAACCTTTCAAGCAGAAAAGGGCTTTCAAGGTAAAACATTCATTCAATACCATTTTACATATAGCATTCCAAGCTGCTCGCATAAAGTCTAAACACACTGGACAAAGATTTGGGAAGTCTTTGTTGAATTCAATCAACGTGGTGAACTTATGAATATCTTAATGAAACTTTTGAATTTGTTTGCTTGACTGAATGTTATTTTAAATGGAAATCGAATGACATATCTCCGAATCGATGAGAAATGATTTTATGATCCCGGTCGTAATTGTTGGCCTTTTGATCTTTGAAAACAATCATTCTTAATGGATCAACCACAAAACACAAGAAGTATGATATACAAGGAGTAAGATTTCATAGGATTTTTTATCAAGGCGCTAATAATCACAATCTGAAGACATGAACTTTTCAGTATCAAGGCAGAGGTCAAGAATAGCACAACTGGGTATAGAGGACAAGTGAGGTGGTCAAGGTTGTTGTGGCCAGTATCCATTGACTCAGGCTTGGCCGCTTGATGGTACACAAGACAGGGAACTGATGTATCAGACACAGAAGCCCTGGTCTGAAGTCTACAGAAACACGGTAAGATGAACTAGAAGGTATCAAAACGGTTTACTTTGAGGGAAAACAAAACTCACTCACTCTAATCAACTTGGCCATTGATTGTCAAAGCAGCGTCGTATAGTGGCTTTCATATTAGCTTCTTGACAATATCTCTCCAATGAAACTAACTCATCCTCAATCAGTTGAGAATGAATACTAGGCATAGGCATACATAAAGCTATTATTAATATTCTTAAATCCGGATTCACCCCCCCGGATTCTCAGAACCCTGTCACAACAACAGTGTTTCAGCAATTTGGGTGGGTGAGGACCGGGATCTCTCCGCTTCCCACTTACAACTCACCTAAGTGTAGCCATGGGTAGCATTGAACGATGCCGAAACATTTCTCCTTCTTGCCCCCTCTATTTATACCATCCAGATTTCCATAATGTCGACTTTTACTTTTTCAAAAGCTTCCTTCGATCTGCATTTTGTCCTGCGCTTCTTGCGCTTACCTCGACCTTTCTCCAGCATTCTATATCATAAGCTCTGCTTGAATTTAAGCAAAAAGTCATCTTTCCATCCAAAAGCAATGAATGCTTTTCAAAAAAGCATTTTATCGTCATTCCCCCGGCAGCTTCTAAGCGCATTGTTTGCTTTTGATTGTGTAATGCATCCAAAGCAACTCGATTAGTAATATCTGCTTTTCTACAACATCAATGTACCCACCTCTCAGCTTCACCGATTCTCGGACAAAGACAATGACCACAATACCCAACCGATTGCAATCTACGTCTGATCAATCAAAAAAAACTATCACAAGATCATTCTTAGTCAATTGTGTCAAGAACCGCTGCCACAATCATACTAGCCCACATAACCCTTTGATCACCACAAACAACACCATCACATGAGCTCAAACCCACCCCAACTAATTGTAGTATAATAGACCCTTCAGCCTCAATCTTAGGTTTATCAAGCTCACTTCCACCTACTTCTGCTACGCCATCAATGCAAACAACAACCCCTCCTCATCCAAATTTGATTCAACCATGAAGCAGAAAAGTATTGGAGGGAAGTATGGGAACTTCTTTAAGAAAAGATATCCATTCATCTGGATTCGCTGGAGCACTTACACTCGAGCATAATAAATCTAATATTTTTTGAAAAAAAAAATACAAAATGTCGAACCTTAGGTGAGTTTAGTTCAATCTCGCGAAGTCACTCTCTCTTTTTGTATTGAATTATCCAATTAATATCTGCCTTTTTCATTTTATTTGGATTTGAAATATCAGATCAATGAATTGGCAAGTCAGTTAGATCGAGTCAAAACAAAACATTATCAAATCATCAGTTTATCAATAAGGCCGTTGACGGAGTCGATCAAGATGAAGCAGATATTTGTTTTTTGTTTTAACTGATCCTGCTCAAGCATGTTTAATTGATCGACATAAAGAAATTGGCACCGTGAGTCAGGAAATCAACGATCATTCTTTAAATTATTCTCGATCAACAATGAAAACAACACAGAGATCATCAACTTGATCATGATGAAAGCGTTAAGGCTCAAGCTCAAAAACTTTCAGCTGTTAGACCTCGATAAATCAAGTTAGTTTATTTGAAAAAATCCCTTGATTGAAGATTCAAATATCTGATTGATCGATTTTGATTGATCAATTGATTGATTTTTTTACAGAAAGAATTATCAAGAGTTGATACTTTGATTGATTTGACTATAACACTTCCAGCAGTAGAAAAAGTCAATTCAAAGAGAAGTAGAAGAACAAGAACAATAAAATCAAAATTCTGAAATCAAAACTAAACATGCTTTAAGAGGTAGACAAGTTGGAGTAGCTCCTACTGAAAGCACACGATGAAAATGAAGTAAATTGGGATGGGTGGTCGTAGCCTTAGTGGAGGAAGGTTTCGGAGAAGAAGTGAGTCTAGAAATCAAAATGTAAGGTAAAGTATCAGTCACTTCTAACTGTTTGTCCAAAAGCTAATCAATTTTTGCTTCTTTTGGTTTGAAGATAAAAGGGAGATGGAGTAGGATTACAACATCAGGATTACAATATTGTCACAAGATTCATAGTAATCCATGAAACCATGTTTGATTAGGGGATCAAATCTCTCTAATACAATCTCAAAACAACTCTTGAATTTGAGGTATGAGAAGCAAAGTAATCTATGTGTATGATTCAATGTAAGCAGCAAAGTGGCTTTCCTTAGGATACCCAATTTGATTAATCCTCATATCTGCACTCTCAGAGTGAGCTTATAATCAAAAATTGTAATAGAATTCATCAATTGTTTATTGCTTTTTGGGTTCATATTGATATCATTATGGATTTCAATCAAGATTTGATTGATCAATTGATTGAGTTGAGTAAGAAGCATAATTTCTTAATTTTTGAGTATCATACATTTGCAGATATTGGTAAGTGAAGTACCTTTTTCCTTCAACTTCAGATAGTTCCTTTGCTTGACTTTTATTCTGACTGCTCAATGGATTTTGAATTTTTGATTTCAATACACAGATAGGAACTTCCTTCAAGCTTCAATATTTTTAAGGTGTTTATAGGATAGCCAATTTCTTATATCATCAATGCACACACAATACCAGGAGAGCCAGTCACCACAACTTTAGTCAAAGTAGGAATCCCCAAAGGTTGAACATCATTAACATCAGCCAAAATGCAACCTAAGGGTACCTTGACTAAAAATTGATATACAATGGAAAGAATTGAGATCACACAACAATATACTGAATTCGGGATAGGATCTACTTCTCAGAGAAGATTTGAATCCAATGAAGAAGAAGATCAGCTGGTTTTGTGTCCTGGTGTTGGACTAAATGTAATGGGTGATACGTTGGGCCAGCATTATAATCCTCATCATCAAGTTGTTTTGGAACATGGTTCAGATATGATTATTATGGGTTGTGGGATGTATATAAATGTTGTTGAAGATAACAAGGTTCTTAAACAGACATCAAGGTATAAAGATGCAGGGTAGGTCCCATTATCTCTAATGGTATCCTTCTTTCAAGACATGCTGATATGTCACTCACGCATGGTTTTTCCATGGTCACTGCTCTTGAATAGTTTCCCACTTATGTAACATAAAATGAAGTATGAAGGTAAGTTTAGCCAGTAAACACCTTTAAAGAAGCTTGACATTTATGTGGTCCCCGGCTCTTCTAAGAAGGAAGACTAAATTTTTGTAAATACAAATACTTCATCATAAGATATATCTGTGATTAGTGAATTTTGAAATACATGATCAATTAGGTTTGGTTGTACAGGTCCTTATTCTTTCTCTTATTCTTTTGTTGTATTTCATCAATATGTTATGTGGAGTAGTGTACGTTAGATCAATCAAAACTGAAAAGGAGTTGCACAGGTTGAACATTTCAGAAGCCAATGTTAAGTTGTAGTATATATTCTTTAAGCTGACCTATTCTCAGTCAGCTTCAGCGGGCGGGCCCGCCTATGCCCTAGTACTTATGATCTCCACGCGCTGACATTTACAACTGTCACAAAATACCTGTGATTTTCTTTTGGTTCTTGACGATTTTCAAAATCATTTTAGTACATAAACAAACTGAAATACCATTGCAATTTGCACTATCACAAATACAAAGAACAAAAAAGGAATCAACAAAAAACGATCAACAAAAGCCTACAAAACCAAAAAAAAACCATATCAAATCGAAATCCCATGAGAAACCTCCCCCCTCTTGCCTCTTCTTCTTTCACACCTTTCCCATCTATTTAATCATACAAACCGAAACAAAAAACCTTTCAATCAGATCAAAAGTTAAATAATTAGAGTTTCTAAGAAACCTAATCTTATAAATCAACCGAATCTTCTTTTGAAGAAAATCAAGTGAGTTCATTTAAGAAAGTCTTTTAGCAATAAATTTAGCCAAAGTAGAACGTTGAATATTAGAAGTTCCTTCATAAATAGCACCCTATTCGAAAAAAAAACGTTGAAATCAATCAATTCATCATTCCAAGAGAGAAAGAGAAAGCAACCGAGAGATCCAAGAAAACCCAAACCAAACCACTTACGATTTTCGAATCTCTCCAATACTTTTCAATTCCAGTTTCTCTAGTAAAGCCAACCCCACCACACCATTCAATAGCACTACCCGAAGCTCTTTGAGCGACTTCCGACGAAAACAATTTAGCCATCGCTGCCATCTCTGTGAACGGTTTGGATTCTTCTTTAAGTCTGGCTGCATTATACGTTAATAATCTAGCTGCTTCGATTTCGGTTTGGATATCGGCAAATTGAAATTGCATTCCTTGAAACCTTTATAAGAAAAGACACACACACAGGGGATGATGAAAATTAATTTTACAAATCAATGTATGGATTTGAGGGTAGAAGAATGGAAAAAAAAAACTTACTCTCCAATCGGTCGTCCAAATTGTTCTCTTTGATAAGTATAACTTACTGATTTATCAAATGCACCTTGAGCCAATCCAATCATTTGAGCGGCAATTCCAATTCTACCTTCATTTAAAATCTCAATAGCATATCTAAAAAAAAACGAAAAAAAAAAAACTTCAATCTCTATCCTCTATAAAAAAAAATCAAATCTTTGAAGAAAAAAAAGAGACTCACTTATACCCTTTACCTTCTTCACCAATTAAATTTTCTTTAGGAACCACAACATTATCAAAATTAAGAGTACAAGTAGAAGAAGCCTTGATACCTAATTTCTGTTCTTTCTTAGCTACCTGAACTCCCATTTCTTTTTCTACCAAAAAACAACAAATCCCTTTATACCCTTTCTGAGGATCTAAATTCGCAAAGACTACAAAGATTTCAGCTTCTTTTGAATTGGTAATCCACATCTTACTTCCATTCACAACATAATTTCCATTCGAATCTTTGGTAACTTTTGTTTTTAATGCAAACGCATCTGATCCACTTGATGGTTCACTTAAACAAAAACATGCTACTTTAGATGTAGCTAGCTTTGGTAAATGTTTTTCTAATAGTTTGGGTGATCCATAGTTTCGAATCGTTGTGGAGGCAATCGTGTTATGTACATCACATATTAAAGAAACTGATGGATCTACTTTGGCTAACTCTTCGATCACTAGGATTGCAGACATAAACGAAGCGCCTGATCCTCCAAAGTCTTCGGGGATCTCGATGCCCATAAACCCATTATCAAACAAACCTTTAACAATTTCAGGATCCACTAGAAAAATAAACAAACAACATTAGTCAAAAGCTTGGGTGAAATAAACTTTAACAAGAATGGTAAACAAATCACTCAACTTTCTTCTTTTTCATCCATCTCTCTTACTTTAGGACTAACAACCTCCTCAGCAAACTTACTAGCCAAATCCTTAAACATACTTTCATCTTCTGTAAAAGTATAAAGTGAAGTAGGTTTGCTTTGATTGAAATCAGATGAAGTTTTACAAAAGGATCGATGGATCGTAGGTTTGAATTGAATGATTTTTTGGTTGGTTGGTTTGATTGAGTGTTTGATAAGGTTTGATGAGATTGATTTTAACATTTTTTGGGTGAGTTGGATGGATTGGTTGGTTGGTTGGTTGGTTGGTGTGTAGTGGTTGGGTTTGGTTTCAGTATGAATGAACTCATCGATCGATGAACTGTTTCTGTCTCATCTAAATTACGTCAGCGTGTGTAAACCTATTCAAAGCCATCATCACCATCACCATCACCATCACATAACATTTCATCCATCCATCCATCCAATTTGATCCCAGTGCTCTCTTCAATCAAGAAAACTTTTGAAAAAAATAATCAGTCTTGATTTCTATTCCAAGACAACCACTAATCAATCAATCTACATCATTTTCTCATCCCAATGAAATCCTCATCCATCATTCCCAAATAAACATAACTGTAACCATTCATCAAATGCAAAATATTAAACTATAAAACATATATATATCTCAAAACCCAGCAACAGACACTTTCATCTTCTCTTCTTAAATTTCTAAACCAAATCAAAAAACCATAAACCAACAGAAAAAACCACATATTTATTCTAATGATAAATGAGATGTATGTATGTATATATCAATACCTCTAAAGTAATGTATAAATCAAATCTAAAGAAAACAGACAAAACAGAAAAAAAGAAACGCAATACAAATTTTCTGAAAAAAGTGTCTCAAGAAAATAATAAAAAAGTAATACAATCTATATTTAAATAGATCCATCAATATATATATATAAATCAAAGAAAAAAAGATAATGAATGATTTGATGAATCATTTCAATTTCGATTCCATACCTCTAATCCTACCCAACCGTTTCTTTTTCTCTAATTCATGTTTCTTCAACATCTCTTGTTCTCTAGCATCTTCTTTCCTAGCCAAAGCAGCTCTACCAAACCCCACCCCAAAAGAAAGAAAGAAACCCCAATCAATCCTCCAAACCTCATTTAAGAAAAAAACGAAAAAAAAAACAGATGATAGTTGAGAGATCAGACTTACGCTCTACCTTCTTCTTCTAAAACTTCATTCGCATTCACTTCCATTCCATCAGACCCATCCTCATCACTAAAGACATCTGATAAGTTTGTATACTTTGATCGATCTTTTCCCATGATTTGCCAGATCTGATCTCTAACCGATGAAGACACATGGTTTCCCACTCGATCATCCTCTTCTTCTGAATCTTCAAACGAATCTGAATCTTCTTCTTCTGATGGTTCTTCTCTTGCTTTACTTTTCGATCTTGAGGTTTCTGTTTTGGTTCGTTTAGGATCAGGTTTCTCATTCGAATTAGAAGTCTCTTTAGACCCCGAAAAGTTTCGTTTACTAGGTAAGAAACTAGACCCCGATCCCGATCCTGATCCAGAAGGTTTAAGAGTATTCCTTTGATGAGTTTCTACTTTTTTAAGAACCACACTTGGTTTAATAGACCGATTAGCACTAGACTCGAAAAAACATTCTTGTGAAAGATTTCCGGTTCGTTTAGATTTCATATCCCTTTCGATCTCTTCAATCGTTCTTCTATCCCTCTTAACCGTATTCAAAGCTTTTCTCTCACTAGACGAAAACTCTCTCTGTAACCTTTCTCTCGTACTCATCGGTGCATTATTTGTAGTAGAAGAAACATTCGTATTTGTTGACTTTTGTCTTGAGTTCGGTTTGGATTTCAGTTGAGTAAGTCTAGAGGATGTTGAAGGGAATGAAGATCGAGAAGTTCCCATGGATTTCTTGACCACCGAAATCGGTTCATCAAATAACTTTGCTCGGGCTCTTGCTACCTTTTCTTCCCTTTCTAGTCTTCTTATCTCTTCTGGATCTTGATTAATCTCTTCCCGATTCTTGCTTCCATTTATATTCATCTTTTTCATTCTTTGGCTTTGACTTTGGGTTTGTTGGATTCGAGCTTGGGTATAGGGTCGATTAGGTTTAGATGGAGTGATAGCGTCGTTCACTTTCAATTTCTCTTTTTCACTTCTTTCTTGTTCTCTTCTTTTCCTCTCTTCATTCAATCTTTCTTCTCTAACCTGATCTTCTCTTTTCCTCTTAGCCAATCTTTCTTTTTCCAACCTAAAAAAAACCCCCCAAAACCAAAAACAAGTAAATCTCCAAAGAATTACAAAAGAAGAAGATCATGTATGCTAACCTAATCCTTTCTCTTTCTTTCCTTTCTTCTTCTAATCGTTTAATCTTTTCTCTTTGTTGTCTTAGTTGTGTTTCTTTAGCAAGTGCAAGTTGTGATGCTTTAGTTTGTTGTGATGCTAATTCCATAAGTTGATCGAATTCCATGATTAATTGATTAGATCTTGAAATTGATGAAGATGAACTGGAAACGGAAATCGAAAATCGAAAATCTAAATGGGTTTTGTTTAAATCGAGTGAATTGAGGTTCAGAGTTTGATTGGTTTTTGGTTTTGATTTTGGTTTTGAGGAACAATCAAGTTGAAGTTGAAATTCAAATTGAAATTCAACTTAAATTGGATCCTCAAACCTTAAGCAGAACTTAAGCACTTAAACCTTTTAAATCCAACTTCTCAACCAAACCCAAACATTGAACAAGCTGATTCACAAAACCCTCTCACTCTTTAATTTCTTGCATTTTCTTGCTCAAACTTCAATCACAACTCAAACAGCAATCACAAGGTAAGAAACCCGTCACCTCAAGATCTCAACAGATATTCTACAATTCATTTTCATCCATGACCATCCTACAAATGTCTTCCTAAACCAATCAAAGCATCTCTCCTCCTATTGCCATACACGATACACATACAATCATAAGGAGCACTTCTTTTACAAAACTTGATATCCAACTCCATACTTCAACTCAATAAACCTTACCCAATTCCCAAGCTCCTAAACCTGATCACTAAGAATGCATTATCAAAACTAGATAAACAATTGCATATTTCTGAGTTTCACAAATATATAATCCAAATACAAAAAAAAAACATAAACGAATGACCAAAACAAAAACGAAAGATTACACACTGTCACACACATATACTGAAGAAAAAAATGAATGAATGAATGAAATGAAATTGATAAGTGATTTTTTTAGTATACAACACATCCAACAACATAATCCAGAATAAATAAAAGTTTCCAAGAAAAACAATGGATCAAACCTCAACCGATTTCTTAATAAATATAAACCACATGGTTTTTTCCTTTTCCTTTTTTTTATCCTTTTTGTTTTTTATCCTTTTTTTTTGCAAGTTTGTTGACTCTTAACCAGAAGAAAAATAAATATATGTAAAAACACATTCTACTTACTACATCTTAAATTTTATGAAAATCTAAAAATCAAATCGAATCCAATCTTTTTTTTTGTTAGTCAACTCGATCAAGGTTTTTGATTTCGTTTTATAAATAAACTGATGATTGATCACGATAAGTTTTAACCGAAAAAGTTCTAAAAAGAAACCATAAATCAGTAAAAAAAAAAGAAGTCAAAAGATAAATGGAAAGGAAACCATTACTCAACTCGATATGAATTGAATTTTGATCAAGTTCAAGTTCAAATAAATTTCCAATCCCATCACCTAACCTATCCTCAATCAAACCTAATTCCACTTCGATCGCCTGAACAATCTTAACCAACTTATTTTTAATTTCCATTGAGTTTGAAACAATCACTAGATCATGATCAAGAACTTCATCCATGTCGATATCAAGTTCAGAAGCATCGATTGCTTGAACCGATCCATCTCCAAGACTCATACTCGATTCTAGCTCCATCATTTCATAGGTTTCTTTGATCTCTTTTACTCTGTTTTCTAGGATATTTTTAATTTCAAGATCCATGGAACAAACCCAACCGAATCTTTCTTTCAATAATTCTACAATCTCTCCATTCGATTTGGATTCAATAGGCACCACCGATGTTCCAGAAGCTTGAGAATTCTTTCCAGTTTCGATTCTCGATCTCACTTTAGCCATCGAATGGTTCATCAAACCTTCTCTTGTACTCAACAACAATCGTTGGTTTTCCAAACTCGAAAGAATCGGGTTTTGAAAAACAGACGTAGGAATCTCATTAAACAAAACTTGACGTCGATTTAGATGGTTTCCAATTAATGATAATTCACTGGGAATCATCGAGATAGGATGGCTGGTGATTTGTTGAGATCTTAGATAGCTTTGGATCTGCTCGGTTGTATCGTAATTGGTTTCGTTGATGGTTAGATGGTGACCGGGTTTTAGGATTCGAAAGATTTCGGATATTAGGATGCTCCATTTCTTTTCTGGTATACCAGATCCAAGAAACGATGCATTCACTTGATCAAACGTCTGACAAACCAAACAAATCAAAATTAGTCAATCAATCAAAACTTGTTAAGATCAAAATTTCATGAGCGAGGGGTTTTCTTACATGATTAGGAAATGGTAAGCTAGATTTCAAAAAATCATGTTGAACAAACTTCATTCGATCAGGTAACCTTTTCAACTTAATAGGACAAAGATCTAATCCAACGATTTCTAGCTCAGGATTGGAATTCGATCCAAGTACTCCATTACACCAAATCCCATAAGGACCACAACCCAAGTCGAGAATTTTTTGATGTCCGATCGGTTTGGTAAACGTACTGAAGGGTGTCTTTGGATTAGGTGAACATGCATACATCAATAAAATATGACTATTAGACAAAGAATTGAAATTAGTTATGAATGGGTTTTTTTTGGGGGAGGGGATTGTTGAAAGGAAAAACTTAACTGGTCTAAAACTTCATGGTCATATGACATCCAATAAGGAACTTCATTCAGATCAAACGGATGATGTTTCTGTTTATCTAAACTCACAAACCATTGATCATCTTTGCAAATCGAATCATGATGAGCTTTGAAAGGTTTTTTGGTTTCTTTTTTACAATTCGTTGTTGGTTTGTTGAATGACTCTATTGAATTCTTTCGATACTTATTAACTCTTTCCCACCACCATAGATTATTCGTATTCGTGTTGGTATTTGGGTTTGGGTTTGTTGAAGTTTGGTTTGGTTGGTTTATGGATTCGATTAAAGCTGTTTCGGAATCAGATGAAGAATCAGAAGACAATGTTTCTGAAAGAAGTTTAGTTGGATTTAATGTTTCTAAAGTACAAGTTTTTAAAAAAAGACTTGAATCAGAATGAGGTTTTAAAAAAGAAGTGGTTTCTAAATTAGATTTAGATGAAGAAGGTTTTAATTCAAAAGTTGGTTTTTGATTTACAAGTTCATGAGACGAATTTAAAGCATGAAAAAGTTTAGAAGATTTTTTTTGGATGATTGGTTTGAATGATTGTAAAGGATGACAATGATGGGAAGGAGAAGAAAAGGATGAAGAGGATGAGGATGGTGGTGATGGTGATTCAGAAGTAGAAGATGAAACAGAAGGAGAAGTGAAATATGAAGTTGAAGTTGAATTTGAATTTGAATTTGAATTTGAATGAGATGGAGAAGGACAAGTGAAATAAGAAGTAGAGGTAGAATTCGAAGTTGAAGGTGAAAAGTCTTGTAAGAGTTTCTTTAAATGAGAGTTTGGAAAGATACTATAAGTAGGTGTTGAGATTGAATCGATTGATGATTGATGATTGATAGTAGTAGGAGTAGTACATGAACTACTTGGAAATGGTAAAGTCGATCTAGCATTCTTGGGTAAGTTTGGTAATACAAACTTGGATTGATGAGCAAGTGGAGGTGGACGACGAGGTAAATCATGATGAGTTGAAGTATTAGATTTAGATTTAGACCTAGTTTTAGAATTTAAACTGATACTATTCGGTTTTGATGATGATGAAGTTGATGAAGAAGTTGTGGTGGGTCTTGTTGAGATGGATGGATATTTTGTATACTCATCGAATGATTCGATCGAACCAACTGAAGAAATCGATCTAGGAGAAGTTTGAAGTTTAATAGGATAATGATGTAAAGATTGATATGGACGAATAGTTTGTTGAGGATATCCCATTTTGATTTGATAAGACTCCAAATGAGAGAACAATGATCAAAGATTCTCAAATTCTCACTCTGACTCTTACATGGAATTCTTGGCTCTTATCAACAAGCAAGTCAAGACGGCAAAGTGAGATGAGATGAGTTTTATATCTTTCTTTCTTTACTTCAAAAGTTCAATGTAATGTGATCAAATTCAATTTTCTTCTCATCTGCATCTTTTCTTTTTTACTAAAAGAAATTTCAACCAATTCTCACCCAATCAAAGATATCTTTATTCTTCGATCGATGATTGTAAATACAATCCAAAACCTTTTTTAACTTATCGTTCAATGTGATTGTGTGTGAATCAAGTGAACATCTTGGGAAGTGAAGAAACCAATTCAATTTCTCAATCTCTCAATGGTTAAATCATCTTTTCACAGAAATCATCAAGTTCTTTAAAAAAAAAACCAACACTTTATCATCACATCCCACACTATGTCTTTCATCTTCCATCGAATTCAATCTTGAATCTGGGTAGGACTTAAACAACTCTCAATAGACCGAGTTCAATGGAATCAAATAAATAGAATTCTATGATATCCATCTGATTAACTCTAAAAAGACCTAAAAGTTTATCTTAAGCCTTTTAAAACTATCACCCCCCCACAAAATCATATATCTAAACCTCCTCTAACATCCACTAGATCAGTGAAGATTTCGTTCTACGAACCTGTAGATCGAAAAAGATTACATATCATTTTTCAACTTTGATTGAAAATGCCAATGTCCATGTCATAATTTACCAAAAACCGAAATATATTCATCTTCAAAACCACTGTGAAAATGCAATGCTAGAATTAAAATAAAACTTGACTTTTCAATATGAATTCGAGGAAAAGGTATCTTTTCTCCAGATGTGAAGAAGGAGTTTAAATTTAGAATATCTATGTTAAAAGAGGTATGGGTAAGTCGTTTCAAAACTTCCTTCTACAGACTCATGAGGGTCTTTACATGAATTCTATCCGGTTCATGTGAAAAGGGTATTACATAAGATGAAGTGTATCAAAAAAATTGTTCGATATGGATTACGACTTCCGATCGGTTTTTATTTCTTAAATAAAATTGGATAGATAGAAATTTTTTCAAGGGATTCAACATCTAAATGTAAGTGTACGTATTAAGAATTGTGTGATTTGGAAGTGTAGAGGTTCCAAGGTGTTTTTATAAATGATTAACGAATGTTGGACCATGAGAAAAGATCCCAGGTGATATCAAGACATGAATCATGGATTGTGATAAAGTCATGACATCATTGAAGTTGGAATTGGATGAATGATCTTCGAATGTGATAAAGAAGAGGACATGTGATCATTGAATTATGCATCAATGATATCATCATCTTTATCCAAGAATATCTTTCGATTCGGATCATTTGAGATCGTTTCCCTGAACAAGACTTTCATGGAATACGTCACTTCATTAAGGACCAGGCGCAGATTCCCAGGTCTTCGTATTACCAAAACGAGTCGTTTTTCACGTTTTCTCACATTCCAGTCTCAAATTCGGGTTAATATGCCATCTGAGACGCCATACGTGATGCGATTAGCGATTCAGTGCTTTTCTTCTTGTCGTGCCTCATATGGTTTCAGGGAGGCACGACTTCTTCCCTTCATCCAAGATGAGTTTATGATGTTGCTCCTTGTGTCACCCCAGATTCGACGCATTGCATAGTAAGGAAATCAAAAGTTCTACTTTCAGGATCTTTTTATTTCCTTACTAATAGTGGATTTTGACGTCTAACATTCGATTGGATGTCCTTGGGGATGTGATCTTTCTTGCACTTCTGTCCATTTGGGCTCGTCTGGTCAACCTTCATGAGGTTCTTTCGCAGCAATCTGCTATGGGTTTAGAAAAAACCGTCTGTGAAAGGTCGCCGATACACAGCATCGATGATATATATATATACAGCCGTTTCAAGAAAGGTTGACAACTTTTTTTGGAGAAAGTTGTCTCCGCAGCGGTTAAAACCAGAGACAAAACTTGATTACAGGTTTATTCTTTTCTGTATTCTTCCAATTAGCGGAGAGACAAAATCAAGTGAGGGACAAAACCCGGGTTTTGCACATCGGCGAGATTTTTTAAGAAAAACAATCTTTGTTGAAACGGCTGTATATACGTCTTGGATCAAGACCGTGGTCCGCTCTCCTCAGCAACTCAAATTATTGATATCCGGTTAGTTATTTTACTTTTGTTCAGGCCGCTGTTTGGTGACTTTCTTCGCAGCTTACAACTGCCTTACAACCTTCCTGCTAGCTACCGAAAAAATTCCAAATTTCCATATTCCATATTCGTGTGGTCAGTGTTTTTGATCTTGTCTAGGTAGCGCCCTCGGTGTGGGTTGGGCAGCTGACATGCTTTTTCGTAGCTACCCAGAATCAAATCCGATTGTTTCAAGTATCTCCCAAATCTGCATTCCAACGTCTCATTTGATGGGCTCGGAATAACTAATGGTTGATTCGGATTTCTCAGGATCAATTAGGGTGTTCAAACCTGTGCAAGAAATGTGCAAGACCGACGTGCAAGATCCGTGCAAGATCCGTGCAAGATTTTTTGCACTAATCTTGCACAGTAATTTTTTTGACAACCCGAGTTATTGTGTTCCAAACCGTGCAAAAACCATGCGAGACCGACTCTTGCAAGTTTTGTGCAAGATCCGTGCAAGTTCTATTCATATCTTGCACAGAACTTGCACAAAACTTGCATGAATTGATTTTGAGGTTTGAACACCCTAAATTTAATATGTCGCAATCAAACTCTCGAGCTAACTGGTCACCCATAAACGGGCTCAACGTAACTAACACGTTGGCTGTACCGGTGGGTGATGTCGTTCGCTATTCCCCTGGTGTGATGCCGCAACACCTTTGGCTGATTACTACTTTACTATATCCCGCCAGACTGTGAACGCGGGTCCGCGTCCAGGTCCCATTTCATCAGGTGCTTCTCCAAGCTCCGCGCCCGAGGTGGGTCTACGTGGTGGCGCAGTTGGCGCCCTTGGAAACACGGTGACGTTTGGTTCCCTCGCGTTTGATCGTGATGCGAATAGACCTTTCTCCCCGGTGAGTAATAAAATATTCATCAGTTCAACATATTTGAAAGTGTATGGAGATTCTTTCACTTATATTCGGCCGCATCGCACAGAGACTTGGTGGTCCGATTGTGGCCTCAACGGCCTCTCCGGTCCAAGCAGTAGATGCAGGTGTAAACCTCCAAGGCCCGCGACCTCAACTACCGGTAAGGGCCGTGTTATACTTGAAGTCCAAGCATTTTCGCGCGATTGACGTCTCTTCATTGGCTGTGCATGCAGGGTCCACAACCTGGAATCGTCGCCAATGGTGACGTGTTGCCAAAACCGATGGACGCGCGCCCGAGCCACCATGAGAGGTTTATGGCAGCTCCAGGTGGCGTATGGGTACCCACCGGGCCCAGGTGAGTCTTCCGGTGAGGCCTTTGCACTACTCAATTGCTCAAGCCGAGGTTTGGTTCTGCTCTACTGTAGGCCTGGCCAACTTCCGGCGGAAACCTTCACCCACGACTGCTCTCGTCCGACATGGAGGTCGAGGGAGGACTACGCTGACATTCTCAACTGGCGCTCAAAAAGAGTCATTGAAAAGCGACAAATCTCCTTTGTCGAGATACCTGAATTCCCGTGACAGTTTCTAGAAGTGAGTCTCAATCACTTCTCGTCACAATACCTGAAACACTAACCTGAATTCCCGTGACAGTTTCTAGAAGTGAGTCTCAATCACTTCTCGTCACAATACCTGAAACACTAACCTATAAGGTTTGTTCAGGTCACAATATAAAATAAGGAAAAGGGTCGACGCGATGAGTTCAGTAAGATTCTTTTCCTTTCCGTAAGAAGACGGATCAATTTCACCTGAATTCCCGTGACAGTTTCTAGAAGTGAGTCTCAATCACTTCTCGTCACAATACCTGAAACACTAACCTATATAGAACAAAAGATAGAAATAGACAAGTACAAAAAGGACACTACTTGTTAGATGAAGAGAATAGAAAGAATAGACCAGTTGACTATGTATCTGACCTATAAGGTTTGTTCAGGTCACAATATAAAATAAGGAAAAGGGTCGACGCGATGAGTTCAGTAAGATCTAGCGTCGACAATGATTCAGATGAAAAAGAAAAAGATAACATCACAGTATGATAATTAGTAACAGTCATATTGAAGATCAAACTAATGGAGAGTAGAGACTATTGATGATAATGTAGTGAAGGGGTTGAACTTACTCTTTTCCTTTCCGTAAGAAGACGGATAAAGGAAAAGAGTATTAGCGCGAAAAGGGGGAGGCGCAATTTAAATAGGGATCATTTAAGTTTGAGTCTGACATCTTAAGTTTGAATAAAACTACTGTATTTTAGTATGTAAAGTGATTTGATACTTAGAGTCTTATTCACCTTTCACCACGGCTGAAACCTAGGTACGAGAGACTGAGGTGTCTCTCAACAGTCATTTCCAATGACAACCTCGCGGTGTCATTCAATGGCGTGTGTAATGCCGCAAGGGCTTTGAATGGTTTGAATCATCAAACTGATCCCCTGCCATGGGCACGAGATGGCGCAACACCCAGATGTGAGGCGGCTGCATCTGCGCAATACAACCTCGACGTCCTTCGACCCGAACGCCCACACTCCTCATCTGGGGAGGACGAGGTCATGCGAGACCTGCTGGTGGATTCGGATGATGAAAACACACCTGTTCACCTGGGTCCTTCAGGTCGGTTTCAGAATTCTCGTGTGATCACCCAGTTTATCGAGGCTGATTCAGTGTTTCTGGCTTGTTGTAGCTGCCCGGTTAAGCGCGGATCGCAGGCAGAGAGCTGAGCAGCCATTGGCCGATTTGTTAGCTACCCCCACCCCTTCTTCTAACAGGACGACCAACATCAGGAAGGTTTCTCCAGTCAACCTTCGAGGTGATGAGGATGATGGTGCGCGCACCCGAAGACGTACCAGTGGTTTGGCTGCCCAACCACCACCGGTACTGTCGAATCGCGTTCGTAAGCCACCTCGCGGACCTACACGCTCTCAACCAGAGGAGTCGCCCTCAGCCTCACGTCCTGTGGAGTCCAAGGCCGCTCACCCTGCTCAGGTGGCGGCCAATGTTCCAAAAGTCACGCCGACTATTCAATATTGCCCTTTCGGTCGAATGTTGTCGAGCCCCTCAGCCCCTCCACATTCTTTGGCAGTGATTACCCGCTCACCTGCTCAGTCCCATCTGGTCGCTCGGGACATGAATAGGGTTGAACAGCCGTCGTGGATCGAGCAGATGACGCGGTTGGCTCAAGGTCCATCCCCACCACCCCGGTCTGTTCCTCTGGCGGTGGCCATGCCACCGGTTCCAAGTTCGGGACCTTCGACCTCTTCTGCTATCCCTGAGCCTCAAGGGCAGGCCTGCTCAACGTCAAACGCCCCCTCTGGATCAAAGACACTAACTCCTGCTCGTATGCGATGGGGTCCTCCCGGTCATGTTGACGTATTCTGGCTGGGGTATTTGGCTTCATTTCGTCCCTTCGCCGTTCACAAAGAACAAAACGAACGGTTCCATAGGTGCACGGAGTTTATCAAGGTAAGCGCTCCTTGTCGTATGACCGATTCATTATGTGTGGCCCCATTCCAACTCACTCTGGTTCAAATTAGCGTCTACCCGCATCCGCCGGGATGTTTGACAATTGGTCTTCCAACCCGAGGACCGCTACGCTTTGGAATTGCTACGACTACCTCTCCAAGACCTGGCTGCCCCAAGTGGAAGCGGCCTCAGCACGCGCAAGTGGTACCCAAGAGACCGATGAACAACTGCGTGAATTGCTTCAGGCTTTCTTGGAACAGGAACATGTAAGTAGATGATATCTCGCTTGCTCACCTATCTGTGATTCCCACTCTGAGGTGTTTTTCTGACGAAATGGGGCTGAGAGTAGGAATTAAGTGTCAGTGTTCAAGCGGCGAAGGCTGCGAAGGAGGCTGCCGCGAGGTGTTTGGCTCGTGCCAATGAACTGCGTGACGAACGCGCAATCCGGCCTCATTCAGTGCCACCTCGAACCCAAGTCGACCTCGACGAAGAGGGAAATTCTGATGACCCCGATGGCGCTCCGAAGCCTTGGAATTCTATGAAGGTGATACGACAAAGTCTGCTGAAGAAATTAGAGGGCAATGACTCAGTTAGTCACATGGTGAATGTCACCCTCAAAAGCAGCCAGGCCGCGGAGAAGGCAAACGAGCTCACCTCTCAAGCCCTTGAACAACACCTTGAACAGACGAAGGTCACCAATCTCCAACGCGAACGGGAATTGGGACAATTCCAGGCTCGACTCGATCTTGATTCCGAAATGGCTCGCGAATCGCTCCAGTTGCGGCGTGATGAGTTGCAAGAGTCTCGGAAAGACAAGGAATCAAATGGTCACCAGATCAGCGAGCTTAAAAACTCGATGGCGAGTGTGCAAGGCTCACTCAATGAAATGATTTCGGTCCTGAAGATGTTAGCCGAACGCAAGCCTGCTGCTCAAGGCTGAGCAGTTGAACACAGTAGGTCAACCTACTGCTCCCGATCACTTGCCTTTCGGAACTGACCGCCTCTTTGGTTCTTTCCAGGTAGCACCTTTTTCCGGATAACATCTTTTGGAAAGGCTATGGTGAACCGCTTGATTATCTGTTGAAACGGTTGTATCCAAACCTATGTGCTCAGAGACCTCAATTCGTATTCCTTTGTATTCCTACGCCCCCCTTCTTGCCCAGGTCTTGTTCACAGTGTGGTCAATTGACAAGCCAAACTGTCCCCTTATTGTCGAAAACATGAAGTGCGCAAGTGAATATAACATGATGACTTTCATTGTACACCACTGTGATACTACTCCAGTAGTCTCACGATTGCCTCGTTACACCATGACCTTTGAGAATTTGAGATCACGAGACTGCCACACTGGTTCCAAATGACCGATGTGCGCCCATTTGCCCTTCCCACATCATCATCAACATCGTCTTTGGGATGAAGATGGTAATTATTTTCGTCATCATCTTAATGAAGATGATGAAAGCATGCTCACTGGGCGCAAAGTTATCTTTCGCATAAGAGAACGGGCTCTGTCCATAAGTATCACATTGCAACAGCAACAACACAATCAATTCATCCTAACACCACATGAGATAACGATATAACGATTACATTCATTTTTGGCCTAACCGATCAACTATTAAACTCTTCAACCCTGCTCATTTGGTCGCGCAATTCGATGTGCAAGCAAATATTGCTCCAAGCTTGGTGGAGCAGCCACACCTCCCAGCGGGCCACGGCCACAACATATCAATAAGTTTTTGAGGATGACCGCGCAGTGATATAACGAGTTCAGGTCATTCACATAGAAACGGAGGTTGTCTATGAAAACCGTGGCCAGTGATTTCATTACTCTATCACCAATCACACTGTACACACTGCCCACTCACCTTTGTACTGTGACATCCGGAGGATGTTATGCATGCGACCAAATTCGTGTTCAACCAAGATTCACACGCTCGCCATCACTTGATTGAACCAAGTTTGATGGGGAGCAAGATTGTTGCCACCACATGGAGTTAGCATGACGGCAGAGTTCTGATAGCCTTGATCGCCATAAAGCATCATTTGGCGACCCCCAAAACCTTTAGCATCACGTTCGAGAACCTCCGTCAGACCCGACATCCTTAAGATCGCGGTGTCGTGGCGCGAACCAATAAACGCCTCCGTCAAATCGGCAGTCATACCACTGTTGAACAAACAGCAGAACCGATTGATATCTGACATCACCAAAGGGACCGTAAAGAAGATCACTCACTCGGGTGTCACTACAGCCTGATATTTCAGGCTGTGAACCCGCTTGTGGCCGTTATAGAACGCCCGCTGATTGTACTTAGGGCGTGCAATCCGCCAAACCGTTCCTGGAAGTAGAACTTCAGCCATCTATGAATCTAACTTGATGTTGAGAAAAATAATTGACCGTCCAAAAAACCCACGCAATTGTCCATAGGACAATCCTTAGCCTCCACCAAACTCGCCGCAAAACCTTCCAAAACAGCTGGCGGATAACGTCTTGGATCCCATCGCAACAGAGGGCCCCAGTGCTCATAGATCCAACCTTGCACCCAACGGCAGATACGGCCAATTGTGGAAAGGTCGCGCCCAAAGATTTGGGAAAGGTCGAAGTATCGGGACGGTGTGGCCAAACGGGCCATATAGATGGCGAGAGCGGTGCTACCCACTTCTCTAGCTCGGTTTGGCAGTATGATAGAGTCCGGGAAGCCACCCCAGTGGTGAATCTCCAAGATCTCATCCGGATAAAACCGGGTGGTCAGCTTGGAGATATGTGGGTGCCAAGTTTCCACATGAACTCGTCGAGCCGAAAGGTCGGGTAGCGGATCTCCTCCCAGTCGTTCCAACCAGGTCAAGTACTGAAGGATTTTGCGAAGATCTTCAATCTGGTATAGGTACCACCAAGAAAACATGAGTGTTGAGTTGGATAAAGCCGTCGACCTAGAACAAGGGAGACCGTTTGGATGGAATAGTACGGAGCCCATTCAAGCAGGAACGTGGTGTGGAAATGAAAAGTTTGGTTGAACTGATCAGGAACTTATCGTACGCCAAATCAGGAAGACCTCACCCGGACCAGAAGTCCCTAGTGTGACATCTGGACATCGTGCATGGGAATAGATAGGTCGCCAGGTGACAGCTAGTTGCATGTCACTTGTTACGCAGTGGAACGTTGGCGCTGATCATCGCCGATCCCAAACTAAAAATCGGCTCTGATAGGACAAAATCAGGTAAGGAGACGAGAAAAGGTGGCCTCCCTGCGCCTGGTCCTTATTGAATATGTACTCAGCATAAGGTGTTCTTGACAGCTTTCATGAAAGAGAAAAGTTGGAAAATCAAAAAAGTATGATGCAAACTGCTCAAGTTCTGACACTGTGAAATCAAATCGATAAGTGAAAGGATCTGGTCAAACTTTCAAAACTCAAGCATAAGAACCAGAAGGCTATACAACTCAAGATCTCCTTTTTAGTAGTTTAAAGACTTTAAAAAAATCAATTTTGATTCATGAGAAGAACCAGATGACCTCTTTATAATCAGTTTATCAGATCAGACCAAACACTCATTAAAGAACCAACATGATCACTCATTCTTTTCTTTTTCTAACATCACTTTTTCAATTAAAACCGGTCAAGAGGTCATTGCATACAATTAGGCTTGGTTTTTTTTAGCAAAAAAAGACGGTATGTTTGAAATATGATGAAGTTTTTCAGGGTTTTTCAATAATCCCTTACCAACTCGAAAGATAGATGAACATGTTTGACATTCACAACTTTCATTGACTCATAAACATTACACACTCGGAGTTTATCAAACTTATAAACCGCTACAAAATTATTGATTACATATATCGTAGAATCGATTGTCTTGCAAACCCGTCGGCGTACAAAATACAAAATCGGTCATGATAGCCAGCATGAGGGGGGAGAGAGAGAGTGTGTGTGATCTGGCATAAAACCAATGTGTAGAAGGCATATGGCAACTTATGTAGTTGACTATTGTGACTTTCACTGACACAAACCAATCAGTTGCTCACAAAAATAAAAACAAAGCTAATGAAATTGTGTGATAGATCTCAATTGTCTTGAAGAAGTTGTCGGTCAAGGAAAGGTAAACTCAATCATGATCATGATGAGGAACAATAAAATTGATCACAAACTTTGTTGAGGAGGAGAAAGGAAAGTCATGATCAATGATGATCATAATATTTTGTGATGCCGTCCTTACAAATACGGCAAACTTAACAAAGTCCCACTCGTTTTGAGGCCAGTACAGCTCAAAACGAGTGGGACTTTGTTAAGTTTGCAAATACGGCAAGGCCGGTCTGGTGCCTAGGGACCGGGTCTTGAGTTGGTGAGGTTTGGTGTGGAGATCGTAAACAAACATGCGCACGCAAGATATCATTCCACTCAGTCAAAAGATTTGGGTAACAGAGACTAGGATGTGATCTTGTGTTCACATTCAGGCATCTAATTAAAGAGTTATTTTAAGGATCGTAATCATAGTAAAGGGGAAAAGCAGAGAGAAATAGAGAGGGGGTAGAAGAGGTGAAAAATCAATAAGACTTCCAGAAACTCGTCTTCTTTGCCCCTTCTTGGCCTAATTTCTTTGTGTATGAATGATATTGAAATCAAAAACAAACGTAAAGCAATTATCATTAAGAGCATCTCCACCCCTGGTGTGTAAAAAAGTACTCTGTATCTTTTGGCAGGTCTCAGCCTGTATGCCAAATTTGCGCAGAGGTAGGCAAAACTGCGGCCGTGTAAAAACTGACATGTAAAAACATTATATGCCTTTAATACAAGCATAGGATTGTTTGTCTGGTCCAAAATGACAGGGAAGCTTGCACAACACTTGTGATTTTGGTGATATTTGGCTTTTTGTATGGCTTCCAAATTTGCACTCTCCTGGTCAGGATCTGGACATTTTTTTGCAAGAACGACCATAGCATAGGTGGTTCAATAGTCCATGATGACTTGCAAACAAGGTGAGAGGTGAACCTGTGAGAGACCCGCACGGTTATTGGTCCTGGGCAAAGATAGCCAACTAAGCCATTGTGGTGATCAATTTATGGGATCAATCAAAGAAAGTTATTCATAGGTTGTTTACCAATTTATTAGAAAAGTTCAGCACAAAAGAAAACTCAAAATCAATGAAATCTGATCAATAGAAGATCTTGAAGGCTTATACATTGCACCTTATATTATTATGAGTACATTTATTTCAAACAAACAATTAAGATCAGTTTGAATTATTAACAAAAGATTGTAAAAAGAAAAGAAACAAAAAACATAAGACAAACTCAAAAATATAGGTGTACAGGCTTGGAAATGGGTTTTAGGGTATTAATATTAGGGTTATGGGTATTGTGAGCTTAGAATATGAAAGAACAACATTATATTATTAACAACTTTAATCTTGATGGTTGATAAGGAGGAATAGAAGTTATTAAGAACAGCACTGGTGGCAAAGATGCCTTGGATTGTAAAATCCAAGGTATCCTTGGGTATACACTCCCTCGGACTGCATGTCTGAGGAATTGATCCAAGGCTTTCTTTGCCCTTGAAGTTTGCCTTGGATCATTTACTCAGACATTGCGTCTGAGGCTATTGCCTTCCAAGGATACCTTGGATTTTTCAATCCAAGGCATCTTTGTTGGCAGTGCAGTGCTTTTTTGAAGTTGGTAAACAAGGGTTTTACGGGTAGTTTACATATGTAATGGTGGTGTGAGTAATATTTAAGGTTGCCAAGACAATTTTCCGGGATTTTGAAGGTTATAGATGATGATGTAATATTACAGGAGCCAGAGAGTAGGAGCAATGGCTATGTAAAAGGGTAAAAATGGGTGAATTTTGTCAAAAATGAAGGTTTTCAGCTGATTACATATGTCAAATGATGTCAGAATTGGATGGTAGATAGCTCATTCAACGCAGAAGAGTGGATCACATAATGTACAAAATTTAGATCATTATCAACAGAGGTTTGTGAAGAAAGGTATAAGAGGAATAAGGAATTGGTGTGAACTTTGAATTTTACACTTGCATGCATACATGTAACAGCATTTACATACAAAAACCTTAACTTCACAACTCAATAACTCATTCATTACTGATCAGAAAGATCTGATATAGCACCAATTATTGATCAGTGTCACAAGCTCTAGAAGACGCACTTTAGTAATTCAAATTTGGACATCATCTGAAAAAGCCCATGAGTTCAAAAGTAGGTTTTCAGCCAGTTTACAAGGAAAAAATCACATCTAATTACATCATTGATCACTTTGGCTTAGGGCTGTGGCCCGGACCTGAGAGATCAGGGCCGGCCTCGCAACCAGACCCAGACCTGATGTGACCCGATGGCTTCCAAAAACAGCTCGGCTCACTCAGGGCAGGGCCAGAAGTTGAGCCCAGAGGCTTGGCAGGGGCAATGGGTGATGATCAGCTGGCAGGTAAGTTGTATGTCACCTGTTTTTTCATTTGAACATTGTTTTTTGATAGGCTTAATCACCAGAAAAGCAGTGGCGACCCGGTTGGGTTGGGCACCCGAGACGCCCGCAGGGCCTTTTGGAGCATAGGTCTTGTGGCCCCGGGCCCGGCCATGTGGACCATTGAGATGTGGTCGGGCAAACCCGGTTGGTCAGGGTCGGGCCCGGGCCACAGCCCTACTTTGGCTGTGTAAATTAAATCATCTAATAGTAACAAAGTCATTATGTTGCGTCATTACATGGTTTTTAGCGCTGTTGACCATTGTAGGAGTTGTCACACATCAATATATAATTTTGGGATTGTTGTTCCCCTTTCTGCATCTTATTACTTTGTTGTAGTGTTATAAATCATCATTTATTTACTACATTTGTACTAAGTTCACTTAAATATGCCCCTTCAACACAAGGAGAAATTTATTTACATGTGTTTAAGACTATAAGTCTCTTTGGGAATAATACTTACCACAGTATGGCTAGTAATTGATATTGTTTTGTGGTCTTTTTGCACTTGAAAACTGGAATAATACTTATTAAAAGTATTGAGAACATTTCCCTGGTGCCTATTATCTTTTTCTCTGTTATCACAAAGGGGTCAGCAAGTGCCCTTGTGCTGGTTTCTTTGAAGAAGGTAGTCTTTAGGCAACTTTTACTGTTCTCACATTAGTAGATTATCCCTTCTTAGGTGTTGTAAAGCTCTTGTTGAGCTTTAAATACACACCGTGTGCGCAAGGAAAGTTTTTTCCTCACATCTCCCATCCACCGTTTCACCACCCTAGTCAACTCTAGACTAGTGTGCAACTTTGAAAGTCCATCATTCATCACTTACAAAAACTCAAAAGCAGATGCTTCACATCGTTAGAGTTTTTTGTCCAAAAGACCTATTAGATAATTTCATTTTTTTTGCTATAACACAATAAAAAAGATGGAAGAAGTGATTGCACAAGCCGAAGCTAAGGCCACAAAACTGACACTAACAAAAATGAGGTCAGCCCCAACTGGGCAACAACCAGGCCTCCCTGTAGCAACACCAAGAAGGGGTGGTGGAACAGCACCAAGGGCAACAGCTGAACCCTTAGACAACAAACACCTAGATGGGGAACCAATTGTCAAAGGTGAAGAAGAAATTGATGACTGGACTGAAGACCTTGATGCTCTGGCCATTCTAAACAGATCACTAATCCCATCAGACAAAAGGGGTTCTCAAAGTAGGCCCGGTTTGTAAAAACCCGGTTGACCCAGTTGACTTTTTGGCTGTGATCTGTCAAAAAATGTCAACTCGATACACAAGGTTACTGCCAAAAAGCAACCGGGTCAACTGGGTTTTCTTGAAACCGGGCCAACTTTGAGAACCCCTAAAGAAGACAACACCTTGTGGAGACTGGGACAACAACCTACCACAAAGGGGAAAGGACAAGCAGAAAGCCAGTCATCCTGGAAGTCTCATCACCAAGATTCAATTCTGGTGACAAAGCTCAGCTACCCTCCAACAATGGTGAGCCCACTTTTCATATGTAAAACTGATGTTTCAAATTACCACAATTTGTTAAATATGATTAAAAACATCCTTTCCTTTACCTCCTTATGATACTTTCCATACCAAAAAAGAAATTCAAAAAGTATGCAGTGTCATATATTTATCCTTTGAAATTATGTTTTTGATATACAAAATGTCATAAACTGATATTTTCAAATTCCCACAATTTGTCAAATATAATTAAAAACATCCTTTTACTTACCTCCTTGTGATATTTTCCATATCCAAAAAATCCAAAAAAGTATGCAGCATCACATATCTATCACCACATTTAAGGGTACTCAAAGTAAGTAAGTATGTGTATACTTTTTGTTATCTACTTTTTTTTTGGCAGGGAAAACAAGTCCAAAAGGATATTTGTTTTTTTTTCCCATTAAAAAAAGTATATGTAGCACTACTTACTACTTTGAGTACGCTTATTTGCTTTAATTAGTATGTATATAACCTTCTTTTGATCATTCCAAGTTTTACACTTAACATACCTCAGGCTCTACCTCTTCAAACTGGATAAAACTAACTAACATTTCTTAAACCCAAAAACCAAATCTATAACCATTCAAAATAAAAATCCATGTCCCAAAATCAAAAGTAAAAAACAAACTCATTTCTGTATTCCAGCCATTACCTTCTAACCAAACCTTTTCAACATTTTCCACACATTTTCTCATTTTGTTTTCTTTTGTAATCAAGTCTGACTCCCAGTAAGTCTCAAACACACATCCAATAGTAAAGTATACAGTCCTCAAATACGTTCTAAGATTCTTATCCAAGCTATCTTTGTTTTAAGTTCTTTCAATTCCTTTGTGATTTGTTCAAACTTTTACTTCTTGGTATTAGTAACATCACCAAACCACAATACTCTACAGAACAGAAACCTCTAGGAGTTATTAAGCCTAACATAGACTTATTTGTGGCACTACAATGTATATTGGATTTCAAGCACCTTTAGAATATAAGGAGGTATACAAGACCCAAGAACATTTGGTCATAAAAGAAAAGAAATTTAAAATTGGTTAAAAAAGTTTATGAAAAAAAAATTTGTAAGTGAAGCAACTAATCATGGAACAGATGTAAGAACACATCTTATCTTGATTTTCTTTATTTATAAATTCATTCAAATTCATAATAATATTAATCATCTTGACTTCTTCTTCACAAACACGCAAAAATCAAACACACAAAAATAAAAAAAAAATCAAAAAAAAAGCAAAAATCAAAAAATCAAAAAGAACCAAAAAAATTAAAATTAAAACAACAAAAAAAACAAAATCAAAACCAAACTCTTCAAAAAAACCCATTGAATTCATTCAAGCATTAAACGAAAAAGAAAAAACCCCATCATCCTGGATTTTCAACTGGATCATCTATTCATCCATTCAACTGGATCATCCATCCATTGATCTAGATCAAATCCATAACACAAAACAAAAACCTCTCTCTCTCTCTGATGATAAAAAAAAATGAAAAAGAAAAAAACACTAATACACCCAAATTAAAATCATAAGAAACCACTCAAAATGAAAACCAGATATATAGAATACAAATACAGAACACTCAAAAAACTTAAAACGCAAAACCAAAAAGACCAACACATTTTTCTTTTCTTATTTATATATCACTTTAACTCTTGCAAAAAAGAAAAATCATAGGAAACCCTTAAAAGAAATCGTATTCCAATCTACGACCATTAACTACCAGCCGATCACTCATCGCTCATCATGTTTCAGTCTTTCTCTCCAAATTCTTAAACTTAACCCCACTGAAAAAAAACTAAAACATTCAAAAAACCCATCAAGTTTACCAAACCGGTCTATATAATCCTTTTGTATTAAACGGTTTAATCACTTCTTTCTCAACTCCTCCATTTCCCTTTCCAACTCCAGCACCAGCACCAGTTCCTTGATTCCCATCAACTTTAGGTTTCAACCCACCACCAACCAAACCATTCTGCTTCTCCTTCTCCTTCTCTTTCTCTTTGAGTTTCATATTCACATTATTCACATTCCCATTCATCATCAAATTAGACCCAGACGGATCATTCATTCTTCCTCCAATCGGTCCTGTACCCATCAAGTTATTCCTCAACTGTCTTTCCCACAACAAGTTTCTTCTAACCGATTCAGTCATCTCATTAGCCAACATATTCCTACGAGTAGTTCTAGGCGATAAAGGAATTGCCGCCACTTCTCTTGTTGAAATCATCATCTCATCATCATCATCTTCTTCTGTTTCTTCCTTGCTCAGTTGATCTTCTTCTTCATCATCTTCATCTGATGAATATTCAACATCTATCGGTGGTTTTCTTCTGATCGGTGAAATATGTGAAACAGCCTTCAAATTCGTCATGACCGATCTATGAATCCCTTGGTTAGGTGGTTCACTAGGATGACTACCAGATTGTAAGATCGGATCTTGTGAATGATTCGAAACTAAGATCGGCACAGCTACAGTCGACTTAGATTTGATCAACGAACTCGGTCTCATTGCTGCCGTCATGATCGATGATGAACCACTCATGCCTTCAGTTCTTCTTCTCAACTCAATCGCAGATTGGTTTCGTCCAAGATCTTCTTTCAATTTGTTTTTAGAAGAATTTATCGTCTTGGGATGATGTCTAGACGAATTCGTTTCAGGATGAAACAACATCGAAAGTCCTGCTCGTTTGATCGGTGTACTAGGCGGATCGACCGTAAAGGATTTCTTGGCAAACAACTGTCGATGGTACTCTTCCTGTGCTTGTTTTTTTCGTTGCAGTTCGGCTTCCTCTTCTGCTTCATCTGATGAATCTGTATAGGATGAATCCCATTCATCTTCATCATCTTCTTCTGATTCTTCTGCTTCTGAAATCACTCGTTCTTCTACTGGTCTTAAACGTCCGTTGATCGGATTGCTTGGATTGTTAGAAGATGTACTAGCTATTGTACCTTGTGAAATCGGATTAGGTGCTAATAAGAATCGACAAAAAAACTCAATTAGTTTAAAAGTCAAACCATGAGCTAAAGAAAACGAACAAACCATTGATAGGCGCTGGATTAGGAACTGAAGGTGGAGAAAGTACACCATCATCCTCAGTTTCATAACCATTAAAATAAAACTGAGCCTTCTTTTTTCCATTGACCGCTTGAAGATTAGGATTCGGAATTCGAGCAGCAGCCATAGCATTTGATTTTTCAATACCAGCTGACATGGTCGTCGGTAAGGGAACACCATTCTCAGCTGGTGTAGGAGGAGGTGCAGATGGTAAGAAGATTGAAGGACTGTTGTTTGGAGAGTTCATCTTGAAGACAGGTGTGTTGGAGACTTTTGAATTATTAGGTGTGACTGGGATAACAGGTGACATGAGACTACTACTTGAACAACTGGTTGGATTTGAATGATTCCCACAAGTTGATTCGTCTAGCAAGTTCGGTAAGAGTGAAGAGCTAGGTATAGGAGAAGGACGAGCAGTAGGAAGGATGAGAGGACTTGGCTCATCGACCAGAAGGTTCGAAAGCTGAGATGGACCAGCAGCTATAAGAGATGGACTTTCAAAGGTAGGGATGCTGGGAAGTTGATGATCTTTATCATTCCATTCTTCTGATTCTTGTTTAGAAGGCCCTAGATTAGGACTCGCAGATCTTGTTGTAGTTCCACCACCTGAGACCGAACGAAGATATGAAATCGGTCTCCGTGTAGATCCCAACCTGATCCCAGAGGTTGAATTCGTTCGTCTTGGGTTTAAAAGATGTTTAGCACCAGCAGGTCCACGAGTTGAAGGTTTTTTAGATACAGTCTTTCCAGAGTTCGATGTTGATTCTCTCTCGTCAACTGAAGGTGATGTACCAATCGATTTGAATCCAACACTACTTGTGGTGGTTGAACTTGAGCTATATCGTTTCACACTCAACGGTCGACGAGGCTGAAGACCTGAAAGTTTGCTCTTTGAGGTTTGTCGAGCGGTAAGATTGGTGGTGTTGATAGGTTGAAGGCCATCTGATTCATGAGAAGGTGAAGAAGTGAGATGAGAAGGTAAGGCCAGTGAAGGAGAGACTGTCAAAAGGCTTTGAATGTGAGAGAAAGGTAATTGGGTAGGTGATGAGGATGAGACGGGACCCATGATAGGACTTGTAGGTGCAGTGACAGCAGGAGAAGCTGAAGGAGGAGTAGGAGCAATGTTGACGATTCGAGGAGGAGCCTTGAGACGGATAGGAGTATCGGAAGAAGCTGATGAGGAATGATTGGATGAAGAAGATAAAGCCTTCAAGTATGGTTGTTGATGAGTGCCTGGATCGGGAGGGTGTTCGTTGTCGAGAAGAATGACATGAGGAGTGAGTGAAGTGGCATTGAGCTTGGTAGTAGTGGTGATGGCGGTGTTGTTAGTTTTGGTTGTAAATGCCAGGAGTTCCTTGGCATGTGCTTGTTCAGCTACCAAATCCATCGGTAATAAAGTGTCAATGATGGCACCAAATGAGATGGGAGTGATAGAATTCGGCCTAGGAGGTGGTAAGATATGAGAGACATCACGAGGAGATTGAGGAGATTGATCTGATGATGGATGAGAAGGTGAATGTGAATGTGATTGAAGTTGAGAGTGAATTGAAGAAGGACGACGACGGATGAGCGGAGTTGGAGTGGGTGATAGGTGAGTTAGATTAGTGTTGGATTGAAATGATTCAGGTTGATGAGAAAAGTTGGAGATTGAAGGTGAGGTTGGAGCTAGATGAAAAAACAAAAGATTGATTTAGTAATCAGACTTCAACCGAGAGATGGTCAAAAGAAATTACTAACTTGTGAATGAAGAAGAAGAAGAAGGATCTGATAAGATTGAATTGGGTTTAAATGAAGTTGAAGTCTTGATTGAAGAAGAAAAGAGATCATTTGAATGAAGTTTAACACCCGAGACCAGAATCTTTTCTCTTTGCCAGAGTCTCCAAGTGATATTTTCAAGTCGATAACCATCTGAAAGTACTTTTTTACATTTAGTAAAAGCTAAAAGGAAAGAAAGAAAGAAAGAAAGAGAAGCTGATTAGTTTGATGGTTTAATGAATTGATGATTTTGATGAATTGATTACCATTCCAAAGACCAGCCAAATCATCTGAATCGAGAGTAGTAGTATCCCAAGAAGTGAGACTGATGGTATCGAGATGAAGTAGAGGTGGAGATGATTGTTTTGATCTTAATTCAGAAAGTGCTGATGAATGCATTTGAAGTTAAAGTAAGTAAAGTAAAGTAAAGAGTAAAGAGTAAAGTCAAATCAAGTGAAGTGAGATGGTAAAGAAGAAGGTAAACAGTCAAGATGATTAAATGATTTGTTTTTTTGAATCGAATTGAGAAAATCAAATTTGGATTGATGATTTTGAAGTTTCTTCTTCTTCTTCTTGTCTGCTCTTGACTCTTGACCAATCACATTCAAGTTATTTGTAAAAATTAAAAAAATCAAGAATCAAGAAAACTAATTTTGTAAATTTACAAACTCAAGTCTTTCACCCAGAAAAATGCGGGGAAACTCACTCACTCACTCACAAACACCAAGATTGGATTCAGATTCTATCCTGTACATACATCTCTCTCTCTCTCCACATGACCTGTAGATTTCAATTCCATTCAAATCTCAATCTCATCCTATCCAAAAAAAATTAATCATCATCATCCATCCATCCATCATCCGTCATCTGATGAGGAATTTTTAATCATCTGAACACCCAACTCTCATTGATCACGCGCAGTGGATCCAGTTGATCAAAACAAACTGAATCAAATATCACACCGAGCTGCGTCTTAATTTAAAGTCTTGGTTTAACTTGGATAAAGTGTCATGTATGTACAGAAATCGATTTTGCTTCTCGATTGTTACGTAATGTACATAAACCCATTTCTACTCAATACAACCGGTTCAGCTTCCGGTTCGAAATTTCAACTTGTACATACACTATTTTTACATACATAATTCATTTTGATAGGAGATACATATCTCCACCAGATGATCAGGAGCGATCTTGTATACACTTATCTAATCAACATCCTTTTATCTCCCTTCTATGACCCCTTTTCTTTTTTGACTTTCCAAGTTTCGGTGGTCAGGCAGTCAAGACGGTTTTGAAGATCACTTGGACTTGGTTTCTTTCTTCGATCGCTTCTTTTTAGGTGCATACAGTCAAACCTGCTCAATCACATAATTTGGGTGGAAGACTTTTCCTATGCATTTTGACGGGTTATGAAATTCCGTTGTCAAATTTGGCAGTAAAAAGCATCAAGATTGAGGAATTTTTCTATGCATTATCACGGGTTATGCAGCTGCGCGGGTATGCAATTGCGCGGGTTCGACTGTACATTGCTATTTTCTTGATCATCGGATCAAGGATTTTTGAGATCGAAAAGATTTATGGAATCTTTTAGGTTTCGGAATGAGCATCGAAAAGATCTTGGCTTTGGAGTAGAACGATAAGAATTGAAGGATCAAAAGCTGTAGGAAACTTTTCATTCAAAGAGGTTTATGTTGAGAGACAACCCAGTCTCTCATGATCTTACTTAGGTTTCAGCTATAGTGAAAGTCTAATTGACACTTGACTTATTACAAATACGCTACCCCGCTTAAACTTAGATCATAGTGGCTGAAACTGAACTAAATCTAACAATACTATTAAGTCAAACCTAAACCTAGAAGTTCCTTTATTTGAATTGCGCCTCCATCAATTTGGGCTAATACTCTTTTCCTTATCCGCTATTCTACGGAAGGAAAAGAGTAAGCCCCTTTCACTATTTCAATTCTATCATATTCTTTCTTTATCTTTCTTTCATTTCTATATGGATGTTACTAATTGTTTCTCGTCATTCATATCTTCATGTTTCACTTGTTTGTTAATCGGCGCTAGAATCGTAGCTAAAACTTATACGCGCCGATTCCTTTTCTCCATCTTATTCTGTGACCTGACTATACCTCATAGGTTAGTGAATCAGGTCTTGTGACTGAGGTGATTGAGACTCATCTCTAGGTATTGTCACGGGGAAAACAGGTTAGTGAATCAGGTCTTGTGACTGAGGTGATTGAGACTCATCTCTAGGTATTGTCACGGGGAAAACAGACCTCATAGGGAAAACAGATATCTCGACTAGGAGACTTGTCGCTTTTCATGGTAGCGAGAGTTTGGTTCAACTCTTATCTATTCTAATCGAAACGCAAGTCTTATGTCAAATAGAGAAGATATTCTAGACGATTCCCAGTTGCCTACACCTGCATCTACCCCAGCTCCAAGTTCTGAAGAGATTGACGATAATCACGTCGATTCTGATTCCAGCTCAATTGATTCAACCCATTCAGCGCACACTATGGTCCCAGCATCTCATCAACAGATCAACATGGCAACTACTGCCCCTGAGATTTTAGATACTGATACTCCAGCACAACGACAAGCCAGTAAAATGACTTCGATTTTACATAAGGTTGCTATTTCCACGAAGCTGTCGTCGTCTAATTACGTTGCTTGGTCAGATAGCATACGTTTCGGATTAATGGCGGCATCATACGATCATTATCTTGATGCTGAGGAAGTGACAGGACAAACCATCGACCCTGAAATCATCTTAGCCACGAAGAAAGCCATCTTCTACTGGTTGCTCGCTAGCATCGAGTCCACCCAATCCACCCGATTCATATCTATGATCTCGAAGTTCGAAAACGGCATTAAAACTACCCCTCCATCGCCTTCGCTTCTATGGAAGACTATCAGAGATTACCACATCAGTAATTCGGAATCTGTTAAACTCATGCTGAGAAGTGATATCACCGATTTGTCTCAAGGCTCTACGAAGGATCTCCTTGATTACATTGATACTTTCAGAGCAAAAGTGGACGCTTACCTCGGCTCGAACGGAGAGATGTCTGAAGAAGAACAAGCGAGACAGTTTGTTAGGTCACTCAATCGGGAGTGGGCTGAGAAAGGGTGTGACCTTTTGGACGCCGGTCATGTCAAATTTCGAAATCTTGAGACCGAGCTGAAGAAAGCTTACCAAACCCGGAAGATGTTTTCATCGAATCGCCAACAAATCAGTCGAGCTGCCGAATCCTCTGAAGCCAGTCAAAGTCGTCGAACTGGAAGATGGTCGACGTGTAACAAAAACAAGTGCTTAGGACGTGATCATCCGACTAAACCTCATGAACAGTCCGAATGCTACCATCATCCAAATAACGCAAAGAAGATGGAGGACTGGAAGCGATCAAAACAAGAATCTGGGGAGTGGGTGGAGTACCCTCGTGGCAGTCGTGGTTTAAATCGAGGTGGTTTTCGAGGAAGAGGTCGAGGCCGTGGCAATCCACAACCGGCCAGAAATCAATCTAATCTAACCGATTTCCCAAATTCCGACGATCTCTACTCGGTATTTGAAAACCTTCGACTTGAAGACAGAGATGTTAGCTACAATGTTGAAATCGATGGTCAGTTTTCCTGCACTGCTCGTCCTCAGTTAGCATGTGTTGGAGACCGGTGTGATCTTGTGGCGCTCATCGATACTGGAGCGTCACATCACATGTTCCACGACGCCAGCTTGTTTGAAAGCGCCACGCTGATGGCTAACCACGACCCGGGTGCCAAGTTAAATCTGGCTGGAGGCGGTGCCACACTCGACATACATTCCATTGGCAACGTGAATCTATTGAATTCAAAAGGGGAAATTATCAAACTTAAGGATTGTTTATATGTACCTGACCTTTCTCGAAATCTGATCGCTGGTGGGAGATTATTAAGAGCTGGAGCTGTGACTACTGTACTTGCCGATCCAAATTTCAGAATCGATCATGGGAAGAAGGAATTGTTTATTGGCCAATTCATAGGAGAAGGTAGTATGATGTATGTGCCAATCAAATCATCGGTCAGTCATCATGCTCTTCGGTCTTCAATATCAACAGCAAATCAACTCACCATTCTCAAACTCCACTATTCTCTAGGTCACCCAAGCGAGAAGTACTTAAAGAGAATGTGGAATCTGGGTTATTTTGATGATGTCTTACCAAATAATGTTAATACCAACGACTTTGCAATTATAACAAAGTGTCCTATTTGCCCGTTAGCCAAAAATCATCGCCTGCCATTTTCTTCAACCAGACCCAGAGCGACTAAGTTTCTTGAAAATGTACATGTGGATTTGAGTGGCATCATAAGAACCTCAACTGTAAATCAAGAAGAATACTATATATTATTCACAGATGATTACAGCAGTTATCGTATCTCTTTCGGCCTGCCTAATAAAAGCGCCGAGACTGTTTTTGAATGTTTCAAACGATACATCTCTTTCTCAGAAAGACAGACTGGGGAGAAATTGAAGATGTTCTCATTTGATGGAGGAGGCGAATTCATAAATGGAATTCTTACCCCGTACTTAGAAGATCTCGGCATCAACACACGAATCACTTCTCCTCATACACCAGAGGAAAATGGTGTTGCTGAGCGTTCTAACAGAACTATCAACACAAAAGCAAGGTGTATGTTAATTCAATCATGTATACCTGTAAAATACTGGTATCACGCAATCTCGTACGCTGTAATGCTACAGAATAGAACCGTAACCACGTCTCTGAATCTCAAAAATACCCCACACTCTCTCTGGAAGAATCGACAGCCTAGTATGAAAAGATTTCACCCATTCGGATGCCTTGCTTATCGCCACATCAGGAAGGAGATCCGTGGAGGGAAGTTTGAACCTGTCTCTCGACCAGGCGTCTTACTAGGAGCCGCTGAAGACAATCACAACTTCGTCGTACTAGATTTAGAATCAAATAAAATTTACACAAGTCACGATGTGACTTTTCAACCGCTAGTCTTCCCTTTTATGAAGGATGCCGAGAACAATCCAGACTGGATGTTCATCGAAGACCTCCCAGTTGAACCTACTGAGGATGGTGAAGAACTTATTGATCTCAATCCCAATCCACCTATGTGTCCTGATCTCTGTGACGAGGAGGATGATGTGATAGAGGAGCGTCTCACTCCCAGAACCATCACAGAACCTCCCGCTTTAATTGAGGAAAGCGAAGTCGAAACCGAAGAACCAATTCCTGAACCTATTGAAAAGGAACCCACTCCTGCTGCACCAACTCCGCCTGCTATTGAACCTAGAAGGTCAGGAAGAGAACGTCATCCTGTGGAGCGTTACTCTCCTGGAGACTCGAACTGGATTGAAGCTCACCCTATGCGAAGTATTGTACCAAAAGGTATGAGATGTGATATACTATCCAAAGTATACCAATGTCGTGAAGCAATGAAGGCAAGAGCTGAACCAAAGAGCTACAAGATGGCAATGAAGATGCATGATGCTGAGAAATGGAAGGCAGCGTGTGATAAAGAAATGCAAAATATCAAGAATATGGGAGTCTGGGAAATTGTTGATCGTCCTAAAAATGCGCCCGTAGTAGGAGGAAGATGGCATTTTAAATATAAAGTGAATCCCGACGGAAGCATATCAAAACATAAAGCTAGATATGTTGCAAAAGGCTACACACAGACTGAAGGCATTGATTTCAATGATACGTTTGCTCCCACTGGACGATTGGCTTCATTTCGGATTCTGGTTGCCGTTGCCGCTGCTAAAGACTGGGCTATTGAACAGATGGATGCAATAGCGGCGTTCCTCAACAGCGACTTAAAAGAAGAGATTTATTTAGAATTACCAGAAGGCTATGATGCTGAACGTGCAGATGGAAAGGTAGCAAGATTGAGAAAGGCTCTATACGGCCTGAAGCAGTCTGCCCGATGTTGGAGCGATGAAGTCAAATCCAAACTCACGAGCATTGGATTGATACAAAACCCTCATGATGCGTGCTTGTGGTATGGAAAAGATGAATATGGACTAGAGACATTACTTTACCTTCATGTTGATGATATGGCGATCACTGGAGACAAGATTGATGAAATTAAGGATTTGCTGAAGCTGAAGTGGAAGATGGAGGACCTAGGACCTGCTCACTGTGTCGTAGGTATTGAGATTCATGCAACTGACGATGGTGGTTATGCGTTAAGCCAATCATCCTTCATTCAAACTGTTCTTGAACGATTTAACTCAGAAGACTGCAAGCCTGCATCAACACCATTTCCAGGTGGAACGAAGATCCTGAAAGCCAGTGAATCTGATGTTATTGAATTTCAACAATCAGGACTCCCGTACAACAGCCTAGTTGGAAGCTTAATGTACATAGCTCAAGGAACCAGGCCGGACATTGCGTATGCTGTTGGTGCGCTATCTCAACACTTATCGAAGCCATCTCTCACAGCTTGGCAGATGGGAATGCACGTCTTGAGGTACTTGAAGGGTACTCAATGCATGGGGTTAAATTATTCACCCAAAGACAATATCATTTCCGGTAATCAGAGCTGGTCCTTCCCGGAATGCCATACGGATTCAGACTGGGCAGGAGACCCAAGTACTCGACGGTCAACTACTGGGTACCTTTTCAAACTCAATGGCGCCGCAGTGAGCTGGAAAAGCAGGCTTCAACCTACAGTTTCGCTATCGTCAACAGAGGCTGAATACAGAGCAACAACAGAAGCAGGTCAAGAGGTGGTATGGTTAAGGGGTTTGTTATCCAACATCTCACTCAAGCAGAATTTTCCTACAATCTTATGCAGCGATAGTACCGGCGCAGTAGCTCTCACTCAGAAATCTATATTCCACGCGCGCACGAAACACATTGAAGTGCAATACCACTGGATAAGAGAACAAGTCGAGAAGAACCTGATAAAACTTCGACACATCAGCAATAAAAATATGTTTGCCGATACTTTAACTAAGCCTCTGCACCCTGGCCCTTTCAAAGAGCTACGAAACCAGATAGGGTTAGATGTTGTAGTTGGACAGCTGAAACAGGGGGTGTGTTGAGAGACAACCCAGTCTCTCATGATCTTACTTAGGTTTCAGCTATAGTGAAAGTCTAATTGACACTTGACTTATTACAAATACGCTACCCCGCTTAAACTTAGATCATAGTGGCTGAAACTGAACTAAATCTAACAATACTATTAAGTCAAACCTAAACCTAGAAGTTCCTTTATTTGAATTGCGCCTCCATCAATTTGGGCTAATACTCTTTTCCTTATCCGCTATTCTACGGAAGGAAAAGAGTAAGCCCCTTTCACTATTTCAATTCTATCATATTCTTTCTTTATCTTTCTTTCATTTCTATATGGATGTTACTAATTGTTTCTCGTCATTCATATCTTCATGTTTCACTTGTTTGTTAATCGGCGCTAGAATCGTAGCTAAAACTTATACGCGCCGATTCCTTTTCTCCATCTTATTCTGTGACCTGACTATACCTCATAGGTTAGTGAATCAGGTCTTGTGACTGAGGTGATTGAGACTCATCTCTAGGTATTGTCACGGGGAAAACAGGTTAGTGAATCAGGTCTTGTGACTGAGGTGATTGAGACTCATCTCTAGGTATTGTCACGGGGAAAACAGACCTCATAGGGAAAACAGATATCTCGACTAGGAGACTTGTCGCTTTTCAGTTTATCAAATCATTAAGAAAGTCTAGACACTTATTTTTTAAATCAACTGATTTCCAAACGCAAACATGTCTTGACTCTTGATGGACACACAAGTACAGAGAAGATGTTGCATAGTTCAGAACTTTGAGATCATATGTCATATTATTTGTTTTAAACATTCAAATTGATGATCATCTGAATCTCATCATCCCAAAGATTTGAAAAAAAGAATCATTTGTAGAAACCATGAAGAGAGAATGGAAGAATCTGGTTTTCTTGCTTGCTTGTTTGTTTGTTAGTGACAGATTAGATCAAGAATGATAAGATCTCAAACCCTGAACCATTCTTGTACAAACATCTTCTCTTTTTTTGATCTTATTTATCTGATTCAGTTGATCATGATGTATCAAGATCATAAATAATAAAGAAAATCATTTTATACATCAGAGATTTTCTAGTTTGTATGATTTTTTTACATATTGTGTTGAAAATTTAAACAAGTGGTTCATAAGAAGAAAAAATCTTCATGAAAATATATAACTTGGGAGTAGACACCTAAAAAGCCTATATAGTCCTGCTTAAACAGGTTTTCCATGTCATACAAGTAACAGGCAAGATTCAAGAAACCTAAGAATAAATAGAAAAAAAAACTAAACTTGGAATCCCTTGTTATCAAATTCCAATAAAAAAATAACCACTTGGTTTGAAAGATATGGAATAATTAAAAGAGGATGAAATGATCTAAACCAAAATTGGTATCATGCTGAACTTGCAACAGAGCCACTATACTATACAGTAGGAGTGTTCAAACATGAAAACTTCATATTTTGAAAGAGATTTTGAAGCGAAAATCTTTGAACCGTGATTCTCGTACAGAAGAACTGTGATTCTGGTACAGGTATGTATGGATGTATCTCGAGCTCTGGAGTGTGCTCCACTTCAAAATGATAGGGAGGCACATCCATACTCAGTGATACTCCCTTCTGATCATATCTGTACAAGAATCAATGTTCATCTGTACAAAAATCACAGTTCAAAATTCTCGCTTCAAAATCTCTTTCAAAATGTCAAGTTTTCAGCTTTGAACACTCCTAGTATTGTGATACTGTAGTATAGTACTGAGTTTTCACTACTATACTTTGAAAGTATAGTATCGGACTACCTTTTTATATGGATCCCACTATTTAGCGCCCTCGGAACAGTATCCGGCGCCCCCTCTCGGGTCGGACACCAGGCTACAAACATTTCAGGCGCCCCTTCTTAAAAAAGGGGCACCACATTGGGGCTCCACATTGTTAACTTCATCTCGCCTTCTTCTTTGTCGATTGTACAACAGCTCTTTTGTACATATACACGCTTTATCTGAAGTAAGGAAAGTAAAGTTGAGATTGTCACACTTCTTTGATGTTCGCGAGCGGAGCTCAATGAGCACCCAAGACTGTTGGCATAAACATATCATTGAGCCCACAGCTTAGAGTGCGGTTTACTCTGGGGGACCCATGTTAGTCTATCTCAATTGAAGAAAAAGTTCGACTCACATGTTTCAATTTAGCCAAAAAGGATTCCATATTTGACTTATTCAAATCACACTCAGATGAGTCAACTGTGACATTTACTGAATCGACTCTTGCAAAGACCTTTTGATTGAGTTGTTCATAAACTTGATTTGATAATCCTTCAAGAGTCGTAAACCTTCCACCTCATGTACCTGGATTGAGATGTAGATCAATCTCTGGCACTGATAATGATGCACTCTCGCTCTTTGAGATATCACGACTTGAATCTTCTTTATCTTCAACATTTAAAGTGGGTCGGGTACCTCAAGGAGAGATAGCACCTCCAGATTTGATTCCGATATCTTTATATCCACAAGAATGACAAAATATGACTTCTTTGAAATGAGGGATTGAGATAGGTGGAAGGGAAAGAGTAAACTTTGTCAGGTTTCTCAACTTCATAATCGTCCGTTAGAGTAGTCTCAGGTAAAGGTTGATCAGCATCGGTTAGTAAGCCAAGTTCCATATTTTGTCGAGCAGTTCGATTAAACTCGCGTTGCAACCATTTTGGATCACTTGAAACCTCCGATAGCTTCAATAAAACTATTCCCACTAGGGTCTTCAAGTTGAACAGTCACAGGTTCAGCATCAGGACCAATGATTCGTAGTAATCTTTCGAGTAACGCTTCAATCTTTTCAAAAACAATTGGTTCAGTATGTTAACAAACAGGCTGATTTAAACTTAACTCATCGATACAATCTTCAATTGATCCTTCTACTGTTGTCATCTTGCCTTTTCCTTTGGGTATTTCAAGTTCTAGCTCTGTGATTTCATAACGTAATATTCAGATTTAATAATCAATATGATATTGCACCAATTCATCATCTTGAGGGGTTGATCCACAAGCCAAGGCTAAGTCTCCTGTGGCAGAGTCAATCCGAGAATGCAGGTCATTCAACCATTGTGAAACTATGCAAGACAAATTCTATTGAGATTTTGATTCTGAGTACGGTGATTGTGTGTAGTCTGGCTTCAAGTTAAAGTTTTTGGCATGGCTGCGCTCCTTCCATGGCTTGAAGGGCCATGTCTGTGCATGCAAGGGGCCGGTCCGGGCACAAAACAATTTAGGAGCCCTTTAATTTGTTTTCATGATATTTGTTGCCCCATCAAGGATGGAGGGGCACCAAATACGTTAATTAACAATCAAAAAGGGGCTCATTCGCAATTTTGTGCCCTCTTAGGGAGCCCTCGAGGAGCCCTCGAGGTCCGAACGTGCGAAATATAGGCTAAAAACAGTGGGGTGTCATCGGGTCACGCGGGTTTTGGTGAGAACCCGGGGGGCTCCGGATATCAGCCAAGGGGGCGATAAATAGTGGGATCCTTTTATATACTATACTTTCAAAGTATAGTACTGAAAACTCAGTACTATACTACAGTATTGAGTATAGTATAGTCAAGAGGGAAAGGCACCCATAATTCCATCAATCATCAATCCAGTTCCAAATGAAAATCCAACAAAACCTCAACGATTAAAATTCAAATCAAACTACAGCCCTTTGCAGAATTGATGACTTTGGAAAAAGAAAAAACACTTGAGTTTTCAAAAAAAACCTGCGAGTTTTTTTCAAAAACTCATCGAGTTTTTCAAAAACTGAGCGAGCTCTTGTTCGTGAGTGTTATATCGATCAATTGAACCAAGTTCTTGCCCAGTTTTTGAAAAAACTCGGTCACTTTTTGACAAAACTCGAGGTTTCTTGTTTGAAAACTCGAGGTTTTTTTTTCTCCAAAGTCATCAATTCTGCAAAGGGCTGTACTCAAATCCTCTCATCCTACATGAGTTATTGAGAACCCCATCTTTTCAATCTTGTCCTTCTTGACACTAAAAACAAAAAAGCATCAAAACATAAAAGAATAATCAATCCATCATTCGATCAATCATTGGAACAATCACACAAAGAAAATCATGATCAAATTAACAATGAACCAAAATTTAAACCAACCTCTTGAAAAAACTTATTGAAATCAAATCAAAACTTATTGGAATCGAATCAAAACTTATCATGAAATCGAATCAAAACTTATCATGAAATCGAATCAAAACTTATCATGAAATCGAATCAAAACTTATCGGAATCGAATCAAAACTTAGTGGAATGAAATCAAAACCAAAATCAAATCAAAATCAAGACTCGATCTCAAAATGAAATCAGAAGAATTGACAGCTGATTTCAAAAGTAACGATAGATTCAAATTCAAACAAAGGATGATCAATAAAGAGACTCGAGGTAATTTTTCTGATCGAGGGCTCTCATCCTCCATTGACTATCTCCATGTCTGATCCTATCTATCTCATTTGTAGCCAACAAGTGTACAAATTGTTTTGATTTTCATTGAAGTACTTGAAATTAACAAAGTAGGAGCTTGATTTTCTGTTGGGTTATGATAATAGATAAGCTGCAAGAGAATGAACGAGACAACTTTGAAACTATCTATTATCTAATGCCAATAAGGGGGAAAACCTTCAAGGGTCCCTTCATTCTTGATGCCTATATCAATTCTACATTAACATCAATTGATATAAAACAATGAAACTAGATGATGCTTGCTGTGTGATCTCTATAACATTCAAAACTTCCAGTCTACATGATTTCAATCTTGATATGAATTTAGAACCCTCTTCATACAAATTTAGAAACCAGGTCATCTTGTCAAAGCTTGTGTTTCAGCTTTGTCTTGTTGCTGACTTTGTTCCGTGATCTAAAGAGATGTTTTCTTTGATCATTTGTCAATCACAAGACCATGATTGACATTGTTTTCATACTTATAACAATATTTTACATACATACACGGGTGGGAGGATGAATTTGCAAGTCAAGGAGCTTTTTGGTTTTTGTTGTGGGTAAGTTGGTGAGGTGCTTGATGGGGAAAATCTCCTCATGAAGTTGATTGGTCATGCTGTGATTGATCATCTTATTAAGGGTACTCAAAGCAAAGTATGTAGCGCTACATACTTTTCGCTACATACTTTTTTTGGCGGGGACAAAGAAAAAAAATATACTTTTGGCCTCGCCTTCCCCGCCAAAAAAAGTATATAGCAAAAAGTATGTACACGTACATACTTACTTTGAGTACCCTTATTGATTGTAAGGAGTTGTGGTGAGGTAAAGATTGTACTAGTACTACAATACTATACTTGGTATAGTATAGTATAGTATAGTACAGTGTAGTCAAGTACTATACTATACTATACTGTTGTTTGTTAAGTATAGTCTAAACTATACTATACCTGGTATAGTACTATACTGGTATAGTATAGTATAGTGGCAGTGTTGGCTGAAGTACGGCCAATTCAAGAAAAGATTAACCACATTTTTGTTAAAAAAAATCAGACTGTAGCAGTGATCAAAAGTGTAAACCAACCCAAAAGTCTTTCTACAGGCTCTGTATTCTCAAACCCAGAAAAAAGTAAACCTTAATAAAACATATATCCAGGTTTGACTTTTACACCATCCTACATGCACATTTCAAAGAAAAAACCCCATTCATTCTCAAATTGATTGTACCTAATCCTGTATAAGATTTTGATAAGGTAGTATAGATCTCAGATCAATTTTCCAAAGTTATAACTCTTTGATTTCTTAAACTTTACCAAGTCTTATACTTTCTGCTTGTAAGTTGTTGAACAAAGGTAAAGGATTTACAAGCTAAGTTTAAACTCATCTGGTATTTATTAATTTTTTCTGATCTTGTAATGAACACCCAATCAACATGAATTCAGATTTTATGGTATTGAGAAGTTAATTTTTTAATGGGTCCCAAAACTATATAGAATATCACCACTTTATACAACTCACTTCAGAATTTCATTTTTCATCTATTCCTTTTGCTGAAAAAGGAAACCCACAAAATCCCAGCCTGGCCCTAGTGCTCCACTGCAATGGATGTGAAGCAGTAGACATGTTATACCACAGATAATTTGAAGATAAATGCCCTGCATGATCTATTTCAACCAATTTTATCAGCTGAGCCAGTTTTGAAAAAAGTCTGCTACTAAAAACAGACAACTTGATGAATTCTCTCAACTTCATTTTACCAAGCTTTTTTCTTTACTTGTCTTCTTAATGAGGTTCTGTAATTATTTGGATGATACCCAAACTGATTGCTGTTGGCTGGATCCTTCAAGGACTTTCATCCAACAGTGACTCCACAGCCTGATTTTGTGGCAATCATTTGGTCAATGGATCTCTACCACTACCTGTTCAGTCATCTACAAATACTGTGGTTGGCACCAGAATTTGACTGACACAGATCAAATCTTCATGGAAGAATTTAGCATTGAACAGCCTGCACTGTTCCTTCACAAGATTCAAGAGAATGTTTATAATGTGTATGGGAAGATATCTTCCATAAGAACTGTTCATCCCAAATTTCAGAGCTGTCTTATCATAAGCTTAAAGAAAGCCTGTGTTAGTAATGCTTATACATCACTGATTCCAAAGTTGGAATGAATGTATGATATGATAGGATATCCATCTGATTTTTGATTTTTTATAGATCAGTCTGATTTCATTTTCATATATGTCCTATTGTCTGACTGCCAATTTTTGACTATTTTGGATTGAAATCCTTTGCCTTTTTACTGGTTGAAGACAAGAGATTGGTATGTGGACAGGATCTGCTACAAAAACATCAGCAAAGCAAAATTGGCATACACACTCCTTGCAAGGTTTCCCAGATCTATCAAGGTTTTTATTACTTCCTTCCAGCCATCACTTATGATGAATTTCTGGCTCTCACAATCAGAATTGATTTGAGAAACATTTGAACTATAGATTAGTTTGTATTTTTCTCTATACTTCAGTAGTCATTGTTTTAGGCTGATCTCAGTCCATTGTACAACTTCCCAACATGAATAAATTCCTCACAGACAATAGTGTCTTATAGTATTCGAAAACCTCTCAATCCATTGTGGTCGATCAATCTCTGACCTATGTTTCAAGAGAGGTGTGCCTGATCTCTTGATCTCATCTTCCCATGTCTTGTTTTCAATTCACTGACCTAAGTGGGACAATTTCAACTTTAGGTATTCTTGGAAGTGTGTTTGTCCTCTCTCAAAAAAAAGTTGTGAAGCATACAACACTCCTTAGCAAGTATTCATCTCACAGAATCAGTCTGTATTCCTTCAAGATCTGAGAGCACAATTTGAGCATACCATTTACATGCTCAATCACAGTTTATGCCTCACTCAGTTCTTTGTTACAGGAATTCTTGAGTCTGGAAATTTGGTAGTCCACATTTCTCTTGAAGAGGAACAGGGTACTTTGAGGCACTGTAACCTGAATCGGCAACTAGATACTCACCCTGGTGAAATCATGACCATGGTAGCATTATAGCTACAGAATCCATCAGTACCTGTGTTGGAAGATTAAAAAAAAGTTTACTGATGAAATTCTGAAAACTTGCTGGTCATTTACACTTCCACACCATCCATAATGGGCAAAAGTGACTAAAATACTTTTGGGTCCAATAATCCTCTGTGCAAATGACTGCCCCAGGGCCAAATGCTAAGGGGATCATTCTCCCGTCAACAAACCCCACACATCCCTTCAAAGTTGAGTAATTTTGAACAATTTTGTTCTTGATCTTTGAACTATCCTGGGGGAATGGCCAGTTACAATATTGATGTCAGCCCTGAGCCCTGATTACAGGACCACTGGCTAACAACATCACATATAATAACATAATATTGTCAAAAGCCATAAGTTACATCTCAAGGCTCAGTGTCAAGAGCCACTTAAACACATATACGTAATGTATTAAACACATAACAAACCTAACCCAACCATTGAGACAAGAGTCACACGGCAACCACAAGTTGACACATGCCCTTGTGAGTATATAAACCCCTCCTTCTTCCCTTGATTCATCCCACATCTTTTTACACACCACAACATCAGAATCACATTATACTTGAAATCCTATTGAGAGGATCCTTGAGTACGTGATTAGTTGTGTAGTCTAAAAGACCATCTTTGAGCATTACGGGTTCCATTGCTGAACACCCTTGGTATTGATTTCTACAAGCCCTGGGCCATAAACGTCTCTAGAAATAAACCATAAAGCAGCAAAGCTTCCTCCCTCACCAGGAGTCTAAAGTAGCCTCAGGATCTTTGGTTTACCAAAGTGTAAAGCCTGCCCCTTGCAGTCTCACAAGGTTTTAGCGTATTTACGTGTAATAGCCCTTTCCTTCCCCTTTATTCCCTTAAACCCTCTTCTCAGAGGTCAACTAACTGTAGTCTTCACTTGGGTGTACCAATTGAAGACCAGTTTTCCCTTTCCCTATGCATTTCTCAGTGAAGAGTACGCCTAACAGACGCGTACCCCTCACAATTGAGATTGTAATTCAAGAATTACTGCTATATATTGTGTAATTATGTCTGAATTACAACACTTTTGGACTGTAGTGTACTCTCCTCTTAGGCTTTTGGTGCTATTAGTGTTGGTCACCTTGTGTCTCAACACACTCATTGTATTCTCCACCACCCCATTTTCATCAAGATCTAGCATTAAAGTTTGATCAGATTTATGATTGTATTGGGTGACTGGAATCAGAGTATTGGTGGAATATCACACACATTGCATCATCTCTTCTTCTCAATTTTGAGTGATCTAAGTCTTAAAACTGTTCAACTCTTCACTCAAAAGATGAAGTGCTGACAAAAGATAAAGTCTTCACTTGGTACACCCAAGTGACAAATACAGTCAGTTGATCTCTAAAGAGAGGATTTGAAGCCAGTGGGATGACTGAGCTGTCCTTTCTTAGGGTCTGGCTAGGAGCTCTGTTTAATCTTACAACTCTGGAGCCTGCAGTACTTTCTACTGTCAGGATTCAGAGGTGCCACTGGGTACTTGAGACTCCTTAACAAGGCGTCCTTTGTAGATTCCATGCTTGTTCTGCTAGATAATAATCCCAAAAGCTCAGAACACCGCTTGAGGTTTTACAAAGACCTGGATGGAAAGTAGAACTCAGATCATCAAGGAAACAACTGAAACACTGTACTTGATATTCTTTGTGAAGCATCAAGTAAGATGTGATGAGGATTTGTGGTATGATAACAAGTTGATTTGTCTTCCAAAGTGGGAAGCGGAAGGGTTTATATATTTCAAGACCTAGGTGTCAACTTGTGAATGGTGCTTAGGTTTGAACTTCAGTATTCAGGTTATAGTTAAGTCTTATTGCTTAAGGGACTCTTGCTACTGAGCCATGAGTTGGAATCATTATGGTTTCAGACAAGTTACTTATATTTACATATGTATTACATATATTTACATGTGTGTTTGTTAGCCCGTGGCCCTGTACTGTGTACACACGGCTGACACAGACCGCCACTCATGCCAATGCAGCACCTGTTTTGCTACACCAGTAGATGATCTTTGATATACTCACAGATAATCACCCATGGTCAGATAATACAGCTGTGCCAAAAACAAATATTTCTGCTGTTATTTTTGATGACATTTTTTCAGATCTGTTCATAATTGATCTTTTGCCCATCTGCCTGGTTTATCCTGATTAGAATCAGAAATGGAGCTCAACCATTGGTATCTGCAAGCACTGAAGCTCATGGCTCCAAGGTAAGCAATGCAATTTCAATATCAGCCTGCTTTATTGACCATTTCCTTGCTTTCTTTACCAGATTTCAAACCCTGGATATGCAACATAAAAAGTCAAAATAATAGCAGGAACATCTATTTCCAAAACAAGTTTCAATTTGCACAGAAAAGCTGAGTATTCTGCATATGTGCATCTTTATTTGATGAATGCAAATATAGACCATCAGTGGGTTAAGTTCAACCACTGTTGGAAGCACGGCAAACCTCATACATGGAACCCTGTCAGCACGCAACAATGTGTGGACTATAATTAACACAAATATAACATAGTTTGTAAGCATTTTCTCTGATTACCATCCATGGCTTACTCCAGAGGTAAGCTTACCTAAGCCCCTCTTCCAAAACGCCAGGTCTACTCTCACAGAGTGGCTTAAGGGCTTATAAATACCCCAACTTTAGTCTGAGACCAGCAGGAATTTCAAGCACTTTTGTTTGAGAATCCATTTTCAAGGGCTCTAAACATTGTGCAACCTCACAAGAAGTTGAACAAAGCTTCATGTAAGCCTTTTTTGCACACATGTACATGTTAACTTTAGCGCCATGCTACTCAAATAAAGTGATACTGTTGAGTCCTTGAGTTCTTGTAAATCTGGGTCTTATTCAGCCAGCTTGTAGGCTTGCGCGCTGAACCCTTCAAAACTACTTGATAATCATCAGGATCCAGTTTATTCACAATATAAGTGTGGTGAGAGGCTAAAAACAGTACAAGGAGAAGCAGAAGAGTTTGCATGAAGAAGCTCTGCTGGATTTATTACAAGGTTTCACGGTGTTTAGAGCAGGGATTACAAGCAACGGCACTTGAAAATCTTGCTGGTCTCAGGCCCGAAAGCCCTAATAAGCCCCTCTTTGAGAGCGGACATGGGCTTGTGGGAAGAGGGGCTTAGTTAAGGTTTCCTCAAGGGTGTTCTGCCTCAACATTGAACACAATCCTATAGCATGTTTAAACAGCACACATGCAGACTCCTACCACTATAACCCTCAGTGACATCAATTATTCATGATAAGAGACTTTTATCCCTTCCAGAATGTCACGCCTACCAAACAGCGAGCATTCCTCATTAATGATCATTAGCAGTGCCATCAATGTCAGTTGCCCAGAAACAACTTATACTCAAAGCACCTTATCTGGGCGTGATGTGGTGCGATACCTTCAAATTTTTATCTACCATTTTCTCGTTTTGTGTCTGTCACATCCAATACATATTTGTCTTATTCTCCTTTTCTTGTACCTTCTTTGAGATATCAATTCAAGTTATTACAAAAAAATCACGTGGGAAGTTTTTCAGATAACCAGAGTATTGTGATTCTATAAAATGCTCTACTAGAGCTCGATACAAACCAAATAAATATCATAATGCCTTTGTTAATATTAGTAGGACCTGAAGATAACCCTGCTCCACCAAGTTTAGATCTCATATCGATCCACTATCTTTTAGTCCTCAGTTTGTAAATATGTGATGATGATTTTTTTTTCGATAAACAAATTTACAATATTTAAATACCCTGAGGTCTTGAGGTTTTTACAAAGTTCCAAATCAGATAAGATTAAGAGAAGTAAGATCTCGTACAAGACAAGATCATAACATCTCACCAAAAAACTACAACCTCTTGAAGAATGTATCTCCTGAGTTTCACTCTTGATTGATCCATGATACTTCAACATCTCTTTTCTCAACATCATCGTTGAGAAAGGCTTTTTCTACTGAGAGGATAATATTGTTGATCACTCTTGATCTTCCAAGTACTATAACACTTTTACCCAGAAACCCAGCGCGATAGCGTTCAAGCACGATTGCTACAAAATGATCAAGATCATTGATTCAATTATTCAGTTCCAGTTCTGTAAAATAAAAACAAATACTTACATACACCTCTTCAATCTGTAATCAAGAGAAAACCCCCATTTTCCCCCCTCAAAAAGGATGAATGTCCGAATAAGAACCGTTTTTTTTGGTTGATCAATCCAAGTTTAAATCTTCATCCCATTCAGCTAATTCAGGAAACATCTTAACCAGCACAAGTTCAAAGAAATCAAACATCAAAAACACATTAGAAGTTTGTTGATCGACTCCGTGTAAAAGGTTTTCAGCAATTCCTGATGGTGAACAAAATTGAGAACATTGAGTTGGGATTTGATGTTCGATTGATTTTTTCGCTTCTTCTCTCAAGATCTTAAGATCTATCTTTTCGTCTGATTGTTCTTCTTGGTTTGGTTGGTTTGGATCGGTTGTCTGTTCAAGGATTGTGGTGATTTGTACGATCAGATTTGAGAGTGAGATTGGACTGATTATATTCGTATAAAACAAATGAACCAATAACCTGAAATACCGACCCAAAAAACCAAAAAACTCAGTGTAACATGCCAAAAAGGGATACAGAATCTAAACATGGCAACAGACCTTGTAAGGATAATTTGAAACATGCGTAAGAAAAGGCTCAAGATCCAACATAGTTGACGAACATGAGTTTGTTGATTAGCACCGAGAAGAGTGGCTAAGAGTGAAAGACTTGGTTCGAAGAGTGTAGGATCACGTCTTGTTCCGATAGGTGGAAGTTGAGTAAGTGATTGATAAAGTGATGGTAAGAGAAGTAGGAAGTGGAAGATTCGATGTAAGAATCCTAATATTCGACTCGGTAAGGAGATAGGTGGAATGACTTGAGAAGCCAAAGCAGGTGAGGTGGGTGGTGGATCGTCTTCAGTTGATGGTAGATGGACTGCAATTAAACTATAAATCGTGGCAGGTTCACTTAATTTACAAAACAATGGTGCTAAAATCACATTGATAATGATTTCACGTATGATCAATCTTTCAGTTTCAGGTGCCCAATCTTCAGCAGGTAACAATTGTTCCATCAAAGCTTCGATCAATAGCCTAAGATACATTGGAGAAGGTAAGGCTCGAGCGTTTGGAAAGTTTGGAAGAGGATCGACCAATTGAGGAGAAAGAAATGAGTTGGCTTGTCGATTTGTACTGGCTATCACAGTGGTGAGTTGGACACCAGGATGAGGTCTCAACCGAACAAACACTTCATCAAAGGTTGAGTCTGGTTCAAGACCACGTTGACGTTGAAATGAAAGTCGACGATGTGTTTCTTGAACATCAAGTAAATGACGATTCAACAAACTAGGTAAATCAAATAAAAGCAGTTGAATAGGATCTAGAGTCGTCAATCTACGTTCTAATTCGCGGATCAAATGAATTAAGATTTGTGTGACTCTTGTGATGAATGGTTTTGAATTTTCTTTCAAAGGTGAGATTTGTGTATACCAACTTAAAATAAATTGTTTGGAGATTATTGTTAATAGGTTTGATAAGAGTGGATCTAATAGATTTCCATATCTTTTATCAGTTAAGATAGGTGAAGGTACAGATGCGAATAATCTACGTAATGGCGGATGAGAAGCTGTTGGATTTGAACGAGGTTTTAAAGAAGAAGAAGATGGTGAATTGGTTGGATCGATGTTCGAAGTGGTTCCAGTTGTGGTGATGGCTTCGCGTGCTCGTTTCCTTGGTCTTGTTCTTATATCTTGATCTAAGCTTGAATTGTTTCTGAAGCCGGTCAGTGTCATCCTTGTGGGTAAAATTACACGGTCAATCGAGGTCGATCGTAAGAAATGGTTGATCGAGAAGAAATGCTGAGCTACCGCTGCGTGAGTGGAAAGTTGACATTTTCATAATCAGAGTGACCCTGAGTGACCCCGGACCCAATATCCTTGGATGTCGGTGCCCATGAAGCCGTCCAACAGTCGGGGAGACCGGCTTATGAATCAAGGACACTCCTGAACCCGAAGCCCCGAGAAGATGAGATTTGAACCCGATTTCAAATTGGTCGATCAATTTGTGTTTCATCAAGAAGTGGTGACGTCGATCAATTAAACCATCCACCGTTGATCCAAGACCAACAAATCGAGTTTCCTAAGACCAAGAATTACCTCATAGAACCATCAAAAATGAGGTACGCGTCAAGTTTTATCTCAACTATGATTCATGATCTTGATAACTAACACTTCAAGTTCAAACCACCTTTCAGTCGATTCGTCCGTCAAAGTTCATATCGTCATGTGTGCGTTGTTAATACGGTTATCTTGATTTATGTCACGTTCATGAGAATAAGAAATGTTGATATCTGGATTGGAAACTTTAGGTACGGTCAATCTTCAAAACGCGAGATGTGTTTTGATAATATCAAAGTATCGGCTTCGGCATGGGACACGAACTTGGCTGCTGCTAATCCCAAGTTCCTTTCAGTCAAGTATGTGAATCTTTCTCAAGATTTAAATTTTCGTTCATTTTTGTTCTAAGAAAGACAGGAAACCGGGCGATTGATGGTCCTACCTACATCGAATTACTGAATCACTAATCAAAGTTTTGTTTTGTGATTTAGTTATCAAGCTTCAGGTGGAGGCGCCTTTTTGGTCGCACCTCTTTCACACACAGGAAAATTACCGGATCTATATCCATTATGTCGAGCTCATACAGCTCCAGTCTTGGATACATCTTTTTCACCATTCTGTGATACATTAATAGCTTCATCAGGAGAAGATGGAAAAGTAGTATTAACACAAATAGATGAAGAAAAGTTAAATGCAGCTTTAAGATCGGAAAAACCTGAAGTCTCGGATTTAGAACCGACGGTTAGATTGAATGGACATGTTAGAAAGGCGGGACATGTTAAATGGCATCCGGTAGCTGAAAACGTTTTGGCTAGTGCTAGTTTAGAAGTTAAGGTTTGGGATGTCGAAAAAGGTAGTTGTGTGGTGGAATTACCTCAACAACCTGATATGGTGGGAAGTATGAGTTTTAATTGGACTGGAACACTCTTAGCCACGTTTGTTTTTCGTTGCTTCATCTTTTTCTTTCTAGCGTAAAGAGGTGACTGAGTTGGATTTTGATTATGATTTTGATTGATATGTAGGACTTGTAAAGATAAAAAATTACGAATCTTTGATTTAAGATCAGGACAACAAGCTTCAATTGCCGATTCACATACCGGTATCAAAGGATCTAGAGTAGAATGGATGGGTAGAATGGATCGAATCTGTACGACGGGGTTTAGTAAACTTTCAGATCGACAAGTGTTTGTTTGGAATGCTGGAGAGATTGGTAAAGGACCTTTGAAACAGATGACTGTGGATACTAGTTCGGGAACTCTTATGCCGTTTTGGTCTGATAATGATATTTTGGTATGTGATTGCTTTTGGTGTGATTGATCATCAACAAAGAAAGATGTTGAAATATCTGAGTGGGTCATCGTACTCATCGTATCTTGACTCTTGTTTAACATCTGTGATGGGGTTTTTAGTTCTTGGCTGGTAAGGGTGACGGTAATATCCGTTACTACGAATATGAAGCAGATGATCTGTACGTATCTTAAGTGTCCAGATATTCTACCCATCAATACTAATCTTTTCGTCTGTTCATCAAACTTATCAAACCTGATATAGACATTATCTGTAAGTGGAGATGGCCTTTTGACATGCATACACCAATGTGTCTCAGTTATTGATCAAGGCTCTCTTACTTCTGGTTATAGAACCGAATATAAATCAAGTGACCCACAGCGTGGGATGTGTTGGTTACCTCGACGAGCGTTAAACACACAAGATTGCGAGATCGCTCGTGCTTACAAAGTCACTAATTATCTCGTCGAACCTATCTCGTTTATCGTACCACGAAAAGTAAATATTCACTCAACTCGATCTTCACCCATCTCCCTCTTTTTCCTTGAAATCTAATTCAAACCTCTTGGGTTTTGTGTTGATTTGATAGTCAGATTCGTTTCAAGCCGATATTTATCCACCAGCCTTATCAGCTACTCCAGCACTTTCGGCCAGCGAATTCTTTGGTGGTAAAACTTCTGAACCGATTCTTGTCAGTTTAGAAACCCAATCCGAAACGTCTGCACCACCATTAAAATCATCAGCCTATGCAGCTCCAGCTCCAGTCTCTGTGTCTACTTCTGTGGCAGCTAGTTCTGTTCCTGTAGAAAGTCTTCCAAGTCCGATTGTACCTAAACAAGAAGAAAATCTAGAAGTCGAAATGGCTCCACCACCTTCATCTTCGATCAGTTCGAATCATCGTATGGAAAGTTCACCTAGATTGATGGCTAGAGGACTTCCGTTGGTTCCTTCAAATCCTTCTGGATCTGGAACTGAAAAAGATAGGGAAAGAGATCAGCAGATTGATAGATTGGAAAAGGAAAATGAAGGGTTGAGAGAAGAGTTGGAGGAAAAGGATTGTGTGATTCGTAATTTGGAATTACAGTTGAGTTGATTGTTTTTATTTTTTTATTTTTTTTTGATTTGGGAGGAAGATAAGATTGATCTGATTGAGGTGTTTTCTTTTTTTTTTTGGTTTGGTTTTAGGTTAGAGAAGTTAAAGACTAATCAGAGAAAGATTATGGAATTGAGTCATGATTCATTATAAAGTGATGGACTATTGTTTTGTTGTTTTGTTTTTTGGTCAAGAAAAAAGTGGTTTATTTTTTTGATAATTATAAACTTGTTGTTTGTTTCGAAAAAAAACAATGAATTAACAATCATTTCATTTTTCGAAAAGTTTTTTTTGGCTTTCTTTTCTTTTTTTCGTATGATACAAGTATACAGTATATATATATATAGCTTTTGTTTTGTTTTGTCTTAGTTTATGTGTGTGTGTGAGTTGCATTCATTCAATTTGTTTTTTTTGTGTGGGTTTTGTGGGTTTGAAAACATTAAGGGTCGTGAAGTAGATTTGCAAAGTAGAAAAGAATCAATGGTACATATATTCAAGACGATGAACTAGTGATTGTGATTTGGCCAAGTTTGTATTCATTTTGTTTATTTCCATCATCTGTTTTCCATAAGCTTTAAGATTTAGTTTGATTGTGGTTTCAGTTTGTGGTGATGGAAAGGAATGCAAGTCAGAAGAGGAGAGAGTAGAGTGAGATAAGATATGATATGATTGTTCTTTGGAATTGTGATGGAATGATCTGGAATATACTTTAAAGTCTTGTACAGTTTAAATTTTCAAGTCATTATTTTTATTTTTATTTTTTTATTTTACCCCAAATCCAAATCCCATTTACCAAACTTGAAAATCTCATTCTCGATCATCAAAAATACCAATTCATCAAACCATCTTATCTTTCTAATCTAATCATGTCTCAATCTACTCCACCTGAAATTCTTTGGGCTCAAAGAAGTAGTAATGAAGATCCATCTCATAACATCATTTATCTGTAAGTAATTCCCTTCAAACCCATCACCATCAAACCTGATATCCAACTGATCGATTTCTCAAAAAAATAACAGAACGATTAATGTACCAGACTTACAACCAGGTTACACACTAGACTTTCCAACCCCATCTACTTTTTCTTTCAAAGGCATCTCAGGTGGTTCACAAAACCTTGGATCAAACGTACCGGCTAAAACTTATGAAATCCATCAACTCGAATTCTTTGATCAACTTGATTTGAGTGTAGAAAGAAAAGAAACGGTGAATGGGAAAAGTCTTCAGATTCAGTTGACTAAGAAAGAACTCAAAACCGAGTATTGGCCTCGGTTAGTGAACTTTTTTTTTCTCTCTTTTTTGCGAAGAATCAATCTTATTCTCAATTGGGTTACAAACTCATTTGGTTTGGTTTGGTTTGGTTGATGTTTTGTTGATTTTTACTTTTTTTTGGTTTAGTCTTACGAAAGATAAAAGAGTGAATTTTGTGAAAACTGATTTCGCTCGTTGGGTTGATGAAGATGAACAAGAAGGAACAGCTGTAGATGATTTTGCTTCTACAGATGCTCCAGCAGGTGCAGGTAAGTTAAATTAGGTTCTTTCATTCAAAAAGTTCTCTTTTGGTAATAAAAATTGGTTTTGGTTTTTTTAAGGTATGGATATGGAAGCTATGATGGCTCAAATGGGTTAGTTTTAAGTTCATGGTTCTTGGTCGGTTCGCTTTGAATACTGATGGATTGGTTTTCTTTAGGTGGTGGTGGTATGGGCGGTATGGGTGGAATGGGCGGTATGGGTGGTGCAGGAGGTATGCCAGGTATGGGCGGTATGGGTGGTGCAGGAGGTCAGAATCTTTGATCCGCTTGTATCGTATTTTCGAGGAACGCTTTACTAATCTTTCTTATTGTGGGTTTTTAGGTATGGATATTCAAAAGATGTTGGCTCAAATGAAGGCTTCAGGTGGTGATGTTGGTGAAGGAGGTGATAGTGATAGTTCAGATGATGATGAAATGCCACCACTTGAGGTGAGTAATTCAAAATTTTGTCTAATCTTTCAAAAATTTAACTTTGAATCGAACAAGAAAAAAAAATTGGTAAAAGAAAGATGACTAATTCTTTTGCTTTCTTGTCTTTTCTTTTGTAGGACGCTCCTGCTCCTGCTACTACTACTGCTTAAAAAAAGTTATTTCTATGAATTAAAAAGAACATACCTTCTTTTTTTTTGTTTTGTTTCGTATATCAGAATTGTCATTTTTGATCATATAATTGTGTGTTTTTTTTCGAAATAAAGAAAAGAAATCAAAAAGCAATGAAGTAAGAGAACAAAAACAAAAACTCAATGAATTATTTTACATTACATATTGGTTTATCCTTTTTTTTTCGCGGATTTTGTCTTGAGGTAATTTGGACTGAGTTCATTGGGTTTTGTTGGAGTTTTATATTTCTTGGCTACAAACAAAGGTTTCATATCTACCAACCAACTCCCTAGAAAAAAGAGATGAGAGTTTAGAATCATGACATATTTTATGGGTGTGTTTTTTATTAACAGGCGTTTGAGGGGTTAAGCTTTCCTCTGTGTGCCGACTTCGCACAGCCAGCGCGTTGTGTATAACGCCGCGCCCTTGGTACGAGTGCATTTGGCCGCACCTGTCAACGTGTGCCCGCCTTCACCGATTTTCGTATTGACTCTGTCTATGATGTCATTTGTGAATACCACGTCCACGGCTCTTAATCACAAGTTCAACGCATGCCGCCGTGTTCAAGTCACATTCAACAATCCTTTGTCGGTGCCATTACTTGAGGGTCTTTGTCCTAAACTTTGGCCGTACTATCAGACTCAGATTCTATATAGTAGTTAAGAAGCTGCCGAGAGTATAACTTCAGGTTTTGTTTTTTTGCTAATAACTAGTATATGTTGTGATGATTTACCTTGCTAAGGGTCAAAAGATTTATAAAACTCGCCTTGTTCGGAGTCAAAGATAAGTTTTGCCAATGTGATGGATCATGTCAATCAATCGATAAAAAGAAGTTGAAGATTTAGTTTTTAACTTCTTTTTGAAACTGTTTTGACCTCGATATTTGTACTTTCATTTATATCATTTGTCTTTAAGATTCTTTTAAAAGTTTTTCGTCTTAAATCTTAGTTTAAAATTTTCTTTTGTTCATAATCTTTGGTTTAATCAATTTACTTTAATTTACTCGTTTTATTCACTTTTCTTTTGAAGAATTAAATAGTTACTTAATAAATCATCATGAGATCTTTTGGTTCGGTTTTGGTGATTTTGCTTGGTTTGATTTTAGTTAGTGGTTCACTCAGTCATAGTTTTCGAAACGTTAGGCGGTCTATTAGTACTAGTAAGATGGTATCTAGAAATATAGTCGAGTATGTGGATTTCTTTTTCTAGAATTTTTCTTTTGGACTCACTGTGATCGTGGTTTTTCTTTGTGACTATCATCACAGAACTCGTCAGGTTGAGGTCCGTGAAGTTGATGGATTAAAACGGTGAGTTTGCGGGTTGATATTTAAAGGATATCTTTATTGATTTTGTTAAAATGATGCTTGGGTTTTGGTTTTTATCTTCTCTTGATAATAGTCGTGATCTTCGATCTTCGTAAGCTTTCACAACTTTTTCCATATAATCTTTTTTTTACCTCATTCATGATCTTTTTTTCAAAGGATGGTAAACTGACAAGTCAATTTGATTTCTTTGGTTCTGATTTTTTAGAGTTTCACTTCAAGCTCGAGATGTTATGTTATATGTTAGTGGTAGTGCTAGTGGATTTGGAGAAGGACAATTCGATATGGGACAATTGGTAAATCCTCCTCCATGAATCTGCTCGAGTGTTTTTTGCTTACCATTCTTTACTTTGATTTTTTTTGTTTAGCTTGGTACATTCATGACAGAAATGCTTGATAGGTTTACCGAGAATGGATCTTTGAAATCGGATGATGATTCATTAACATCAGATGATGATGAAAACACAGATAATTCGACTTCTTCAAGTTCAAGTGATACTGGAAACACTACTTCTGATATTACATCTGATTCTTCTGGAAATGGAACATCCACATCCACATCCACTACCCTTCCAACTCAAAGTTTCGATACTAGTTCTTACCCCGCTCCAACAAGCTCTAATGACACATCTCCGGGGTCAGCTAACAATGTGACCTCTTTACCTTCTCAGACTCTGAGCATCAACGCTACCTTTTCTCCTGTTCCTGCTCCAACTATCAACGCCACATCTCCTATGACCTCAAACTCTAATTCTTCGTCCTCTTCACCCCCAATCATCATTGCCACTGCTCTCCTGACACCTAACTCTAATGCTACATCACCTTCATCACCAAGTATTGTGGCTACAGCTCCTTTAAGCTCAAGTTCAAGTAGTGCTACTAAATCTGGTGACGGAACTGGAAATGGAAAACTTTCTGGTCAGGGTCATGGGCTTTCGGTTTTCTTGGAAAGCGATTTACCTAATCCTTCGAGTTTGGGGGTTGGAACTTCTGGATTTACGGGTGGATTTTCGGTTACCCGTTAATAGCTTTATGTGGGTTTGAAAAATTTAAGGAAGAGGTTTGTTTAATTGATTTTTGTAATCCTTTTTTTTAATTCTTGATTAGTTATTGAACTTTCATTTGTAAATTGTAAAAAATCTAAATTCTGATTTTCTTTTTTCTTTTTCATTTCTTATAATTCTTTTCATTTCTTGTTTCTTTCATTTCATTTTTGTATGGATTTTTCTTCAAAATTTAATACAAAAAACTTGTTGTAGTTAATATTAAAATTTTGCTGCTAAATCTAATGATCATATGAATTATGTACAACTTGTTTGATCATATTGTTCTTCATTTCTTTGATGACAAAAAACAAATTCAGTCACTTGGTAATAATATTTTCTCATCTGAGTTGACTTTTGATGATACAATAAGATTTTTTTACTTTTTGATTCTTTTTATCTGTTTTTCTTTTGAAATCATGAATCAATCCACCAGAATACCTGAATTTCATCCAAAAAAGCAAGGTCTTGAAGTTTTTGATAAGGTTATAAATCCATGGCTAAATATCTCTTGATTTGAATTTGTAGATGTGAGTTGTGGAGTTACATGTATTTGTGACATCTCCCTCAGACTCTCGAGCTGCATCTTGATGACTTGTTTCAGGGATCGCGCTATTCCGACCCCCCCCAGTTTGCTAGTCAGACCCCCCCTCCGACCCTAGGCCCGCTTAGGTAGCCTTAAGCAGCTTACCTAACAGCCTCGACAGTGTGCCCGATGCATTCTACATAACCTCATCATCCTCAAGATGATGGCTTTAGATGTAGAACATGATGAACTGACCTGAGAGGATTTTGAGGGCTCTGAAATTTGATGACAGTCATTGTTTTCTCAAAGATGCGAGTAATCAAATGTAACAATTATAACTTCTAAAAACATGATTTGGTGTAAAAGAGCATCAAAATCGAACACGATCGAGCTACTGTTGTAAATTTTGGGTGAACGAAGATAATAAATTTGAGTGAACAAAGGTAACAAAGATAGTGTATGTAGTTGTAGTGAGGATAGTGATCGAGTGATCTTGAGTAACAAACAAACAACTAATCTATTGTGATCGGTTTGAAGGATGGACATCGAGCTAATTTGAAGTGAATCACCCTCTGTAAGTGCAAGTACGGGCATTATGGCCTGTTTCTTTACATTTGCCACACTTTGGACCTGGAGCCCCCAACTCGGCTGCAACGTGTTCATGACGCGATTTGAGTCGCTTGGTCGTTCTCAAAGGTCGTCCACGAGTTTGTATTGGTTCGGGCTCGTGGATTGTGTCGGAAGGATTCTGGAGAATCAGCTCCAGTCGGTCCTCAAAGAGACGCTTTTGATGTGGTGGTAATTGGGTGTATTGAGCTTGGATGTGTTGTAAAACTGTAGGGAGTCCAACTCGCTGGATTGAAACCACTGGATGCTTTTGTTGAAGATGCCAGTGAGTATCAAAGTGGTCAATTGTAAGCCTGCTTCGAGAATCAATCAGGTGCTTCAAAAAATGAGAGCACGGAAGTCCATGAGAGCTTGAGAATACATATGTACATGGAGTTTTGTAGTTCGGGAGGATTGCTTTCCGGTATTCTTCGTAGACCTGGTTATTTTGAAAGTCAATTATTGGATCAGACCCAGAGGTGGTGGAGTGTTGACTTACTTTACCCAGCGCATAATGCGATATCTTTCGATTGACATTGGTCCAGAACACTGCTCCGAGACGAGTCAGCGAGTGAGACTTCTGATTCTCGATCTTTTGAGACACTTTGTGTCGTTGAAGCTTGCACGCAAGGACGAGCCTATCGTATACAGTAGCTAGATCACCCGTTGAAACCGATATTGAGATTTTGATGTTTGCATGTGCCCCTTCAGCGCGAGACGTGACTGTATGACCAAAATGTCTGACATCTTTGGTCCAGGCAAGTACAAACATTTCTTTGTATGGGATCCAGGTTTTCATCAGATAGTTAAAAGCTTCGTTGGTGATCTTTGATTGGAGGATTTGTAGTTGGTCTTCAAAGCTTTCGGGAGACATCGAATTACATACGAGTCGCCACTCGGAAAGGAAAGCGTCCCAATCCTTGTCCGACATGCCCTTCTTGATGTTTGAAAGGATATTTTTCTCGATGTGCCACATGCAAAGGAGGTTCTTGGCATTTGGAAACACGTTCTTTATCGCTCGCATGACTGCTAGCTCACGATCCGTGACCACAGCACCTAGCTTGGTCAATTGTGATCCAAAGCATATCTTCAAGTGCTCCAAAGCCCAATTATAGTGCTCTTCAGTTTCTTGTTGCATAAAGCAAAAGGCCAAGGAGAGCGAGTTATGTGTTGGAGAGACTCCCACAATATGCAAGAGTGGCATATGGTACCTTATATAAACAAAAAGACAAAAACCCATCAGCTAGAGTTCATCTTTGGGTATGAGGGAGGTGAGAACTTACTTGTTTGTCTTGTAGGTTGAATCCATCAAGAGAATATCACAAGTGGCGAGCTCCTGTGCATTTAATACACAAACTTCTGGAGCAATGAACAGACAGGTCAAAGACCCTGATGAATTTCTTTGGTAAGCATGATATACACCCTCAGTTTGAAGTTTGTCGAGTAGAGCTTCAAGGGATGTCCGGTGCTGAAGGATCTGGTTACGAAATTTTTGCTTGAGGTTGTAGATATCGTGTGGTGTTGCTATGATAGTTGGGTCGGAAGCTTTCAGCGTGCTCAAGATAACTGAGGGACTGGCACCTCCTTTACACATGTCAATGACCGTTTGTTGCTGTTCATCCGTGAGGCGTCGTGCTCCTGGTATGTCGGCTAGTGTCTTTGAAGGTGGGTGATTGTGTGTATTATTGATTATCTTCACACTCCAATCAAGAGTTGTTGAGTTCCTCAAAATTTGACATGACCAATGGCAATTGATCAAGTGGCTAGACGTTTGTCAAATCTGATCTTCATTCGGCTGATAAAGACCTCCGTGTGTGCAGAACAAAACCACCTTGCGTACTTCATTTTTCTTGTTTTTTTTTGAACGTTTTCTTTTGAGGAAGTAACCAGAAGCAGTGGCACACTCTTGCAGTGCATCTTCAGCCTCTTCCAGGCTTGGGTAGACTGAGAGGAGGGCGTCCAGATTCATCGGTTTGGAAGGAGGATCATCTAAATCAGACAAGGTTGACTCTTGGTGGGTTGGCTGTGAGGTAGCACCTGTTAAGGAAGGGTCAATGACCATGGTGGTGGAAATGTTTATGTTGATATTGGTGCACATTGATTTGCATCAGGAGGCAAAAGACAACTTCTCAACTCTCGGGCACACTGTCGAGGCTGTTAGGTAAGCTGCTTAAGGCTACCTAAGCGGGCCTAGGGTCAGAGGGGGGGTCTGACTAGCAAACTGGGGGGGGTCGGAATAGCGCGATCCTTGTTTCAGACCTGTTCTGTTCTGAACATTTGGTCATCTTCACGCGCTTGGGGTTTCGATACAGAGTGACGCGCTGACCCTTTCTTTCTTTAAGCTGCTATGACTGAGGTTAAACGACCTCATTCATCCTTGTTCTTTCTCAACTAAATTCTTCATCCTCAATACATTTCAATGCCTTCTGAGCGACAAGCCATACCAAAGACATCTCGATCAACTGAACAAAGGAAATCGCGAGCGAAAACTGATCACATCACTCCTTTCCGATCAACAAAAGCACCTAATGATCCACCACAACGTCAAGGCTTGAGCGAAACTAAGCTCCGACAAACTCGACTATCTGACGCTTTTAATAAAAAACCTTCCTGGACAGACCCACCGAAGCGTAAACGCCGTGATGTGGAGGCTTCTGCATCTACTTCGAGAGAGCCGATTTCTCAGTTAAAACTTATCGGTCGCACAAAGCCAGTTATTCTGAGAGACGAAGAACCGTACTCAAAAAAGCGTCCTCAAAATGAGGTACAGGCGTTTCTCGATAATGAATCTCTTGTCGGTTGCTCTACAGATGCATCAAAGCGGAAATCCCGACATTCAGAACCCTTTGGCCGCTTTAGAACTTCACCAAACCTACAGCAGCATCTTGATATCATTAACAGCCGCAAATCGACTGCAATGCCAGAAACGGTCGAAGTAGGTCATTCGACTGGTCTACGCAAACGATTAGGTGGAATGAGTAGCTCAGAAGTGATTGAGACAGAAAACAATCATCTGACAGTCACTAAGAATGCTTGTCCTACGATCTCATCTGATACAATCGAGCAACTTCACACATCCTCTCCTGGTACCACTCCTCCTCCAGTCTTATCTCAGCGTTCACCGATACCGCAGCAAACTCTCTTTTCCTTAGGGATCGATCTCGACTCACAGTGTTCACCTCTCACCTATCAAGTTTTACATCCCAAAGATAAGATACGGTCTGTCAATAGGGGACACGGCGGTTGGTTGGAAGCTAATCAAGATCCCCATTCAAATGAACCGGCAGAAGATGATCTATTCAATTGTCTTCCTGCCCCAGTTGCCAAGCAATCTCGTCACCGTGTGGTTTCTGATGAGCTTCTTTGCCTGCCAGGAGACTTGGGCACATCTCAGAGTCGGAATCAGGGTATTGTTTTAGAAAACACTACCGATCAGCAAGGTTGTGATGCTGTCATTCTACCTATACCGACAGATAATTCCACTGGTCAACATGAAGCTGAATGTCATCCCGATCGTGATAGAACTCAACACACACCTAAATCACGAGTCCTCTGTGAAGCATCTCCCACCCCGAAAAGGCTATCAACTCCAGCAAAACAACACGAAAATTCAATCCATCTTTTTGACCCTGGGCCTTGTGTTGTACCGAGTCTGCCTAGAGATAAGCTTGCTCCGCGGTCTCTCAGGTCTATATCCCCCCTCGAACACCTCAAAGATCCGAAGACCATATCCGTAGATGATGATATGCTTCAGTCGTCACCTGTGCCAGCTCAATCACAAGATGGTGACAAGACTTTATTCTTTCCAGAGTCTATGGCACTTGGAATATCAGATTGGGAAGATCTAGGCAGAAACAGTCCATCACCACCGCTTTTGAGTCGGGTTGAAGAAGTGATTGAGCAAGCAACCACTCCCACGCCTCGACGAAGCGGTCTGATTCCTGGTACTCAATTAGGTAAAGACATTGCTTATGACAGCGTATTGAGCATCTTCACTGATAGATGCCATCTATGTGATCCAGGTTTCCTCGATGAGCGTGGACCAGTATCTTCACCTATTCCACCATCAAAGGTCATCTTGGCAGAGGAGACCCAAGAAATGACACCAGAACGGCCCTCAAAAGGTCACAATCTGCTTACTGAGCTGATCGAAGGCTCACCTGTCCTTCCATCACATGTTTTGGCTGAAGAGACTCAAGAGTTATCACCAGAACCACCCTCAAAACGTACCAAAACACTTGATCGACCTAGTCAATCCTCTTCTCATCGAAAACCTTTAATTAGATCACTTGCACCACCTACACCTATATCAGTTAGGACTCGTCAACAACAAGAAATGAGTGCTTTGAAAGAACGAAGGACACTTTCTAAGTCTGTTAACTCGACACGTGTAGCTAGTTCTAATGTATCAGCTCACAAAGCAAGGACTCCTTCACCTTTGAAAAAGGTCAAAAATGTTGGGTATGTTTTCTTTAACATATCTATGTATCAATGTCATCTCTTGGCTGAGAGTGAGAATTTGTTCATAGATCTTGGAAGGAACGAAATCGACAAGCTTGGACTACTAATCCTGATGCTCAGATAATCAATTCTCCTTTTGATCGACAATCCAATATAACCGAGTTTTTTAACCAGCCTGGACCATCCACTAGTTCTATGTCGACAACTCAGAAGAGTAAAGAGATTGATTCTGTTTCACAAGCAGGGTTGACCAAGGCACTTTTACAAGAAACAGCCATGAATCGTTTGTTTGGTAATATTTCACCAATTAGGAAGACTAACCCGGATCACTTAGAGGAAAATGATGAAATTGAAGATATAGATGTAGATATCATGGTTCCTGATTCACAGATAATCATAGAGGGACAAGGATGTGATGATTCACAAGATGAGAAAGAAACTGGTAGAATTGATTTTGAGAAGTATCTTGAAAGGAAAAGGTATAGGATCATGACTTATGGATTTGATCAAACTCAAAACTTGATGGATCAAGAAGAAATTCATGGTCGTCAAAGAGAAGTGGATCATCGATTTAAAGATACTAAAGATTCTAGAGTTGATGATGATGCTCATGCTGATGAATTGGTATCAGACGATTTTGATGTTCACTTTTAATTTTTTTTCTTATTTAAATCATTTTTTTACGTGTTTCTGAGCAGAGTGGAATAAATATGGACGGGTTTTTTGTTTTTTGACTTTTTTCTTTTTGTAAACTTGCCTGTCTAGTGTACTTTTTATAGTGTATATCTTTGTTGCAACGTAAATTTGATTTTGAAACCTTTATATGAGTGAGTTTCTGGATTGATAGATTTTAGTGGAAAAGAGCAATGTTATAGAATGTTTGGTTGAGAATTCTGATGATTTGAAGTGTTATTGTGTGGTATGATTGATAACTGTAAGTTGGTGAAAGGTGATTGTGGGAAAGATTGGACAATTTGGTAATTGGTATGTAGTTCTTGTGTTGTTTTTTTCACTCTTTGCGCAAGGGCTTGAAAGGATTTTAGGACAAACAGGATAACACACCGTCGCGATGTGCCGAGACTTTCAAGTGGCGCCCACCAAGTTTCAACTAATGGATTGGGACTTGAAATTTATTTCACTTTTGTAGATGAATGAACAATGAGCATTGATAAGAGCTTTTGTGAAGAACAGATGCATTTTGACTTTGAGATCCCAAAGTTCAAAGCGCCAAGTCGGTTTATGGAATTACTCTTGATTTATTTTTTAGGATCATGAGAACCGTCTACAAAAAGATGTTCAATGAAGATGGTCGGACACACCAGACCAACTAGGTGTAATCGCAACTAGTACAAGCTGAAAATGATAAAATCTGCTGTCAATGGTTGAACTTGAAGGTTCACAGAGTTTTTTTCAAATTTGACCCACTTATGTATGGGGTAGTCTGGGGGGTAAGATCGTAGCAGCTATATGTTACCTGATGGGGGTTGGTACAAGCTGAAGAGGTTGGTCCCAATGTCCAGATAAACAAAAGGTTCAGTAAAGGAATGGAAAATAAGATAGGATTAGAATGACTACGCACTGAATGTGTTACCACCAACCCAAACATAGTCCACACAATCCTGCGCACTTACGCGAGGGTCGTCGGGGTGTGAGCCATAGGGTCGACAGGTGTTCATTTTGACCCATTTATTACCTACATACATATCCATTTATGATATTGGTGTGGAATCATTGGCTTCCTTGTGAGAATCAATCATTATACAAAGAATTTGCAGTGAAAGAATACCTACCACCATGCCAACAGCTTTTGTAGTTGCACCATAATGGCCGATTATTTAGCCTATCACATTCTTTGAAATTAAGAAGAGAAACATTCAGTTAAACTGTTAGAGCCTCAGGTGGAGAATTGTCATAGGAAAAAAACAAACGACGTACCTACGCCATTACTATGGTCAGGAAAAACTCCCGTTAATCCAAGATTGCAATGACCAGTGAGTTTGGATGCTGAAGATCCAATCAGTGTGCTAAGATAAAAGGTACAGAGTAACACAGCAACTTTGAGAGGGTATTGGTGGAACATGATGCGGATGAAGGTGGTTTGCAAGCAAGATTGTGTCCTCTAATATACAAATAAAGAGGTGCACAGAGTCCTGAGTTGGTGACTTCGTGTTACAGGATAACTCGCCCCAAAGACGTTCAAAGCCTCAGGGCATTTCACCGCGTTGCATTTTTGTGAAGCCACATGTAGAATAACCATTCAATGGCTATACTGTTGTTCCGGGACCACTTCTCAACTTCCTTGAAAGTTAACCCTTCCCTGATCCACCAAGACGCTGAATGTGGAGTCGGACTACAGTGGGTAAACCCGAGTACGTGTTCCGACCTGCCCTGCAAAATCAAATTTCACCTTTCGGGTCAATGTCGGGGCACTCAATTTGAATGTTTGAGACTGGCACCCAGACCATTGAAAAGGCATTGCTTTGATGAATCTAGGAATATGGTTTTGGAGACCAAAAATGTGATTTTACTCTTTTAGACGTTTGGATTTTCGGACCTAGGCCTCAATTAGGTACCTATCTAGCTACTTAGCGGCGCACTAGGCCTATAATTTAATGAATATGGCTGCTCAAGTGGCAAATAACAACCAAATTTGCTTTTTTTTCAAAAAAAACCAAAAGTTTTGCAGCCTAACACCACCCCTCAACCTTACTCTCCCGCCAAAAAAAGCAGAAAAAATGGCAAAAATTTCTCAAAAATTTCAGACCCAAACCTCTATGCGGACTGGCTTGGAACACGTACTCGGGTTTACCCACTGTACGTATGAGGGAAGGAGAAATGGATTATCCAATTCCTTCGACTGACATTAGGGACTGGGCGAAGCTCTGCAAAATTGCAATTCAACCGTAGTTGAAAGCGAGTTGCAAACAGCTAAGCCACTGTTCAATCAATATGAAATTTCCTTATTTTTTTTAGTAAGCTTTATGGCACTAAAAAAAATAGGGTGGCGCACAGGCATGACCCTCCCTAAGACGAGCTGTCTATTCAAAATTTCCCCCCCCACCTCAGCCAAAAGCCTATGGCAGAACGCTTCTGGATAGCCTGATATACCTTTCACAGGTTGCTCTCGCTCTGGTTTTGGTGAAATCATCTGACAGTCGGGTCTCTTGGGCTTGTAGGAGTAATCCTGACACCTCCTGTTTGCATAAATCGCTTCGGTTGACTTCCAGGGGATTCATGCGCTTATTGAGGTGGCTAAATCCTCTGTCGGTCAAAACCTCGCCCAGTCCCTATTCCCGCCGGAGGTTGCTTGCAAGGTTAACTGTCCCCATAGCATCCGCACTCATCAGCTCACGCTTGCTAGATTAGTTCAAATATGTAGTCAACTCATTCTTACCGCATGTTGTACGACCACAAGTCACAGCGCCAGCAAGAGTAGACTTATCAAAGTCCCTTCCGTCATCGCTTGCTATGTGTGAACCCCGGCACGTTAAGTTTGGGCACAAAGTAAGTCTTCAAGGATAAGGCCCTTCCTCGAAGACTTGTGAGGAGCGAGAGGTACTTTGATCAGTTTGAAAAAAAGAGACATTTACCAAACTAAACAAATTCACTCGCTACATTGTGATCTCTATTATGTCTTTTGCAACACATTTTATTTCAGACCCTCCAAAGTGACACCTTGGATTAGTGTATCTTAAAATGGTTCTTTTGGGTCCGATGATATAGATGAGGTAGTGAACGAGTATGCTGATTGAGAAATCTTATCACGTGGTATAGAATTATGGGATTTGAGACTGAAATTTCATGTTTTACACTAGAAAGAGAAAACCACCCCCTCAGCGAACCTTTCCTCTGAAGAAAATATAAATCATCTTTTGAAGATTCCAGAACTTTGAACCATCACTTTTTGATCACAAACAACTAACTATGTACATCTCGACAAAAGGTGATTGAGGGACACATCGGCTCAACTAGATAACTTTATTGGCAATTACTACACGCTGGAGATGATAAAGATATCTTGTCAATGTCAATGATTGTAGGCTCCTAGAGCGTTGTGGATTTGACTCACTCATGTATGGAGTGGTAGCTGGGGTAAGGCCGTAGCAGCTATAATGTTTACCTCCGGGGTTGACACAAGCTGAAGAGTGGAGGTAAAGACAAGGCTGAGGTAAGCAATGGAAAACGGGATGTTAATATGATGGCTACGCACTGAATGTGTTAGAATTCACCCAAACGTAGTCTGCGCATTGTTGCGCGCTTATGTTAGGGTCATTGGGGGCTGAGCCATACACTCGACAAGTTTTCATTGGAATCCACTTATGTCCTATAGTTGCAATCACAAAATTGATATGGAATAGTTAGCTTTCTTCGTGAAGATTGATGATCAAATAATGAATTTGTATACTGAAGATTACGCACCGTTATTAAAACAGCTGTTGTACTTGCACTCGTGTTGCTGGCCATCATCCGATGAGCAAGCTTTGGAATTTGGAAGGGACAGATTAATTTGGATTGTGATGGATTGGGTTGAAAGATGGACTGGAAATAACACAAGTACAACGTACCAACTCCACCTGAAGGGTCAGGAAAAACTCCTGTCAATCCAACATTGCATTTGTATGTTGATCCTGAAGATACATTAATCAATGTGCTGAGAAAAAATGTAAAGAGTAGTACAGAAATATTGAGAGTATATTGGTGCAACATGCTGATGAGGAAAGCAAGAGGAAGGTCAGCAACGTAGGCAATGAAAAGGTGAACAATGATTGATGAGTGTAAAATGATGTATGTTTAGGAACGAGGAAGCTGGGGGGAAAGTAGATGAGTTTGGACTGTGGGTAGCGTATGTGCTCCGACATATATGTCAGAAGAGAAAGGGATCCTCAACCGGTGAATTCACATCACCAAAAGACTTGTCGAAAAGAATGTCAAAGTCTAAGGGTGCAAATGTAGACTCGTCCTTCAATGGCTTGGCCCTGGCTCCGGGGTCACTTCTGCCGTCATCCACCAAGGCGCTGTACATATGCTGGCCATTCAATTTCAAGAGCTGAAATCCCCGTAGGAGGGTATTTCACCAGATCCTTTATAGACATTCGGCGGCCAGTCGTCAAACAGTTTCAAGTCACAGGGAACCCGAGTTATCATGCAGATGTGGTATAATGGCTCTAATTAATCGAAGCCTCGACACTCGTACATCGAGAGCTCTCATTATGAACTCGTACGACAAAATCCATGAAGATGCGTTGATAGTACTGATAACGCCCTCTCAAACATCTTCGTTTCGCTGATTGCATAGATGTCTAGATGTATCGAATCCGAATCGCTTGCATTATTAGATATGAACGTTGTACTTGATCCTGTCGATAAATCTGCATGATGATACCTGGTATAAGATGATTTCGACGTCTAGTTCTAGTTCTAGCATCAGTCAACTGTGATACGTCACCTGTTTGTTTTGAACCGAAGTATCTCAATTGATAACCTGTTTTTTATCTTTTCCGCCTAATAAGCTTGAAATATGAACACTTCTTGTAGACTTTTTCCTTCTAAAACCATTTGTCCCATGTAATCTCTGTATAGCGTAGATTTTTGCAACCTGATATGACTATGCAAATCGGACCTTTAGATGGTACCATCTTGATTTGATAGACAAATACTATGATGAATTCTCTTGGAAATGTTTATTTCTGAAGATAGCACAATGAAGGAGACATTGAGAAAGGGGTATTGGAGAAACTTTTCACAGATTCAGGCAAGGATCAAAGATGGTTTTAAATAAACAAATCCTGCCTGTGAGTATAAAAGAAAGGATTAAATCTTTCTTTTGTCAACTCTGATCAAGCGCTCAGTTCTTCCTTGTGAGGAAATGAATTTGATCTAGGAATTCTGGCAGGTATGATGCACAGGCATTGTATATGTTTTGGTGTGGTGCTGCCATAAAGCTTTACCCTTCTGTTTTGTTGATAGACCAGATACCCGAGGCTAGACCCAATTTCTTATGAAGGCAATCCAAAGTCCACTCGAATCCCAGAATATCCAGTGTGCGCCTGTGCAGTGTGCGTGCCATGGCTCGGGTCGATACTCGCATGTCTCCAAAATTGACTATCCGGTTTCCTGTGTAATTGGGACGGATCATGGAATCAATCTCTGAACTCCGCATACATACATCTATCGTCATTTGAGAACCACTTACATACTCGATTGTAGTCAGCCAGTGCCACCAAGACAGGATGGTCATCAGGAACTCATCAATCTTCGCTCGATGTCGCTTTTCCGCTTCAGCCAGTCTCATTCACTCTCCAGTCATCCTCAGTAGCTCGCTTTTAGCTCGAGACCGTAATTATTTCAGAGCTCATTTGGGAACTGAAGCTGACAGTTCACTGAACAAAGGTTGGGGACGTATTGCATCGATGTGTGACAAGATCTCAAGTTGATGAAAAACTGACTTGTTCCTACACAGTCACTTTGGAACGTCTTCTGAGGTTTTGTCCACCTCTCTCCCGTGAAGCATCTATTGAGAGCGCAGAATTGACCCGAGTAGAATTAACTCAACGATTGGAGCGCCGAGTATGGTTGAGATACTTGTCGAAAAGAATTCTAGCAATACTTTCGTGATCTGATCAGACCCTTGTCCACTTCTTTCTCTTTAGGTGAAAGTGCAACTAAGCTTGCCATATCTACCTGCCTCAAATCCTCATACAAGCGAAGTGATGTCGATATACACCAATGCGCTCACCGGGCTGAGAGAAGTCTTGCCTATCACGTGTGATTTTCGTTCTCAATATTAATTCTGCATGCTTTCGCTGCGTGAAAAATTCTGATCATGAATGTACGTCTTTTCCATATTCTCTACCTTATAAAGGTCTATGGAACAGAATGCAGAGCTTGTGAAGAAATTGGAGAAGATGGTAGAAGATGAAGCAAATGTGCTTCCGTTATTTGCAAAGGGTGAGCTTCCTTTGGGAAAAATCGATCAATTCTCTTTGGTCTGGCCTGAAATCGTCGTGCGTGTTTTGTAGGGTTCCAGGAGTGCAAGCGATACCTCTCGGAAGAACAGATTGGCTCATTTTTGGATAAGGCTATTCGTGCTCGCCTATCAATTCGGCTGCTTGCTGAACAACACATCGCCTTGAGCAAAGGATCATTGGAAAGCACTAGGATTGGAATAGTTGACACCCAACTCAACGTCCGGGAATCTGTCGAGCGGTCTGCAAGATTTGTTAGCGATCTTTGTCATGGGACGTGAGTCGTCGAGCTTCTATATGGACCGGCGCGCTTTTTTACCAATTTTCAAATTTTCGGCGCTCGGTCATAAGATATGGGACTTCGCCAGATTGGAACATCAAGGGGGATCTGGATGCAAAAGTTTGTTTTGTTGGCATACATGTCAGTCACACGATTGAATTACAATGTCCTCCAGAACGTGGTTGATCACTACTCAACAACTCCGTCTTTATAGCTCGAGTGAGTTCTGGCAATTCAGACTCCGGGCTTTCTTCACTATTGCATCCCTCAGCCGCTTTCTTACTTACACTTCACCGTCTCTGTGAACTAAGATACGTCCTTACAGAAATTTTGAAAAAGTTGGTAAACCCCTCCACTACTGAATCACTTTCATATTGCTAATCAGCAAGTTATTTCCTATATTTTAAGTGCATTCCGTGCAACAGTTGAGCGTCAGCTACACCTTACAGAATCCAGTAATCTGCCCCCGGTTGAAATCACTATCTCGGTTTATGAACCCTCACCTGTGCAAGCTCACCCATCTGATTTTCTACCATCGACAAAGGTATCTAACGATTTGCTCTGTATTCGAATTCGAGATTATGGAGGTGGGATTCGCCCCAGTGACTTTGAGAAGATCTTTTTATATGCATTCACCACTGTTGGTCAACATGAGCCCGAAGCAGCGGAGTGGGATGATGGCTTGTTTGGGCAGACCGATGGTCTGAAGTCTGGTCTTGGGCGCATCGCAGGACTAGGTTACGGGTACGTTGAAGTCTTAAGATCCTCATAGGCTTTTCTTACAGCTTCAAGGTATCACGATCTTTGACGAAAGACTGTTTTCGTGGGTGTAGCTTACCGATGGCTAGATTATATGCCCGTTACTTTGGAGGAAATCTAGAGTTGGTTAATATGCATGGACTGAGTGGAGGGACGGACGCGTATGTACTATTCAGGATGGGCCCTAATCATACTCTATCCCACAGGGAATAGTTGAAAGGTGCAAATTGTAAGCTGTTGATTATTTGGCAAGGTATATTCTTGGTTGAAACACGCGTCGGAAATCCAGGATCTCTACCTGAGTGCATATTCTTCAATGTACCGGTTATTATTGTAACATGGATACCACTTTAGCGGTGGGGGTTCCACCAACTGGGTGGTTAAGGTGTAGGTGTTGATTGAGGGATTCGAAAATTCATTGCTAGGCTATAAAGACGAAGAAGGAACTTATGGTCTAATTTCAAAGGGCTTGAATGCTATATGTACATTTTCCTCTTGAATTCATGAAAAAGAAATGTGACAATCTTGATTTCAAATTAGTATCACAATGCACATACACATACATGAAGCTATACTACAAGAAATGTGTTCGGATTTCCTTGCGATTTTGAATGCTCATTTAAAGATTGTTTGAAGATGAGACACGTGTTAGAAGAGATTTGCAGGAAAAGAGGAACTGATAGTCATATGGTCCAGTACTAGATGTCAAGCCACACGATTCTAAAGCTATTTTGGAGAAGCGGTAGAAGGAGTCTTAGCAATCTTTGCTGCTATACCATTCTTTTGTTGTGCGGCTTCAATTTCAGCTTTCATGACTTTTTCTAATTCAGAGCAAGAGTCAATAGGGCGAGGGTCTCCAGCAGGTACGTGGCGATCTGATTTCTCTTTGGCATCGTGTGAACTAGCTGCTCTTCGCTCGGCTCTGCTTTACGACACATCAATTGTTAACAGGCGGTTATTGGCGTGACTATCTAGTGGCTTTTGCTTACCTCAAGGAACGCGAGTTAAAAATACGGGCACCGGTAGTGTCTGGTATTGGGTGAGAGGGGGCGCGGACGTCGGGCAATGTCTTTTTGTGATCAGGTGAGTTTTCTGCTCTTCGCTCGGCCCTATTTTATAACAGATATCGATGGTTAACACTGGGGTTTGAAGTGAATTATCTCGTAGCTTTTACTTACTTCACAGCTGGGATATTTGCTGGAGGCTTAGTGTTGCTAGAATCAGTTTTACTTTTGATGTTTTTGAGGATTTGATCACACGTTTCTGTTGGTCTTTTGGTTGCAATGGGTGTAGTTTCAGTTTTGACAGTGGCACCTTCTGCTCTGGGAGACAAGCTACATGGTCGGAAAAACACCACAAAAGTTAGGATTATGGATGCAGGTTGGCGAAAACTAGGTCAGGGTAAATTCACCTCATGTCTGCTTTGTTGACAAGACCTCGAACTTGAAGAGCAGGATTCCATGCTGTGGCACTCTGAGATTGGCATAAGGCTAAGATGACACTTAGCAAAATAAAGCGTAAAGAGATTGAAGTGTGCATCTTGATCGAGAACAATAGATTGTTGAGAAACAGACGGAAGTGAAGAAATTTTTAGAAGTATGAAAAGGAAATGTGAGTATATCAAAGCGGATTGTAAGAAGCATTCAATGCCAATTATAAGCATTTTTTAGGATGAGGTTGGAATGGTGCGAGAAGTCTTTCTTGCCGTTCGGTTGCTTTCTCAAGGTGCGAAAATACATTGTTAAACCCTTTGGGGGATTGAGTTACGTCTCCCCAGACCTTGTAAGGGTAAATGTTATGCCTTCAATTGACGACAATGCCAAGGCACAAGCAATCGCAACAATTTTTGGGAGTCAACCCTCGACTCAAATCTCTAGTGGCTTGAAAACAGGCTAGCATGCTCGTAACTCGTTCTCTAACTGCTCACGGGTCTTAAACCAGAAAGCTGTCGTCAGTGTGACTGACACTACCGGGTGTCTCAAACCCATCTTCCAGTTGACCAGATGTGTGGTTAATTGACCACTTTTGAAGTTCGATGGAGAAACCATCCAGCTCATAGTGTCATGAAATCTATATTCTTCAGTTTGGCCACCCGACTTGGAAATATGTTGTATGTACACTGGTGTGCTCATGGGTAGTGACGAAGAAGTATCATTTCAAGTTATTTCTTCGTCTACCCTTTCCCCTTGCCGCCAAATTAAACCGAAGATATGATCAAGTCTGGAGGTCTATGATAATCCAGATAGAGAATCTTTCATCAATGCTATTCCCCGCGTAACATATACTTGGCCGTCCAGGTAAATGAATGAGCCCTGTAAAACAGTCTCCGAGACCGCGAGGGACCCTAAGATGTTGCTTGTTGACCTGCAACATGACCTCAAAATAAACGCTGCCTGTTGTGCAATATCCAGGGCCTTTCGCTACCTTGACTTGGAAGCCTATCAAATCTCAGCATGCGATTCTGAAAATCTTGAAGAACCTTCCTCTACGTGCGTATCTGATTGGGCTATCCTTGAAATCATATACTCGTCAATCCGCCTCGCCTTTCATTGTACATCGACTTTTCACATATCTTTCGAGTACTGATTTCTTTCATTACCATGGTATCCACCTTGACCGTTTTCAAATTTATGATTTCCTTCACTCTTTTTGGTCAAATTCACTCAAAGGCCATTGGCATCACCTCTCGTGGTGGTGTTGCGGATGTTGAGCAGCCGACAGCGTACGTCAATCAATTCCAAACATATGAACTCATTTATGAGAAATCGAACCCTTCTTTACCTTTCGCATTCCCACTGACTCAACATACTTTTTTAGAAGTGTGCCTTTAGCTAGAAGAACTTTTGGACTTCTCTCAATGCTTGGAGGTTATAGTTTATTTGGTAGCCACTCTGGAATGGGAGGCGGATACAGTTCGATAGGTAGTAGTCAAAGCTTTGGCGGGACAGCCGATTCTACAGCATCCTCTAGTGCTGGTGGGAATTCAGATTCGACAGCAACCACCATGGATCTTACAAAAAACGTGAGTGTCGTGAAAAATAACCGATGAAGTACATATATAGGTTGTATTAACCGTTTCTTTTTTTTGATACAGACAACCCTATGTGGATGTGGAAAGGAGGGTGAGAAGGTTGATTCGAAGGAGGGTACTAGTGCATCGGGAGTAGTCTCTGATACTGCAGACGCTGTTGGTCTTTCTCTATCGACTGTTGATCTCAAAAAATAACGTCTGACTTGTCTTTATCATAGACTACCAATGCCAATCTTCCAGTCATCTCCACCGCAGACAACGGCAGTGACACTGACACTAGTTCGGCAAAAGCAGCCGCTGACGCTACCGCCAAAAGCTCGGCGAGTGGTAAAGATGCTTCGAATTCCACCGCTGGCACTTCGGATAGCTCAGCTGGCGATGCCAAAAAAGCCGATGTCACTGGTGGCTCGGAAGCCGACACTGGAGACAGCGTTTGTTTCTATTCATCATTCGTTTTAAGACATACATCTGATTTATTTTTCATTCGTATCACAGACATCCTCTACCGGAGGAAATGCAACCCCCATCTCCACCGCAGATAACGGCAGTGACACTGACACTAGTTCGGCAAAAGCAGCCGCTGACGCTACCGCCAAAAGCTCGGCGAGTGGTAAAGCTGCTTCGAATTCCACCACTGGCACTTCGGATAGCTCAGCTGGCGATGCTGTCGCCAAACAAGCCGATGTCACTGGTGGCTCGGAAGGTGTTGCCGACACTACAGACAGCGTTTGTCTCCATTCATCGTTCGTTTTAAGAAATACATCTGACTTATATATCATTCGTATCACAGACATCCTCTACCGGAGGAAATGCAACTCCCATCTCCCCCGCAGATACCGGCAGTGACACGGAGACTAGTGCGGCAAAAGCAGCCGCTGACGCTACCGCCAAAGGCTCGGCGAGCGGTAAAACTCCTTTGAGTTTCACCGCTGGTACTTCGAATAGCTCAGCTGGCGGTGATGTCGCCAAGAAAGCCGATGTCACTGGTGGCTCAGAAGGTGTTGCCGACACTGGAGACAGCGTTTGTCTCTATTCATCATTTGTTTTAAGAAATACATCTGACTCCTTTTTCATTCGTATCACAGACATCCTCTACCGGAGGAACCGCAACCCCCATCTCCACCGTAAATAACAGCAGTGACACCGAGACTAGTTCGGCAAAAGCAGCCGCTAACGCTGCCACCAAAATCTCCAAGAGTGGTAAAACTGGTTCGAGTACCAACGCTGCGCCTTCGATTAGCTCTGATGTCGAGGATGTCGCCAAGAAAGCCAACGATACGGGTGGATTGGAAAGTATTTCCGACACTACAGACACCGTTTGTCTCTCCCTATCCATGAATCATCTCAAAGAAACATACCTGACTTTTTTTATTCCAGACCTCCCTCGCCAAAGGAAGTGCAAAAGGTCCGGATATCCCTACGGCCAAAACTTGTACTTGTACTAACATTCGTCCAGCAACAGGATCAGGCGCGAAATCTACCAAAAGCTCGAACAGTAGCGCAATCGCTTCCAGTGCCACATCTGCGCCTTCGATTGGCTCGGGTGGTGAGGATGAAGCTGATCAAGACAGCGCTACCGGTGACTTGGGAGATGTTTCCGACACTGCAAATACCGTGCGCCTCTCTCTTTCGATAATTGATCTAAAAAAATATTAGTGACGTTTTTTGATTACAGACCACTCGCATCAAAGCAAATGCAACAGGCTCAGATCTTTCTACCGCAAAAAACAGTAGTAACATCGAAACAGGATCAGCAACAGGATCAGGATCCGGCGCAACCTCTACCAAAAGCTCGAACAGTAGCGCAAGCCCTTCCAGTGCCACATCTGCGTCTTCGATTGGCTCAGGTGGTGAGAATAAAGAAGGTAGCGCTACCAAGGGCTTGGGAGGTGTTTCCGACACTGCAAATACCGTGCGCCTCTCTCTTTCGAAGATTGATTAAAAAAAATACTAATGACATTTTGATTACAGACTACTCGCACCAAAGCAAATGCAACAGGTTCAAATCTTCCTACCGCCAAAAACAGTAGTCAAATTGAAACAGGTTCAGCAACAGGATCAGGATCAAGCGTAAAATCTACCAAAAGCTCGTACAGTAGCGCAAGCGCTTCAAGTTCAAGTTCAAGTTCCAGTGCCACATCTACGTCTTCGATTGGCTCGGGTGGTGAGAAGAAAGCCGATCAAGGTAGCGCTACCAAGGGCTTGGGAGGTGTTTCCCACACTGCAAATACCGTGCGCCTCTGTCTTTCGATGATCAATTTAAAAAATTACTACTGACGTTTTTTGATTACAGACCACTCTCACCAAACCAAACGCAACAGGTACAGATCTTCCTATCGCAAAAAACAGTAGTGACATCAAAACAGGCTCAGCAACAGGATCAGGCGCTACTTTTTCCGGAAGCTCCAACATCACCACAAGTGCTTCCAGTAACACCGCTGTCCCTTCGATCAGCTCAGGGGATGCTGTCCCTTCGATCAGCTCGGGGGATGTTGCCCCTGCGATCAGCTCTGGGGACGCTGCCCCCTCGATCAGCTCAGGTGGTGATGTTAAAGCTGGTAACGGCAGCGGTACTGGTACTTCGGCCAAATCAACTACTTCTTCGAATGGGTCGACTCCAGGAGGAAAGTGAGCTTAAGAAAGCAAATGAGAGCAAGTCTCGTCCACATCAATCAATTTCCGGCGTTATGATCCTCTATCCAAATTTGTATTACAGTATGCATTTGCCCAAACTCAACTAAGTCCAATCTCGTGCACGGGGTTTGAGCATAGCAAGCTATGACCAAGGTACGAGGGACTAACTTCCACAGTTAACGGGCGTGAACAGTTGAAGACTTTAGTAGGGAAAATCTTGATTCTCATTTCCTTGATTTTTCCCTTTTATCAAATTTTAAAAAACCATAAGGCCACCAGCGGTGCCTTCTTCTCTTTCGTTTGCTCTATTCAGATTTGTCTTATCTGTCCTCTTGTATCGTTCTTTCTTTTGCTCAAAATCAGATCATTTGAAATTTCAAAATCAACGGTTGCTGCAAGATTATCACAAAGACCTACATGCTCAACACTGATTTCCTAGGGAGCGACCTTTGAATTCTGCTGAGCACCAGAGTTTAATCCATTGAAAGGTTAGGTTGGGGAAAGGATGCTACTACTACTATTTCAATGGCAAGACTTAAGGCTATTTTAAATGAACCAGCTCTTAGATCTTTGTTCTGAGACTTCTACATATCTGCAAAGAGAATCTACATCATTAGATTGATGTACCCAAAGAAAAAAACCTCAGCTACATCGGCTATGGAACAACATCAAGAGAAATTAGTGTGAACAGCCTTATTGATCTTTATACTTATCTTGCACCTGAATCACCACCTGAATGAATATTGACCATGGATCAAGAGGAGATGTGATTAGCTATATGGTCAAAGCTGTAGATGAAGTTGAAGAAAACTCAATACATAGTCTAGATATTTCTATGGCAGCACTTCAAGCTATGTACTCAAGCTCAAGCTCTGTTACAACACTACAAGAAAATTCCGGATCATATCTATTGGTAAGTGTCTATTTATTTTTTGAGATCTGACAGACTCCAAAATCGATTTTGTCATTCTAATGTGCTTTATCATTTGGTGACAGATCAGGCACCCAAGATTTGTTGTAACTGACAGGTTTTGAGAACTTTTAGCATCACACCAACCAAGTACTACAACTAATTATGGAAAATGAAAATCAATCATTAAAATCAACAAATACTACTACTTCACCTAAACCTGTTATCAATTTCTTGTATGCCTGTTTTTCCTTCCTGATTTTTGACAAATCTGATCTTGCTTCTCTTTTTCTTTTGGTTGATGTTTACTTTTGTGTGCTTGAGTGTTTCCCTTTTTCCTTTTCTCTCTCAATATGATTTTGTGGACCCCTAGTCTCTTCTTTGTTTTGCTGGATTTGTTGTGGTTTTATATTTTTTTCATTTTCCATTTTTTTGTAACAAGCTTTTACTGGATTTGGTGGTGTGAGTGTATTTTCCCTTGGTCTCTGGAGATTCCTTCTGCAACTGGTAGCATTCACAGTAATGGATGACTGTTGAGAGCTTAGCCCCTAACTGAAAAGTTTTGTTTCTGACATGTTTGCTTTCTTTGGGTTTGAAGAGGCTGGTGCTTTTTTCTTCTTCAGATGGAAGCCTGCTGGTATCACCCTGGAAATAAAATTCAATGCAAGGGAGGATGCAATCATGAGATCCATGACAATAAGATAAAAATGTGCTCACTTCTATAGGCTTCCATTTCGTACTGGGTCGGTGTTTTCGATGTTATCATAATTTAAATTACCAACCAAACTTTAAGTTTGATAATTCGTTTATCAACTTTAAAGCTTTACGGGGGGGGCGCCGCCGGCGGCCTCCTGGTTTTGCGTGGATGAGAAAATTCTCTCTCACGCGAAATCAGTGGTACGTTTGTTGAGCCGCCTACGGTTTCTGAGGGTTCTCGGGGTTCTCGGCTTACCCGGGTGCCGATACGAGCCTGTGAGTCTTGGCTTGCCGAGCTTCCCGTTCTCTCAGGTACGTTTCGGTGGTGGCTCGTTTTAAGGTTTTCTTACTCAGTCACTGTGGCTCATTTTATTAAGGTCCAGGCGCATTAGCGACCGTTTTGTTGGCTGCTCCTCGTATTTAGAGTGGAGTTAGCCTTTGGGATCAGCGGGCCAGTTCGTTCGAGTGCAAGAGAGTTCATTCGAGCTCGAGTGACATCCCGCCGGGTGTCACTCGCTGACCTATATAAGGCCATGCTTGTTTTGGGATGTCCCCATTGATGAAACCTCCTGCAGATGAATCTTGGACCGGACCGGTTCAGTTTTTTCAGTTTCATCTGGTCAGTTTGTGACTTTTGCACCACTCACCACTCTCACACAAAACCTCAACCTCTCCATCCGGACCCCATGTCATCCGATTTGTTACTCTTCCACAAGACCTTTCACACATATCACAGGTCAACCCGTTTGACCACGATTGTGCCAATCCCATAACTTTGACCTTTTTTTCACGTCACAGATGGCATGCAAAGCATCTCAAATGGGGAGATGTGCAGGATGGACGACTATCAAATCGGAAAAAAGCTAAAAAGACCTATGAGACCACCTTGCATAACAAGCAAAAATCGAGGTTTAGAAATCCGACTTTCTTTTTCTTCAAAATCATTTCTTGTTATCTGACAAGAATGCGACATCAAGGAAGATGTGCATTTACTTCTATTTCCAGAGGAGATGATGAGGTTGGGACTCAATCAAACCTTGAGAGGCTTGACCACAAGCCTCAGAGTATGATGTTTGTCCGACAGCGCAGCACGTTTCAGAGTTGTAAATCGGACTCATCACAGACGTAAAACTCGAAAAAACGTGAAAAACAAGGTCAAATTTGTAATTTTGTAAAATCGAAAGCCGGGAATTTGCGCCTGGTCTCTATTATCTCTCGCGTATACCACGGTTCCTGTCATGTTCAGTACAGATCTGGCTTTCCTGAGCATTCCATTGTTTCCGTCAGTGTAGATAGATTTGGATCTGCATGCAATCTTATACATTCTAAACTCTATTCATGTTCCTCAAGTCTACTGCCTTCAGTAGTCTCTTCGTCTCGTCTAGTTCTTCCTTGCTGTAATCCTTCAGGTACAGATCGACCGCCTTTGATTCCCATCTGCCTTTCCTCATTATCTTCTCTTTACTCCAACCTAAATTCCAACGTAGGGATGCACCGCCAACTCTGAACGAGTGGCCCGACCATTTTCCGTCCTTTGATCCGTCCTCTCCCCAGACTTGTGCCACTTTCTTCATAAATATTTCCTTCCATAAGGGTTGTCTGTCTCCACCGGCTCCAATTCCGAATAGTGCGTCCGACTCCGTCCTTCCCGGTATCTTCTCCAATAGTCGTTCTAATGCTGCGACTGGATCCAGCACTGATCTCTGCGTATTGATCCTGTGCTTTCCATTTGTCAGTCTCGTTCAATCAAGGATGTCCTTTCTGTCTTGCTTCCTCACCTTATTTCCTGTGTTTGCCCGGGCTTAGCCGTTTTCCCTCTCCACAAGTCAATTATCGCTACCTTTGAGGTCCCGTGTCCTTCAAACCTGAGGTCACCAACTAGTATCATCCCGTCTTGCCTACTCTGCCTGGTTAACTCGCCCAGCCTCATCATCCCCCAGAAGGCCACGAGTGCTGCGGTTGAGATTAACTCGTCCAGCTCGTCTTTCCCCGCGAAGTTGAAAGCTAAGTGTAACATCTCCTTCACCATTACTGGTTTCTTCTCTCTTCTCTCTGCTCCCTCCTCATCGGGTCGCATCATCTTTTGCTCCTCTGCTCTTTCCGTCGCTCGCAGTATCCCCTTTATCATTCGATGGTCTAAATCTGGTGGTCTCAAGTGTGTTGCCATTTGCCACGCTTGTAATCCTGCTAAATATTTTTCCAACGTCTTTGCCTTTACTACCCTCTTTGCCGATTCTTCTTTCCTCGCCGGTGACTCTCCCGCCCAAATTAGGAATCCGTAAACGTCTTCTGCGACTAACGGTACCACGTTCTTCCAGTCCTTCCCTTGACACTCTATGTACTCTCTGAACTTGGTGACTGCGCTACTGTACCCTTGCAGGGTTGTTTCCGCCCATGTTCCTCCGACCAGGTGTCTTGCTACTTGACGGGTTTGTCTGTCTTCGATCTCGTCTTCGATATTCGCAAAGTTAACCTTTTTTCTCTTCCCTTCTGTCATAACTACGGGGTCTCTTCTAGGAAATCAATTAGGTCCTCTGGTAGATCGAATCGGACTCTGTTGTTATCGGTTTTTGTTGTGTCCGTGCCTCTGGACAGCGCGTCTGCCTCGTTTTTCTTGGAGGTCACTCTTTTCTCCTGTAAGTCGCAGTCTAGCTCCGCTAACCGGCATTGTATTCGTCTCCATTCTTTGTTGACTGAAACGTGTCTGGATTTTAGGTTCCTCACCGCTGCCTCTGCCGTGGTGTTGTCCGTTAGAAATAGGATCGTCAACCCTCTTACGTCCATTGTTCGTGTCGCCACTTCCAGTCCCAGGCGAATCACTATGGTCTCTGCCCACGCAATGTCTCGCTTGATCCCCAACGCGTCGACCTCTGACCAGCCGTCTTTCAGTCTCCATTGGTTCCATCTTCCATTTACCATAACCCCTACACCGTAGTCCGTGGATGCGTCGCCTACCCAGCCGATGTTGACTGGTTCTCGCTTCGGTACAATCTTCCTGTTCTTGAATGTTTTGAGGGTTCTCTTCCATTCCCAAAGGTCTTCTGTTACGTTTGGTGGCATCTTTCTCCTCGCTAGTTTGTTTTTCCACGTCGCCAGCCACGCATAGAAACTTGGGGTGAAGCACTTCATTTGCGGTAAGATGTTTGCCAGGTGTACTAGTCTCCCAATCAGTTTTTCGACCTCTTTAAAGGTGTGTGTCTCTTTCTTCAATGCTTTGTCTACCTGATCTTTCCGAATTTGTAACTTCTCTTCCGGTAGCCTTACGGTCTTCTCTTTCCCATTCCACAGGAAACCGATGTACTTCTGCTCAACCGCGAACTCGGCGTACTTCCCCTCGTTGGTTTTTACTCCTAACTTCGCGCTCAACTCAACCACTTCTTTCATCGATGTTTTCCCCACGTCGTTTCGTCGCCTGATGAAAAGGTTGTTGTCTACCCAGCGGAAGATCGCGAGGAAGTCAAAGTATCTTTTCATGATTTCCTTCCATGCGTCGGCCGGGCCGCCGAAGCTTCCGCATCCAGCTACCCCTCCAAAAGACACTCGTAAGTCATAGTAAATCTCGCCATCTGGTCCCCGAACCATCAGGTACCTCCATTGGGAAGGGAGAGTGGGTATCTGACGATACGCCTTCTCCCAGTCAAAGATTCCCATTTCTAACTCCTCTTCGTTTTCCATCATGAACTTTAGGACTCTTGCGAAGTCGTCCCATGTCGTTTCGAACTTTGTCTTGTCTACGAATGAGTTTACCGAAGGTAGGTTTTCGTTGTTCTTGGGGAATGACAGGTCGTTGATTATACGGAAGGATCCATCGCCGTTCACGACGCTCCCCATCGGGCTCGTTCGGAAGAACCCTATGCGTTCGAACACTTCCTCCTCGGTGTATGGGCCTCTCATCCGACCGGCGTCTAGCTCCTTTTGGATTTTCTCTCGTATCACTTCTTTCTCTTCCTCTGTCTTCACATGGTTCTTGGGTGAGTAGAACTTATAGCCAGGTAGCCTGTGGTCCGGTATCCCTTGGTCGAAACCGCTGACAAACCCTTCTATGATTTCCAGGTGCTTCTTCTCTAGCTTTAGGACGACTGCTAGGTTCCTCCATTCGCTCAGGTTCATCTCGCAAGTGACTCCTTCCGGCTAGGTTCGATTTGGTCTTACTGTCGTTGGTGTCTGCCGTTTTGCTCTCTTGGGTGATATCTTCTCGCTTTTCTCTCTCTCGCACTCTCGTGCGTCTGTCTCATTTGGCATCTGTGGCTCTGGTTCTGCTACCGGCTCGGTTTCTATTGAGAGTTCTCGCCCTGTCGACCTATCCCGAATGCAACATAAACATGCGTAAGCGTCTCTTCTTCCTGTTTCTGTCGTTGTCTATGTGTGATTGAGTCATCGGGTGCATTTCTCATGTAGTCTCACGTTGCAGCTGTTCTCTCTCTCTCTCCCGTTTCATCAGGCGTCTCAGTGACTTTCTCTACGCGCGGTCAGGTTCGGAACAAAAACGTCTTCTCTTGAATTTCAATATATTTTGTGTGTTTCCCTTCAATGGTAGAGAGCATAGTTCTTGGGACATAGAGAAAATAGGACGGAGACAAGCGGAGGAGAACAAAAGAAAAAAGGACAGAGAGGAGACTGGAGAGAAAAAGGTGCGTGGAGAAAAAAGAGAAAGACCGGGACGTTCTGGTTTGTGTGACACTAGGCATGCCGCTGCTGACTCCACTCACTGGGTTGTCTTAGCGCTTCCTCCTCCCTTTGCACCTCCACTACCCGTTCCTGTCTGTGCTCCCATGTTTCCGTGGCTTGTGCCCTCACCGAGGTTTGCGTTTTGTGAATACGATCCACCTTGATGGTGGCTTGGTTCGGACCAATTACCGTACCCGTTTTGGTGTTGGTATCCATACGTTTTGTACGAGGATTGATAATGTGGTTGTTGGTATTGTTGGTGCGGCGTGAAGAAGCTGCCTTGGTTCGGGGCTCCGTAGTTCCCGTAGGGGCTTCCGTGGTGATAGCCGGTCTGGCCTCCCTGGTTCGCGTAATATCCGCCTCTGCCTTGCCAGTTGCCGTTCCCCCTCTTTCCACGTCCTCTCCAACCTACTGCACTCCTGTCTCGACCGTTTCCGGCTCCTCTTTGATTCTGGTTAGTCGAGGCGAACTGTCTCTTTTCTGCGCTGGAGGTTGTGCTTGTTGTTGTGGGGTTAGTGTTTGACTCCAGAGACTTTTGCCCCGTGGCGTAAGGATTCTCTGTGAAGTTCCTCTCTCCCGCTGACTCCGCTTTATCTTTGGCCGCTCGTAACAGGTCTTCTTGTAGCGCTCCGGCGTTGCACATCTCTTGCTTGCCTGATTCTCCGAGCTGGACTTGCATTACAAGTCTTCGTACCTGGTCGACCCGGCAGCATCAGTCTTCTGTCTTGTCTAACTTTCTTCACCTTTGGTGCTTACTTTCATGCAGTAGCGTAGCGCTACCATCCAGCACGCGGTGGATCGTCTGATCTCTATGACGTTCTCCTTGTGCTTTTTCAGCATCTTGGCCGTCGTACCCATGTGGTATCTTTCTTCGACGTATCGTATAAACAAATCGATCGCATCAATCCACTCTCCGCATGTCAACAGGAGCTTGTCTTTTGGGGTCAGGCCTGTGTAAGTGAAAATTTCGTTGCCTTCTTGCAACTCCTTCACTGACTTCGGCTTTTTTGTTCCGGCTTTGACGAAATCCTTGTCAATCCAGTCTAGATTGAACACCGTAAGTGGCACATATGCCCTAAGCTTTGTCATTCTTTGATTTATGCCGGCTGACAGTTGTAGGAGGTTGTTGTTTGAGAATTGCTTGTCGACAAATATGATCTCACTTTCAGGATCTACCAAGTCTTTGATATCGCGGTCTCTCTTCTTTGTCTTCACCGCTCGGGAGGTCACCTCGTCTTGTGCCGCGTTTTGTGCGTATTCATCTACCTCGCTCCCTCCTGCGATCAAAGATGCTGATCTCTGTCTATTAGGGTGCGCCTCTAGTTGCGGGCTCTCGCGCATTTCGGCTAGTGTCGCCAGTCTTTTGGATCGTAGGGCTTCTGGGTCGTACGGTGGTGTCCCGTACATCATCGTGAAGCCGTGGAGCATTGCTCTTCCGAGTTCTAGGTCGTCGTTTCCAAACGCCTCTACGATGGACTTCCACCACAGGTCCTTACTCCTGTTCCCCGGTGCCGCTGGTTCCGGTGGGTTATTGTCTGTGGCACATTCACACATGTATCAGCTGTCTGTTATCTTTCTTTCCCCACTGGTTTTTAACGGGTTGGTGGTCTTTCTCTAATGGGGTTATCTTTGACTCGTAAGTCTTTACGGTCAGATGTAGCTCTGCCTGCCTCGGTCTTTCCGGATAGTTATGCTGATTTCAGTCTTTTTGTCTATTTGTGGTCAGATATAGCTCTGCCTGCCTCGGCTTTGCCGGTGTCCTCGACAACGTGGTCTTGTATATCCAAAGGGACATATGGATTTTTCCATTTATGCAAGGATGTAGCTCCTGCTGCCTCAGCGGTTCGCTGGACCCCATAACATGCGGGGTGTGTAGGAAAAGAGAGAGGACTAGATGTATGTACTCGAAAAAAAGGGGGGGGGAGTTGTATATCTGTAGGGAAAGGTGGGGGTCTTACCATTTATTTTTATGCGGATCTTCGTGCTTGGTCGCTGCTCTCGTTGACCTGCCTCTTCCATCTCCTCGTCTTCTTCTTCTGAATTTTCGGTCCGGCCTCCTGAACCTCCTTCACCTTGTCCGATCATGTTCCTCCCCTTTCCTTTCCCTGGTTCTGTTCTTGCGCTTCCGTCTTCTTCTTCTCCTTGCATTTCGTTCTTTTCTTCGCCATGTTCGTCTTCCCTTGTCTTGGATCTACTCCGTGTTGTCGATCCGGTTGCTCCTTCTTTCAGGGCCTCTTCTGCTAGCCTCCTTGACTCTGCTAACACCTCATCAAATGTTGCCATTTCTGATCTTTCTTCTTTCCGTTGTGATGATTTGTTTTCTGATTTGTTTTCTGCTTGGTTTTTCCGTTGAGTGTATGTTTCCTAAATGTTTCCAATTTATTTTATTTTTAAAATTTTTATAACAAATATTTGAATAGAAAGATTAGATGAGTCGTGTTCAGCTTTCGAGAGTTCTGCTATCTGAGGTGGCGCGGTAGTGAGGGGGAGAAATTCTTTCCCATTTTACAATTGAGGATTTCCTCACTGGGGCCACCTCGCTATAAGCATATCTAGAACTCTCATCTGTACACGACTTCGTAGCCATGGACTTATGCACCAAGTCGTGCCTTTGTTGGTGCGTGCAATGAAAGTCTGGATTACAGTCTGCATGGAGCAAGGCATGTTGCCTGCCTACCTTACAACACCAGTCTTATGCAATGCAACACATTAAACACACTTTTTGTGCTTCTGCTACAAGAAATCAAGTGTGGACAAGCATAAGAAACACTCTTCTTACTCATATCTGTGATTAAGTCAAGATCAAGAGGATGTGATGTTCTGGCCTAATGTTGGATGCATTGAAGCAAGCTTTTAATAAATCCCACACAATAAGGAAGTTTTTATAAAGACACTAAAGATCCTTTATTATTTCCCTCTTCAGTACAAATATCTATAAGGCCTTAGATAGCTATGGAAGAATGGACACATCTCAAAAGGGACCAGTGAGGATTGTTTCATCAATTATCACCAAGACAGATCACTGTGTTGGTGATGATTGATGTGTAGGAATTCTTGATCAAAGGACACCACCGGCTATCCCTGCCAATGGGATGTAAGGGATGTAAGTGATATATGTTTGATATTCAGGTTGGTTGCCTTACATCTTGATCCTTTTTGATGAAAAGTCTCAATTCCATGTCTGACTAGATATGTGTACCATCAAATATATGAAAACACAGAATAGATCACCAAAGTTATATGAAACAGCATTTTTGTACTAGATGCGGTCATGGGAAGGAATGCTTGTCATAGATACCCTACCAAAATAGGAGAGAAACATAGACAAATTACCATCTGATCAGTCCAGTACATTCACATGATTTGAATTGAAGAATGAACTCAAATCTTTGTCCAAATTACAAGAGCTTCTTGAATGAGAGAGATCGAAAATTTCTCAGCAACATTTCCATAGAGCAAGCTTCAGATTGGGTAAAACACCCAAAAAGTCTGTTTTTGTTTGACCAGTTGAAAACCCCACATGATCAGCTTTGGGACATGATGCTCAGCATTCAGAAGTCCAATCACTATTTGTAGACATGTGTTTTGATACTGAACCAATTTTTTGCTAAAAAAAACCTGTACAAAACCTGGAACTAACCATGTTTGCACCTAATCCTGGTTGCAAGAGCTGTTCAAAGAAACTTTTTTTGACACTCATCAAAATCATTCACATCATGATTTGAATTCTTAATAAGTCAATCTCAAAACTCAACCTTACCCTGTCTTACAAACTTTCTTTCCAGTTACTTAAGACCTCATAAATTTGAGATCATAAACCTCCTGACTGATTTTATGTCATATAGTCTCTATTTTTGTTCTAAAATGACTATTACACTCTTCACTCTTGAACTAATTTTCAAAATGAGCAGTTTATTTTCTTCCAGCATGTGCTGGTTATACTGTGTGTGTTGATGGAGAAAGAAAAATTGGAACCAAATGAACAAAAAAGGCACAATTCCATTAGATCATGTACAAATGGCCTCATGAGACGGAAAATGCTACCATCCAGAGCAACATATTTTTTTGCCTGTGCATATCTTATGAATTAGATTTTCTCAGATGGGCTTTCCTAGAATGCAGTGTTTGTGCTATGGGAATCTGCAAAAGTATGATCAAGTCTTTCTGTGTTCTTGAAAATCTCTTCATGATTTGCTCAATGAAATGTAATGTATCAAATGATTATGTAACATTTGGCTTCAGAGTACAAGATCTTCCTAATGCACACCCCCAAACGCCTTCATTCATGAACAAGCTGAAGCAGATAAATATGTGGTTTTCAAATGTTCAATATACTTTCACCGACTGTTGACCTTCAGATTTTGAGATACAATTTCTACTGCAGTATGAGTTTTTCTGTTGTAGAGGTCATCACTTGGCAAGGCAGTTTAGATGTTTTTCAAGGAAAAGGCCAAAGAAAGGGATGGCCACATGCAACAAAAAGATAACCAGGTCAGAGGCTTGCTCCAAGATCTTAAAGAGAGAGAACCTTATGATTTCAAAAACCTTATCATCCAAGACTTCATCCAAGCAGGTAGTGGAAAGCTTGCAAAACAAAACATATATGATGCTTCTGAATCCATCCAATGTAGTACAGATCATTTCAAGATACTGTTTTCAATATGAGTCAACCATTACAGGTCCTTTCAAAGGCTTGGTAAGATCTTTCCTTATTCATCATGGACAATTTGGTATGTAGATTTGATAATTAAGACATCTTCCCACAAAATATAATCTACTGCGTTCTCCAAAGCTATCAATCAAATATCTATTGTGTAAGACTTTCAGATTCTGTACATCTACTTGACTTTCTCAAAGTTCATATTTTGAGAATAATAAAATCAAGGTCAAAGCCAAGTGTGGCTGGCAGCGCTACCCAGCGCTAAAACCCCTGAAATGGGCAGCATAGTGGAACAAAACCACATTTGGTCGTGATAGCTTTACAAGTAGGTCATTTTTTGGGGGGCCCAAAAATAGTAGCTGAAAGCGTAATTCATTTCTGCTGTGCCTGGCAGTGTTGCCAGTGGAAAAAGTGTTTTTTTAAGTAAATAAAAAAATAGAACAAATGGAAGGCAATTCCAATTGAACAAGTGTGAAGGATTTAACAACTTCAATGAGTGTATAGAAAACATGTATAAGTTGATTGAAAAGAGTGTAAAGAGATGATCCATTACAATCAACTTGATCATAATTTCCTCACCCAAAAGGTCTTAACAAGTGTTTTTCTGACAAGTTTGTTGAGGTGTAGGTAATCCAACTACTTCATCAGCATTAGATTTCTCATTCTTTTTAGATGTTTTGAAATGGATTGATTATATCTTCTGTTGAGTTGGGTTTGAATTTAAGTTTGGTTGAAGGTGATGATGATGGAATATCATTAGTTGAAAAAAGTAATTTAGGGGTTGAGAGTGTAAAAGGTGACTCACCAGTATTATGCAAATCTTCTCCTGAATCATAATGAATTTGTTTATCACATATTAAGAATGAAAAGAAAAAGTATCCAAGAAAATCAAGAAACATGAGTAAAGAATAGTTTTTAATAAGATTCAAAAAGGTGTATTGATGAACTCACGACACATAAACTAATTTACAAGATTTCTCATCATGAAATGACCAGGTTGACAAGCGGATTCGCCTTCTTTAGCTGAAAAAGGATCATTAGGACTATCCCTCAAACTATGTGATAATGATTTCCATTATTATTTTGGGATCAATTATGATTTTCTGGTTTTTCAAGTTTAGTATGTTTACATTTATGGATTGATTTAAAATGAGTAGGACTATTCAGAGGTGAAGAGATTGGGGGACTAGAAGGTTTGATTGAAAAATCAGCATCATTATCATCTTGAAACAATCTCTTATTAGAAAGTGTTGAGATTCAATGATTTGTGTGATTTCACACATTTTTAGTATTTTTTTCTTAGGATAAGACAAAGGTCAGGCAAAAATGATAAATTAAACAATTGATGGGGATAAAAGATATAGGAATGGCAGAAACCTTTGTACCCTCAGTCCTCAGTCCACCAAAACCACGGGTCAAGAGATGATATCCCACCGGCACCATATCGATATGCCAAATGAAATTTCACAGAGTATGATCTAATAATCCAATTTGAGATCATATGTATTTGGCACCTTAGAACTGGATGGGTGGAGGTGGAAAGGTGTCTGATTGTTGATGAATAGTTTGGTGACTTGAGGGCTTGAGGTCAGATCAGAGGCTGCTGGAATCAAAAGTCAAAGGTAGCAACCGGTGGCTGATACAGTGGCAAAAGGCGCAGCGGGAAAAAAACCAGCTCAAAAATGTCAGCACAGGGTGTAGCTACCCGGATCCCACAAGTCCCGGGTCAGGAGGCAACAGTGCTGCGCACTTTGCACTTTTTCGTGTCATGTTGTGGGTGTGGCGCAAAAAACACGCTCTGTTGCGCCAATTTGTGGGCGCCCACGGTGTCAAATAAATTCACAAAATCAGGTTCGGCGCACCTTTTCAAAAAACACACCAAATCTTTTGAGATCTATGTCCTGTCACCAATATTGGAGACTTGGATACTCACTGTGAGCTTTGAAGACAGCTCTTTTTAGCTTTTCTCACCTTGAAAAGGTAATTCTGTGGTGTTAGAT